ATAGTAGGCATATCCTAGTACTCGTAACACTTGTCAGATTATTCATTTCGTAGTAACAACGGAATCAAATCAAACGTTGCTGTCTGGGGTTTGGCTCATGCATTGTAATGGTATGTATTAGGAACAACACTTACACCTATTCACAAATGGATACCGTATTCAACGTAATAAGTTAAATTTCGTGTTTTTTTAATTTGACAGTCTGAAATGTTTATACACGACAGATATATTTTTTCCAGAATTAAATGCCCATAATTAAGGGTGCATGTAACACACGAGTGCGTATTATACGCGAATAAATAAGTCTTGTGTACATTGATCAATCGGAAGGGGTGCTAATTGGGATTGTTCACTAGCCAATATCTTAGCAAATGTCGCCGTGGGCGCTTAATAGTAGCGGGGCGTTTATTACGTCGAATACGGTAACTTAAAACACAGATAGATATTTGAAGTGGACTTGACTTTACACACAGTGTTGTTTGAGGACCAAACTTCACAAAGTAAGAACCATTTAACCAGCTCGCTTTATAACTTGGTTGCTGTGTCAATACATTGAGGCTTGTCGTCTGGAAAGTTATGCACCACTGATATATTTCCACAAATGAGACATATTTAAATCGCATCTTGTATATTTTGGGGGGTCGAAATAAAAGTGACATACTCGCATTATAATACAGAAACAGAAAAAAGATTATCTAATATTTGTTTGTTTGTTTGTTTGTTTGTTGTTTAACTCCACACACAGCAGTATTCCAGCTATATGGCGGCGGTCTGTAAATAATCGAGTCTGGACCAGACAATCCAGTGATTGACATCATGAGCATCGATCCACGCAAATGGTATACGATGACACGTATCAACCAAGTCAGCGAGCCTGACCACCCGATCCCGTTAGTCGCCTCCTACGACAAGCATAGTCGCCTTTTTCGGCAAGCATGGGTTGCTGAAGACCTTTTCTACCCCGGATCTTCACGGGTCGATTATCTAATGACATATTTCCCAACTGTTCCTCACTACCGATTTCAATCGCTTCAGATGTCTCCTTTGATTATGATGTGGGGTTGTGGTTTCGAACATTTGGACAAACATGCAATGTTCTCTGAATATGTATTAATTTAAAGATGTGATGCTTCGCTTTTCCCCGATTGAACATAAACACTTTCATTAAAGCGTCAGGGGCACGGGTTGCCCAGTCGTCTAAGGCGCCGCGATTCGCTGTGCAGAATTGCGTCCCTTGGGCACGCCAGAAACCTATGATTGTGGGTTCGAATCCCGGTTCGCTCCGATTATGTTTCTAGGTTTGTCAGCACCATACCCGTGCTCGTGGGTTTCACCGAAATGGTAAACGTCTGAGACCTGCATGACTTCGGGCTTTCCTCCCACATTAAGCTGACACACCGTGATATAACTGGAATACTGTTAAAAGCGGTGTTAAACCTAACTCACTCATTAAAGCGTCAGCGAAATAATAAGGACCTTCGGGATAAAATGGAAACAAACAATTTGGATTCGGTTTGCTTTGTTCGCTTATCGAGTGACATACTTTTATTTGTATTTCAGATTTCAGGATATCCGATACTCAGGAAATGCATGAAAGTAACGTGGCCACAAGGATATGGATGAGATCGCTACAACAGCATAGAAGACGCATAGCGAGTCCATGTTCATAGTCACAGAATGTTTGCGGGATCAGTTGTTTTATAGTTTTATACAAGTGTTTGTTAGTTTCGGTGCAAATAAACGATTAATGTAAACTCATGCTTCTCATTTATTAACTCACAAATACGGCAGCTTTCTTTTTTAAATACAAGTTGTTAATCACCTTATTTGTTTGTTTGATGAATCGCTGACATCAAAACAGTTTAAATACTCTTTATTTCTTTGTAGTTTTTTTCTGTAAGCTGCATGTGTCCTGAGGCGTCATGGCTCGCCTGTACCATATCCAGCTTAGTGTTTTTCATTATGTATATGTCCGTCATGGTCTCGAGCGTCATTCAGTTAGAGTAGGTTTTGTTTTTTTGTTTGTTTGTTGTTTAACGCCGCACTCAGCAATATTCTAGCTATATGATGGCGGTCTTTAAATAATCGAGTCTGATCCAGACAATCCAGTGATTGATATCATGAGCATCGATCCACACAAATGAGATACGATGTCATGCATTAATCAAGTCAATGAGATTGATGTGGGAGGAAAACCCAATGCAGTGCAGGTCACAGATGCACGGGTACGGTGCTGACAAACCTAGAAACATAATCAAGGCAAACCGGGGCTGGAACCCATGATTATTCCAGTTTCCGGCGTGCCCAAGGGACGCAACTCTGCACAGCAAATTGCGGCGCTTCAGACGACTCGGCCACCCTTGCCCCCTAAACAACTGAAAGACGGTGTATACTGTTGTTATTAATGTCTTCTTCTTTTTGTTTGAATTACACGGATCTGTGAAACAACCGCGACGGCTTGTGTCTACTCACCGACCTTAATTTGTACCACATTTAAAAAATAAAATATGTTTGTTTGTTATTTAACCCCGCACTCAGCAATATTCCAGCTATATGACGGTGATATGTAAATAATCGAAGGTTTTAAACCTCATGTCTGTAATGTGACGGACCATGTTGGGCATCTATTTTTAACCATTCGTCACCACTCGCCTTTTTCCGTAACCTGCAAGAAGACTCGACTTGTCCCGGAATAACACGAGTTGGTCACGAATGATTTTTAATTGGACTGTCATGGAGTGGCTCCAAATCATGTGACGATAACAAGATGGAACCTCATCTCCTCGTCTCGCTCAGCGACGCATTATCGCTATAAAATTAACAAGACATGATCGTTTGACCATCCAAGTGTTAACAGAAATAATGTTCTCAAAGTTAGGACTTAATTTAATGTAAAGGGATTGTCATTAGATTCGTAATGAGAAATACTTCTTTAGGGGTTATTTGTTTCTTGTTTAACGCCGCAAGCAATGTTCCAGCTATATGACGGCGGTCTGTAAATAGTCGAGTCTGTTCCAGACAATCCAGTGATTGACACCATAAGCACCGATCTACGCAATTGGGCTACGCTGACATGCATCAACCAAGTCAGCGAGCCTGACCACCCGGTCCCATTAGTGACTTCTTATGACAAGCATTTTCGCTTTTTATGGCAAATATGGGTTGCTGAAGACCTATTCTAACCCGGATGATCACGAGTCCCTAATCTTGTAAGAGGCGACTTCATGCATCGGTTTCGGTGACATGTTGCATGCGTTTCATGATACGCCGACGACGTGGATCGGTGCTCACAATATCGACCACTGGAGTGTCTGGTCTCGGAGTGTTGTTTCACATGAAAGGAACGACTCATTGGACGTGAATGCAACTTATTTTCTGAAACTCACGAGCACCGGTATGATCATTTGGGATTCGAACCTTCAGTGGATCTGGACACACTTTAAGGACGGAAAGGAGTGTAAAACTTTATATTAGGGCTTCCTTTGTCTTGCGTTTCTCAGTTATGATGTCATGCGAGTAATCTTTCTCGTATATACAAACATGTGATATCTATATATTTGTAAATTCCTTGTCAACCTATTCAACACTTGTCCTGTTGGGGAACCGTGGAGGTAGCAGAAATATTGTAAGTCCCCATGTTTCCTAGTATGGTCGCCTAGCTTTGGTTGCTGGCGATCTATAGACCATTTTTATAGTGTCTTGTTGAACAATAATTTCTTCTTATACACGTTCTCATCTAGTTTAAAAATCGATACTGTGATAATCTAGTTAGTATACTGACCATCGATGACATGTTTTTATTCAATCTAAATATATTTATTTCCAATGTATAAGTGCTCGTAACGATATGGCTGAAATATTGCTGATGTGACTTCAAATTTGAACTCACTCAATCACTCACTATTCAACACTCTCACATAGAATACTTACAAGATTGATAATACATGATTATTTACAGTTAAAGGAAGGTATCTGACATTAATGTTATTTTACGAAGTTCTGTTAGAGGTGATACTCTTCATGGTTCACGGATCGGTGGGGTAGCCTAGTGGTTAAAGTGTTCGCTCGTCACAACGAAGACCCGGGTTCGATTCCCGACATTGATACAATGTGTGAAGACCATTTCTGGTGTTCCCCGCCGTGATATTGCTGGAATATTGCTAAAAGTGGCGTAAAGCAATACTCTCTCACACATTCACTCATGGTTCACACGGGTACAATGTGTGAAGCCCCTGTCTGGTGTTCCCTGCCGTGACATTGCTGTAATAGTGTTTGCAGCTGCGTAAAACTATACTCACTCTTTCGTGGTTTACCGTTTTTGGATATCATCAATTGTGTAAGCACACGTTGTTAATGTTGAGTAAAATAATATGGTAAAGGTGATAGAAACATGTTATTAATCTGGATTAAGAGTGAATAATAGTGACAAATATCTATTACATCATAAGTTGAGGTGGTCTGTAACATTTGGTGTCACATTGCGTCCATGTAACGCCTGCAAGTGGAAACATTGGATATACAAAACTTTGTATCAGCTGTGTATAATGACATATACAAATCCTCTTCTTTAATGCACGCATTTGGGACGAAATTTATAACAAAGTCATGTACAAGAATCAAAACAGATGTGTATCACGAAAGCAAACAAAATATTGCATTATTTTAAGCAGAAAATAAAAAACATTAACACGCTCGTAGTTGACTTGACACGTATGTGTTACAAGTAATCACCGTAACTTGCGGATGACCCATGTTTTATAGACACGTGACACATCGCTTCCGGATAGCTGTACCTCGGGGCGACATCTTGTCTCAATCCTGTAATTCGAAGGTATGTCATATTTACAACGACTGACGAAAGATACAGTTGGTCGTCCTATTATTTTAAAAACAAAGGGGACATACGGTGAGAACTGAACCTAGAAATGAGAGTTTAATAATAATAAACCAGTATTTTCTTATTAAATGTATTCAGAAATAATACAATCACAATAATTTAATATTTAAATCATTACGTAGGTTATTTTAAACTCGTATGTTTTCGCATCCGCGTCTCAACCTACCCACCCTTTAGTTTGGATTCGTCCATCTAGACCACAAAAACATTAATTGCCATGGAAGGCTGTCAGTTAGTATATAACAGGTAGTATTCACAGTCGACAATAGTTGAGTCCATCTGATCCCAAGGCGTTACAACAGACAAGATGCTGAAGATCGTTGCTGCACTCGTGTGTCTGTCTGTAATCAGCATGGAAGTCAACTCGTTCTCCTTGGACTCCATCGTGAATCAGAAGGGGAAGGACCTTTGCCAATATTGCTCTCTCTGTTCTTATGCAACTGACTGTGGACCAAGTTGTAGCCACGCTTTCTGTTTCTTGTGTCCCTACGCCAGCCATTGCACTACTTCCTGCCAGAATGAATGCGCTACCCGGGTTACCCAAAGGTCTCGATCCACAGACATTTTAGGTACCCTGTCACGTCTCATACAAGGTTAGGAGCTTGGAACAAGGTAAGATACACGACTCAGTATATTTGTCTTAAAGGGACACTGTGCTCCGGGCAAATGGAATTAATAGCAAATTTTATTCTCGGGTTTTAATGAGTAAGAGGTTGAGGGAGTTTGCTTTCAAGCCGTTATATCGCGGAGAGGCAGCTCGTGGTATTTAAAACCTAACCCATAAACTCCAATTTTAGTAGGTACATTGTCTCGAAAGTAATGAAACATCTTAACCGGAGAATGTAAACCAATGCCCACTTGCACAAAATGATCTTAGCACTACGACGATCGTTACTCCCAGACTTTGAAATAGCCTTACGATGGTCGTATCCCTACGATGACTTAGTGCTAGTACTACAAGTGTGTCCAGCCCGCGGATATGGCCCCTGTTTGCGGTATATTTTTGTGTTGTTCAGTTGGCTTACAGGACGGTGACGGTGAAACTACAATGCTGAAAAGAACATAGAAATGTTATTGTTCAGATGCTATTTGACCGTGCCCCAAAGTTTTTTTCATAACTATTTTGCAATCACAACTACCGGTATATGTTTAACACGAAAGGTATACGCAGTATCTTGTAAAATGTTGGGTGATTTTTTAAACCACGAACATCGGCTTTATTTTCTGCGGCTGGTTCGAATTGATCTGACGCTTAGGTCACCAGTCACAGATGAAACATACTCTCAAGTAGAAGGTGACAAGACGCTGGGTCTGAGGCAGCAGATAGCATTGACCGCAGATTTTGTCATCACACACAACGATCCCGACAATCGTAATTCTATGCTAATTTTTCGATTCTTCATTTGAATTTGGTAAGGGGTTCACGAACTTCGTTCTGTTTTCCAGGCAAGATCTTTACAGAGAGCCCGCACTACTTGAAACATCCCCTAACGTTACAGTGACAAGAAGGCGGTCCACCTGACGACATGTCTGTTTTCTGTCGGCCATGATAAAGATATCATCTGACGGTCGTTCACGGCGACACCTTTGTGTTGTTGATCATCGGACATACTGCCGGTCATCATGAAGTAACTGTATGACCGTCTGTCATCGTAAAGATACCCGTCCCAGGGATGTACGTCATCACGCATAAAGAAATATTTTTTGCAGCCGGTCAGTATGAAGATATCTGTGTGTGGTCGGTCGTCATCAAGCTGTCCATCAATGTCGGTGATGGTGATAATATGGAGATTATATCTACTCCATAAGAAGATATATAAATGTCAGTCCACGTGCGTCCAAGAATGGCGTCATCTAAAGACACTCTAGTGCTCCACACCAACCTGACCATAGCCTGACAACATTCCATCTGTCATCATAGTGCCTCTCTGGAAACATTGCCACTTAACGACTAGGACTGAATACATCCCAACAAAGCATCTGATCCTTGCTCCCACCGTGTATGTATATAACTGTATTTAAGTGTCTATAAAAGTTACACTGTAATCTAATGAGTATGCAAAATTGTCTATACCTAGAATTGTCCTTGTCTCTGATGATATAATGTACGTGCAATAAAATATAGAACCCATCTTGTTTTGCGGGTATACTTTTGTCTGATTAAACTGAAACCATTTATGTAAACGGTGATGGCCCCTTGACGTTTGTTGGCCTAAAATATGAACAATATTATGAATACCGATTTGTGTGTATTCGTGGCCAGCATTTATAACCTGACAAGGCAAATAAATATATTATTATTATATATATTATTACAAAAGTGTGTTTATCCATAACAACTTTACGAAAAATCTTGTCAGAATTCTTGCATTCTGAAAAAACACATAAATTCTGCCACGAGTACGATGCGCATATCATTATATATTTATTACCCACACTTTATACACCAGCAGTTGTAAGGAAATAGTTTTTTTATCGACAACACTGTGTCGGGTCGCCATGGCTCCTCCAATGATATGCTTTCAGTTCATTATCGTGTGACGCTACGACACGACACGACACGTCAACAGTGATGTATTTAATATGTCAACAATTTGACTGTATCAGTTTTGAAGGTTAGAGGCATCGTTGTACGGATTGAATTTAGCCGGCTTATTTTGAGCCATAAGAATAACATTTCTTTCTTATAAAGAGAAACAGATAAGAGTTTTGCAAAATTATATCCATTATAAGGCTGCTAACACGAAACTCTCTATAACTCTATATTGTTTCGTTTGTTTGTTGTTTAACGCGCATTTAGCAATATTCCCGCTATATGACAGCGGTCTGTAAATAATCGAGCCTGGCCCAGACAATCCAGTGATTGACGTCATGAGTACGATCCACTCAGTTGGGATACGATGACATGCATCAACCAAGTCAGCGAGCCTGACCACCCGACACTCTATATAGCAAGTGCTGACGACACTCTGTATAGCAAGTGCTGACGACACTCTACATAGCAAGTGCTGACGACACTCTACATAGCAAGTGCTGACGACGCTCTATATAGCAAGTGCTGACGACACTCTACATAACAAGTGCTGACGACACTCTACATAACAAGTGCTGACAACACGTAAATAGCAGGCTTAGTGGGTGTCTCGTTTGCACCTGAAAGTGTTATGGTAGAACATCAAAATAGTAGATACTTCTACACACACGATAAGATCAGTGTTTTAGGGCACAACATGAGGTCAGCGGTTTTGAAAAGCAAAATCTGATTTTCTGGTCAAACCAATTTTATTCAAGAAAAACAATATAGAGATAAGTACAAAATGAATTGGGTGAAAAGAATTCACGGCCATTTTATACATCGCGATAAAATATTTTATTTCACTGAGGCGACAATTCATTTATATTCATGGTAATATTGAACTTATTTGATGAGTGAGTGAGTATGGTTTTACGCCACTTTTAGCAATATTACAGCCTTATCACGGCGGGGAACACCAGAAATGGGCTTCACACATTGTACCCATGTCGGGAATCGAACCCAGGTCTTCGGCGTGACGAGCGAACGCTTTAACCACTAGGCTACCCCACCGCCCCCATATTTCATGAACAATATATATATATATATATATATATATATATATATATATATATATATATATATATTCCGCCCCATTGCACAAAAACCAAGTATTCAACTGCATTATGGATTTGGTACCAAAACAATTAATAACCACAACATATTATAAGGAATTTTAAGAAAACTTAAACCGGCAACCCAAGGAAGATTCTGGAATCAATCGCTGTACAGACGTTAACAATTTATTGACATGGTTGATGCCTCCTAATTCTGCACAACTGCTTTCACCATGATGGGGAACGTTGATACAATTGAATAAAGAAGTCTTGGAAATCATATCATGAAGAACTCATTTAAGTGTATGTCAGCCAAAATACCTCCCGAACCTGCCGTAGGTACATATCCTGGTTCCGCAACGTGTTTGGCAGCATTTACCAACACCACAGTGAGAATCTTCAGAACATTGGTTCCGACACGACCGATACTGAAGCATGTTTCGGCATTGTCCGGGTGATACTCTGTTTGAGCTGGTGGCGAGCAGAGCACCTCTGGTCGGATACAAACCGGATCTTTTCGGAACAAAACTTGACCGTACGGCAACACTGCCCCGGTTTCTCCCTACGACGACTGGGCGTCTGATGTGGGTGGCAACATGGACGGGCTTGACTCCTCTGCGTTCACTTCTCAGTAAACCCCTGTGCGTGCTCACAGTTGAACCCTTTGGAAGCGCACACGACAAGGTTCCGCATGCTGTCGGACAACAGACGTAGCCATGTTTGCAGTCCGCTGAGACGATGCAGCCTTTCTCACAGGTCGTGTGGGTAGTGGTGGAGGGACAGTATGTGGATGTTGTGTTGGTGGGCTGTGGTTTGACTCCAGACTGGTGGGTTGCAGGCTCTGAAATATGTTAATATTATTCTGAAACCCTTGCATGTTGTTTTTCTCGAGTTTACACTTTTGGAAGTGACACTGTCAAACACCTTGTGCCTCAGAGATCGGGATAGTGAAGTAATAAATCCATTCGTTGATTACAAACCGTTTTAATTAACCCGGTAGAGAATTGTATAATGGCAACATCTATCTAGTAAAGTTTGCTTAATGATATGGGTTTACATCTTATCCTTTATCTATAATGGACATATACAGGTAGTTGAATGATGTTAAATATCGTTACATCATTCAAGTTATTTGACCCGTGAAGATCCGGGGTAGAATAGGTCTTCAGCAACCCATGCTTGCCGTAAAAGGGGACTATGCTTGTCGTAAGAGGCGACTAACGGGATCGGGTGGTCAGGCTCGCTGACTTGGTTGATGCATGTCATCGTATCCCATTTCCGTGGATCGATGCTCATGATATCAATCACTGGACTGTCAGGTCCAGACTCTATTATTTACAGACCACCGTCATATAGCTGGAATATTGCTGAGTGCGGCGTTAAACAACAAACAATCAATCAATCAAGTTGATTTGCATTTAATATCCAGTCATATTTCACATACATGAACACTTACTTTTATACTGGCATCCAAACGGAGCATAGCAGCATTTTGAGCCCTGTCCGTACAAAGCTCGGGTACATTTACTGCCGATTGAACACGTTGTTGACCCGGCGTCTACACACCCGCCGAGTTCATTCCCACTGGCGGCCATGACAGGTCGGTTGACCAAGCATGGGTTCACAAGCACCTTGTCCTCGGCATACCTATCCCCTGGTAAACAAAGAGATACTTTGCACGGGATAGAAACATGTATTTACATCTTACATTACAAAAGACAAATATTGGGCGTAGGTTTAATTCGAGGTGACATGTGGATTGCAATTGTGTATGTTTCTTCACACATTCAAACACATACAAAGACATCAAAGATAAATAACTCACAAAATAGGGGAGAAATTAAATTAGGTTTAATTCACTCTCGCAAGCATCTCCATATTCTCTCAACTAAATCGTAGTATACTCACGTATACACCGTGGCACCAAGGGACACGGAGAGATGAGGCACTGACTCTGGACGATGCGGCAAGTTGATCCAGAGGAACACGTCATGGACTGGAACGATTATAAAACACACAGCAGTGACATATGGTGTGTGTGCGTGCGTCTGTGCGTGCGTGCGTCAGTGCGCGCGTGCGTGTGTGTGTGTGTGTGCGCGCCCGTGCCTGCGTGTGTATGTGCGTCCCTTGTTCTTGTATTCGTCCGGACTAATGCCGGTCTTACAGTGCTAACCCACTGAGATACCAAGCCACAGTTTAACATGGATACTCCACACAGACACAGTTTACTACCTCCGAGCCGACCAGTTCCTACTTTATGCCCTAATGCCGACCGCTAGGCAGAGAAAAGACACCAACATGCTTGAAGGCTCGAGCCGCGTGTGATTAAGTGACTGTAGCGGGTGGTGATGGATTTTACTGATCTAGCTGCTACGATGAGTGTCAATAACGCTCTCAGTTCAAGAAATCATTAAAAACATTTAACACAAAACTACAAGATCGTTGGGGCGGTCGGGTAGCCTAGTGGTTAAAGCGTTCGCTCGTCACGCCGAAGACCTGGGTTCGATTCCCGACATGGGTACAATGTGTGAAGCCCATTTCTGGTGTCCCCCGCCGTGATATTGCTGAAATATTGCTAAAAGCGGCGTAAAACCATACTCACTCACTACAAGATCGTTAATGGTGAAAACATCGCATATCTCACTGACGAAGAGTGCACCCTAATGTCATCGTTCAGTTCTGTTATGTTCTATCCACCTCAAACAAAACCCTGGACACTGGAAGCTCACCTTGCAGGGGTCATCGCAAGCCCCCGCTCTCTGCGACCCTCTGAGGAAACTGGGGAAACGTCGACCAATCCCCCTGAAGTGCGTGGTCGGGCCAAAATACTGACCAGTCACATGACCGAGAACGGCCATCGTCATCTGTTGGTTACATGTAAATAATATTAGAATGTGGTGATTTTACATTTTACTTTGAACTCTTTAGTATACACTGGTTCATTGACGCAGGCGTATATCGTCTTCGTCATCGCAGTTCATCGCATGCTGTTGCATGCTGAGGACAATGTGAACAAGGACTATGTCCTATGTTCGGAGTTACGTCCCTTTGCTGTCATGATCTGCTGGCTGTATGTCAGATTACCAATCTCTTTAAAATCAGATCTAAGTTCTCGCTGCCGCTAAACAAAGACATCCCATTACGGGTCACGTCAGAACGACCTTTCGCGAACTTTGACCGACCACTGAAACTGACTAACAAGAAGTCGACATCAGCCAATTAGAAAGCAGCTTTCTCGAGCTTCACGGCACTCGTTCCAACCATTTCAAACTACGCTTGAAAAATATATTGACACAGTTCTCGATTAAAATTTTGAAAACTGATCAAACGAACATTCCGGAATGGATAACATATGGTTGACATTGTATGGCAGTGCTTCCGACGTTCTGTGCAACGCCTCCTCCGTTCAAATGTTTATCCTAGACGAAAATAGACGATAATTTTGACGGAATCAGCCGTATGGGCAGTAACTGTCGTTTTGAATACCCCGTGTTAACGTTTTCGAGGTTGCATGATTAGAAAACACATTCCGACTGTCACTTTCATGATCTGCTAAGTGACGTTTGATTGGTTGGATGAAAGGTCGTTCTCACGTGACCCGTAATGGGATGTCCTCAGATGTTTGTTTAGCGATAGCGAAAACTAAGATGTGATTTTAATGAGATTGGTCAGATTACGGTCCTTTGTTTGTCAGGACCATGGCCGCGCCTGTTTCACCAAAGTGGTAAATATTTGGCTTTCCTCCAACATGAAATTAAAGCAAATGGCCTCTTATGACTGTCACGCCGTTTAAGAAGGCATGACAACGCGTTTGACATGCTTCAGTGATATATACATGACATATGAAAAGCATTCTGAGCATATATACGTCACCACTAACTCATCCCCTATATCACTGGAAAGGCACAAGTCCCGATTTTTTACATGTTCAGAAAATGCTTATGTAAGTACACTTAGTTAAAATATAAGAAATTCAACTCCTCTTGAACAAACTTCAAACTTTATTTGTACCAATGTCGTATGGTATATATATTTGTTTAAAGCTGTAGTCTGCAATGTGCCACTTGGATAACGGCGTCCTTGTAAGTATCCAGTCTGGGCTAGACAGACCAGTGATTGATATTATGGGCAACATCCAATGCTCCAGGAGTACGATGACACACAGTCAACCAAGTCATCGATACGGATGCCAACACTCCACTACCAACCGCGACCCGTGAAGATCAGGGGTAGAATAGGTCTTCAGCAACCCATCCTTGCCGTAAAAGGCGACTATGCTTGACATAAGATGCGACTAACGGGATCGGGTGGTCAGGCTCGCTGACATGGTTTAGGCATGCCATCGTATCCCAGTTGTGTAGATCTATAATCATGATGTCAATCACTGAATTGTCTGGTCTAGACTCGATTATTTACAGACCGCCGTCATATAACCGGATTATTGCTGAGTGCGGCGTTATACAACCACAAACAAACAAACAAACTACCCACGCCGGCTCCCAAACCCCAAGGTTGAAAACTGAAGAGATAACAATTAATCACAGGAGATTTTGCTGCATTTGTATTCTCATGCGAGCAGTACGAATAGCCGGATAGTTTTGCCCGTCACGCCCCAAGCGTTCGATGCCCGCCTATTCTACATGTGCCCCGTCATGGCAGGTAATGAATAGTGCTCAGCGCGCCTGAACTGTAAACAATCATTAACTGTATTATTACCTGACAATCCATCTCTGTATTCATCAAACCACAATTAAATCCACCCATGCTCATGTATATGTGTTTAAAGCTGACCAGGTACCATTCACAGACTAGATTGAGTCTGCGTCTATAGGCTTCCTGTATGACATAAACAAGATAAGATATGGTATTCAAAGTAGACACAATTTATGGATAACAACTTCTTAAATTACTGCCAAGGCGACGTTTGGGTATAGATCTATATACCGCTGTCAAGCAAGACTTTCGTTGTCAAGCAAGTCTTGCTTGACAGCGGTATACGGATCTATACCGAAACGTCGCCTTCACAGTGACTTGATGGACAACGGTATAAGGATCTATACCGAAACGTCGCCTTCACAGTGACTTGCTTGACAACAGTATAAGGATCTATACCGAAACGTCGCCTTCACAGTGACTTGATGGACAACGGTATAAGGATCTATACCGAAACGTCGCCTTCACAGTGACTTGATGGACAACGGTATAAGGATCTATACCGAAACGTCGCCTTCACATTGACTTGATGGACAACGGTATAAGGATCTATACCGAAACGTCGCCTTCACAGTGACTTGATGGACAACAGTATAAGGATCTATACCGAAACGTCGACTTCACATTGACTTGATGGACAACGGTATAAGGATCTATACCGAAACGTCGCCTTCACAGTGACTTGATGGACAACGGTATAAGGATCTATACCGAAACGTCGCCTTCACAGTGACTTGATGGACAACGGTATAAGGATCTATACCGAAACGTCGCCTTCACAGTGACTTGATGGACAACAGTATAAGGATCTATACCGAAACGTCGCCTTCACAGTGACTTGATGGACAACGGTATAAGGATCTATACTAAAGCGTCGACTTCACAGTGACTTGCTTGACAACAGTATAAGGATCTATACCGAAACGTCGCCTTCACAGTGACTTGATGGACAACAGTATAAGGATCTATACCGAAACGTCGCCTTCACAGTGACTTGATGGACAACGGTATAAGGATCTATACCGAAACGTCGCCTTCACAGTGACTTGATGGACAACGGTATAAGGATCTATACTAAAGCGTCGACTTCACAGTGACTTGATGGACAACGGTATAAGGATCTATACTAAAGCGTCGACTTCACAGTGACTTGCTTGACAACAGTATAAGGATCTATACCGAAACGTCGCCTTCACAGTGACTTGATGGACAACGGTATAAGGATCTATACCGAAACGTCGCCTTCACAGTGACTTGATGGACAACGGTATAAGGATCTATACTAAAGCGTCGACTTCACAGTGACTTGATGGACGACGGTATAAGGATCTATACCGAAACGTCGCCTTCACAGTGACTTGCTTGGCAACGGTATAAGGATCTATACCGAAACGTCGCCTTCACAGTGACTTGATGGACAACGGTGCAAGGATCTAAACCGAAACGTCGCTTTTACAGTAATTTAAAAAGTTTGATCCATAAATTGTGTCTACTTTGTTATCAGTCAACTAAGTCATGCCTATCAAACAATTCAAGATACGGTAATGTTACGCCCAAGTACACCTGAACTGACGAGTGGAGTGTAGACCCCATTACAAAATGCTGCGACTGCAGTCGTGCTGAAAACAAACCCGTCGTTAACATACATATTCGTAGATTCATAACACGTTTGCTTGATTGACAGGTCCAATTAACGTCACTGTACCAGCTGACAGGCGGACTCGCGGATACTTTATGACCAAGTAACGCTGCCACGGACTGTTATGCTTTAATCCACAAAGGCAATAAATCATCTCAGCGGGGCTCTACCCATAAATCTCAGACTGTATAATTTGTGAATTATTTTATCACTTTCCTTAGTTATCGCCTTTAGTTGTTTTTATGTCGCATCCATACTTCCCGGAGAACGAATGATAATTTTACATGGTAAATATATTTCAAGGTCATTTGTTATTTTTCTAGTTTTATGAATTTGTATTATAACATAGTTTATGCATCAAAATTCAGAAATAACAGAACTTAGTGGTGCCTGGCTTGCTGCCTGTGTCTTAAATATTGTGGTATAAAAATTATCTTATTAAAACAAACTTACTATTGATTCGCATGCTAAGTTTTGACGAGTCAATGTCTCGGTGTCGTATAGTGTTTTGAATTGACTTTTGTTTATTTGTTGTTTGAGGACCAAACTTCACAAACACTTAGAACCATTTAACCAGCTCGCTTTATAACTTGGTTGCTGTGTCAATACATTGAGGCTTGTCGTCTGGAAAGTTATGCACCACTGATATATTTCCACAAATTAGACATATTTGAATCGCATCTTGTATATTTTGGGGGGGGGGTCGAAATAAAAGTGACATACTCACATTATAATACAGAAACAGAAAACAGATTATCTAATGTTTGTTTGTTTGTTTGTTTGTTGTTTAACTCCACTCACAGCAGTATTCCAGCTATATGGCGTCGGTCTGTAAATAATCGAGTCTTGACCAGACAATCCAGTGATTGTAAACAGTAAACTTGATATAATCTGGACTGATGCTGGAAACATTACAGTCGCATGTCTTGATATAGGAATCGTCTCATTTACAAAGCTATTTCGTGTGAATGTGATGTCAGCTTCAACAAACCCGTGACATTTTATTTGAAACTTCGACACTGCAGTATGGTTGCGATAGATGATGGACCCCATTCAAAATAGTTTGATGGATGCAACAGGGAAAATATATTGTTCTCAGAAACATTTCACACCCACCCGTACCCCAATAAAAACCAGATGGATGGTCTCTAAGATTAGACTGTCGAGCAATAGAAAGTATACACCTAGGTTTGAAGGTGGCGAAAAATGAAACAAACAAGAAACGGTTATTTGATGGTGATGTATTTTATTCGCTATCATTGTTGTGTTTTAGGCCTTAAGTTTGTGATGTCTTCAGTCTAGTAACGTATTGGTGACGTTTGTAATGCTTTGGTTTTTCAAGTATATGTTTTCTTTTGCCGGCAGTTTTTCTTACCTTCCATCCATGTAACATAAACAGCCACAAAGTTAAAAAAAATTCAAAGGAGCCACTTGGCTCCTAAATCTTTTTTTCAAGGAGCCAAATAGAATTTCAAGGAGCCAAGGCAAAATGTAAGGAGCCAAAAGTAATGACTTGTAATTTAACTGAGCTTCTGCATAACAAAACACAAACAAATCCATGAGTTTGAATAATTAGTTTTATATCATGAACAACAACTGTTGTTGAAGCTTTTGAGTTTTTCAGACAAACAAGCTTTAGAACATTGTGTCAGTAACATCATCTGACAGTTTACCGGTGCCAGTTGCAGGTTTTGGTTCATCGAACGTGTCGACAGACGCTGAAACTTCCGTGTCAGCTTCGCCATTCAAAGCATTCCGTATTTTCTTGAGTATACTGCGCATTATCTTCCAAAAAAAACCACAGCTGTGCAGAAGGGGGTGCGCATTATACACGAAATAATGAGTTTTGATGTTTTTCCCCCATGGAAAGACATTACCGTGAGCACGTAACACCGGAAATACCATGTCAACAAATCCATACTGAAGTACGCATATTAATCATGTAATTTCACTGCCTGACTATAAAAAGTGTTCTTTGTATATCTGGACTTATGTTTGTAACTTATTTCATTAATTTTATTCAAAATTACTTTTAATATTGTTTTAATTAATTTCGGCGAAATCGTGTGTGAAGCGATCGGAAGATCGCACAACTCACCGTTATTGACAGAAACCACGGTCAGATTACCGCTATTGACGCCTTGAAACGAACTTTAGTTGACAGAGAATGGATACATATGTCATAAATGCCATACTTTGACTCGTTAAAAGTCATATTTGTTTTTGTTAGACGATTCTATGTCAAAACGTAATTCTCGCGATCACGCGATCACGTGAACGGGAGTCTTGACGGTGACTGGTCAGACTGGTTCCATGTAAGAAATAATACCCGGCAATTGCTATCAGCTGCTTCGCTTAGGGTTATTATTATTTTAAATATGTTTAGTAAAAGCTGCATCTAAATTAACAAGATATTGGAATATATTATTCCTGATAAAAAAATAGTTTCAGATACAACTTTTGCCGATCCTTGCATTAAAATCCTGTAAAGTTATATCATTGGGTGTGTCTTGACTGAATCACCGGTAAATTCCAAGAAAATGTGTGTACAGCTGATCGCTCACTCTCCTACCCAGAGTTCCATGCGGCCGGCAGCCAGCTAGCATAGTACACATTTTCATAAACAAATGTCAACGAATGGTTAACTTTCATTGAGAAAGTATGCAAATACGTAAAAATCTACTTGTTTTTGCGTAGTTATCCTATGTTTACATTGGTTGTACGGCTCCACGTGCTGTCATCGAAGCCCAACGGAGAGCTGACATGGTCACTTTGATGCATAAATATATATTGTCATGCAACTCACTGTCGCTGTTGTAGTAGCTTATCTATATAGTTATGCAAAACAATTTGTAAAGCGCCCCCAAATACTTGCATTATTCCGTTCTATACTGATTTCTGAAAATGCGCGTTTGTTTACAAACAAGAGAAAAGTCCGGTCACGTGATATGCAAATTAGTCTGTGGCAGTGGTGTTATGCTGAGTCACCACTGCGACGGAGTGTGCTGATTGCTGTGTCCGGCTTAGTTTACGAGAAGAAACACATGGTATATCCTGGATATAAATCAATGCCTAGCTGAACAAAAAATAAAATTTAAACGGTAAATCAACATGTCTGGTGATTTTTTCTCTCAAATCTCGAATTTGTACTGACCAAGTTTCTCATCACCCGTTCGTTTGCCGGACTTCGCTAAAGCGGTAGATATATCTACGGTGTAATTTTGTTTCTGCGCTTGGAAGATCTATTCGAATTTTTTCCCCTAAAAATTCTGAATCCGCTAGAGAGGGGTGCGCACTATACTAAAGAAAATACGGTATACATCATTTGCCGATTGACAACGATTTGTTGTTGTTTTGACTTGCGCAAATATGGAAAAATACTTCGTGTTTTTGACCGGCGAAACGACCGCCACAGCTGTCACCTGGGCGGATGTCGTACAGTACATGCGTGGGTACTAAACTCTTCACATTGTTAGTGCATTACTTAATAACAGAAAGTGCTTCCTTCATTCCAGGTATGGAGCTTCATATCGAAAGCGAAAACAGTACACATGGCCTAGCAGTGATCTAGTCGATGTTATTATGTTCTGATATCGATTTTTTTCACTGAAGTTACCGCTCTTATATTAAAAACGATCTTTTTTAATATCTAATGACAAGAGATATTTAGTCGCCAAACGTAATTAAAGACAAGGAGCCAGTTGGCGACTGACATGAAAATACCAGTCGCAAAATACAAAACTAGATCGCCATGGCGACCAATTTAGTCGCAACTTTGTGGCCTGCGGGCTGACAGACGTAGCGATCGCTATCTGTTTGAAAATAATTTGTGTACCATTTTGTTATGTATGGTCTAAGAATTAAAAAAACATACAAAAAATTAGTCATGAATAAAGTGTCTGTTTCCAAAAAACAGCATCGATGCGTCAAAGGGCTGAGATCCTTACATCATTTGTACAAGCGAATTCATACCACTGGTATCAATAAACGTGCATCTTGTATAGTCCTTCAATTGATATGTGTGTGAGTGAAGGAGTTCAACCAATGAGTCTAGATAAGAGGTATAGATTCCCTAGCAGTAGTAGTAGTAGTAGTCTTAAAAAGTGTAGAAGCTAACAAATTAAGAAGTTTAATATTAGCCATATTTCCGTAAGCAGGTAGGTATGGTGCTGACGATTCACAAATAAAATTACATTTTTTTACAATATGTAGAATAAATGTTGATAAAAACAAGCCACTGAAATTAAAAGAATATCGAAAATAGTACGTCATATTCTGATAATCAAATAACTCTTATATGATAAAGTAATTATAATTAAGATGCATTACTAAAACGTCAGTAGACAAGATTAACCACCTAGCAATATAGAGTCGCTTGTCAAACAAAAGGACCTCTTTCCGTCAAGCATTGTCAACCATTATACAGAAATACGATATCTTCAAGCTGCTATACTTACCACACATAATGTCACCCGAACAGTCATCGTAACACGTCTTCTCAACAAATCCCACTCTAAATCATTGACAAGTCTTTATATATGAAGCACCATCACTATACGGGGAACAAGTCAATAAAATTAACCCCCGTCAAGAGAATGTTTAGGAAACGCACCTGTAAGGTAATGAAAGAGAGGCATGCTGATTCCCGCTGTTTCCTTGGACAATGAAACCTAACTATATACAGTACAAGATATGTATACTGTTTATGGCGTAATTGACATTGCAAAGTAATGCAAGCATCAGAATATATGCTATAATATTCGGCAGAGGTAGAAAGTTTCGAAGCCCTTATCATGTAACTATACATATATTAAAAATCCAAAGTCCGATAATGAATTCCGGTTTAAAACGACGCGAGTCATAGGTCACCGAGTACAAATTGTTCCATGAAACTGTCCTCAGCTAGTTTCATGTCCGACATACTTCTGGTATGACAACGTTACGGTGATGCTGGTGTTTCTAACGACAACGTCGATGACATAAATGAAAGTATTCTTTATGTTTTCTATGGCTAATATGGACCATTATTGAGTAAATAAATGTCTGTAAAACGCACTGCAATGCGAACCAAATTCCGCCGTTCCTCGGGAGTTCCATCATATGTAAAAGCGAATTCATACCACTGGTAGCAATAAACGTGCATCTTATAGTCCTTCAAATGATATGGCTATGAGTGAGCGTGTCCAGATTAGAGGTATGAATTCCCTAGTTGGTGGTTGTAGTAGTAGTAGTAGTAGTAGTAGCAGTAGTAGTAGTAGTAGTAGTAGTAGTAGTAGTAGTAGTAGTAGTAGCACTATAAACGTTCAAAGGAAATGATGAATTCGGGATTGGTCATTTATTTAGGAGGGTGTGTGTGTGTGCGTGTGTGGGGGTGGGGGGGGGGGGGGGGGGTGTACGGACGGGGGAGGTGGTCTTAGGACTGTATCATATTGTGTCGACATTATTTCAAGGCACCCTTTAATGCACCCTTAAACACGTATTCATCACAATCTAAACATGTATTCATCACAATCTAAACATGTATTCATCACAATCACACGCACGCACGCACGCACGCACGCACACACACACAAACACACACACACACCAACACACATGCACCTATATTAAATGACCAGTCCCTAAATAATGTTCAAATTAATAGCTAGTCTTCATTCAAATATACATAAAATAGCCTTTATTTAGGACCCACAGTACATTGTAAAATGAATGGGAGTGTGCGTTACAATCTCATTGGTTGAAAAACTATGTTAAATGGGACTGGATCCCGGAAATCTCTTGGTCATGTCACAGCGTGTGATTACTTTTATTGATAACTATCTTAACTCCAAAACCACAAACAATTAATGGCAGCAAATGATATATATTTAGTTGTTCAGAGTATATTTATACTTCAGCTTTAAAATACAGATAAAGCATGAACATATTGTCCGATCAAAACACGTTAATTTTCTACTCATGTGATTACGCAACAGGCAGTACAGAAAACTATTAAAACATCATCGTTAATTATTACATGGAACTATGAGACAGACATGAAAATACTTGACTTCGGTATAAAAGATCTGAATAGTTCTCAAATCCCAGTACACGTACGCAATGTATGCTCGAAGCACAGCATTATTATTACCCCGGTCCATGGCTCAGTGTGCACTCGATGTTTCAGTTGCAGCTCCCTGGGTAGTATACAACCCAAGCCTGTGAGGCGCTTGAATGTTGAGTCATTTATCAAATCCTACCGGGTACCCATTCCCCGCTGGGTGACAAGCTTCCGAACACGTCCACCCACCCATGGAAGGACACTTCGCGACCAACGTTGCTTAACTTCGCCTGATTTGTGAGCTGTGCGGCGTACACGGGACCACGTAAACAGTCAATCTCATTAAAGTCAGATCTTTGTTCTCGCTACCTAGCACGAACTATGGTCTGATTTAACGAGATTGGTAAAGAGTTGAGTGATTAATTGTGAAGAGTAGACATAATATTATAATGATTGAATAATAATGCCTTAGTAAACACTTATCGATGTCACATATAGGTATAGGTCATATACAAACCGTGAAACAAATATATTCAATTCAGCCCATGCAGGTCAATCATATTTGACAGGGAATACTGTTAAAAGCGGCGTTAAACCCAACTCTCACTCACATTTGACAGTATCTCTGGGCTTTTTATTATGTTTCATAACTATAATTCAACAACTGTTTTTCTCTGTAAAATACATATGTTTGTTTATTTCGGAGACTAGATGTAAGTCTACCATATACCTTCAACTTTTCAGTAATACAGTTTACAAACCAGATATGTTTTCTAAATGTTCATTTACTCTCAAAAGACAAAGCACATGCATTTGATTTGACACTCGGCAGCGAAAAGCGCCGAGCTATGATCTAAGGGAGATCACTCTAATTTTCCTGGTTCTCTGCACGTGATTATTTCACAAACTTGAGCAAACGGGAAACGTCAACAGTGTCAGTCAATACGGCGGTGTTAGCAAGAAGTAAGTACACCATGTCAGTCTCTGACTTATTTCATTATTTTAGTTCATACTGAATGCGTGTAACTGACAGTAAGTAAGAGAGTATTTAGTGATCAGCTGGTGATAATAACTGGTTAATCGCCGTTAATCGGGAGCGGGATGTCCGGCAGTGATACTGTTAGCATTCGCTGGGCAGTATTACTAATCAGCATGCATTGTAGCTATTACACAATGTTACAGTTTGATTATTTCTTATTATGAGGGAAATTAGTCAGAGGAGACAATTCTTTTTGACAAATTACCCTGCATCCGATATTCTCTGGTACTTAAATTAAAAAATAGACCCAAAATAAGTTTGATTTTGAGAATGTCCGGCAAAGCTGCATTTTACCGCGCTGGGTAGACTAACATCTAGTCTCTGAAATGAAAATATCGTACAGAAAAAACAGTTGTTCAGTTATCTTAATAAAAATATGATAAAAGGGAGCCCAGTGACTCTCTTCATTTTCAGATACTGCAGTAATCTAGACTTGCCAAACATTATAGACTTGCATGGGCTGTATTTGATATATATGTTTGTATCAGGTCTGTAAAACAGACTACGCGCTGAGGCTTATTGGCTCAGGCTGCCGGCTGCGTCTCTCGCTTTACAGATCTCATATGCCCACATATAGGGCGGTATATATTTTTATTTACTGACCAATATATCGAGTTCCTGTGCATATGCCTCTTCGCCCCTTCCTTATCCCATCCGACTCTATCCTTATCCCATCCGACTCTATCCTTATCCCATCCGACTCTATCCTTATCCCTTTTTTCCCCTTTCCGAACATTCAAAGACCCCTTTCCAATCAAACACTCCTTCCCGATCTGTAGGTATGGGTGGCCATCCTGTCAAAAAATACAAAGTTGAAATAAAGGACAAAGGTATTCAATAACAGTCAAATGTTACGAATAAAGAATGAATGTTACAAATAAAGGTCATTGTTTGCATACAAATAATGAATTCAAAATGCAAAACGATACCAATGAACAATTTTAACTCCCAAACAAAAGGAGTCACATGAAACAAAAGAACAATGTGTACTAGGTCTAAATAAGGTCGGTGCACAAAAAGCAGACAAAACTGATGAAGGACAATGCTGACAATAAACAATGCCACATGGCGCTGCAATTACCGTATTTTCTTGAGTATAGTGCGCACCCATGTATAATGCGCACCCCCCTCTAGCGGATTCAGTATTTTGGAAAAAAAATTCGAAAGTCAAGCGCAGAAAACCCCCCCCCCGTAGATCTACCCCTTCAGCGAATTCCGGTAAACGAATGGGTGATGAGAAACTTGGTCAGTACAGATTCGAAATTTGAGATAAAAAATCACCAGACATGTTTATTTACCGTTTAAATTGTATTTTTTGTTCTGCTAGGCATTGGGATTAAGATTACCATGTGTATTTTCTCGTAAACTAAGCCGGAAACAGCAATCAGCTGCACACACGTTTTCTTTGAATCTACCGGTGATTTGGTCAAGACACACCCAATGATATAACTTTTAGTAAAATATTCAGAGTCTAATCGGCTTGTTCTGCCATGTATACGAATGAAAACATACTGTGAAACATCATAACCAGTTGAGGTAATATTCAAAGTTTGAAAAATTAAATTTTGCAAAAATCCATTTAAATTTTGCTAAAATCCATTAAAATTTAAAATTAATGCTTTGCCCAAGTTTAACATTTTTAAATTTCTTAACATTTTCAGGTTTTGACGTTATTTGGCAAGAAGATATGTTTACTGGATATGGGTTTTCTATTTAACAGGGTTTAAGAATTATCAAATCCTGTACACATTATACATTGTTACTATTATAAACCGTCAGTATTGTACTGTGTACAATTCTCACTTGACCATTCCAAATCACATTCTTGAAAACTTCACATGAATTGAAATAGCAAAAGGTATGAAAAATCTTCCCCTCTTTGCTACATGGTATGTGATTGTCATTAATTGACCCAAAAAAACATCCAGTGTTTATTCTGAAACCAATAGAAGGGTTTGATATTGAATAAATCCCAGGACGTATAGTCAGGAATTCATATAAGACACCCAAAGAAACCTTTATGCTGGGATTGAAATGTGTCTCTAAGATTGATTTGTTAGACAAACATCAATCTTATTTAAATCAGATCTTTGTTCTTGGTGCTGCTAAACAAAGATCTGAGGACATCCCATTATGGGTCACATCAGGACGACCTTTCGTGAACTTTGACCCACCACTGAAATGACTAACAAGAAGTCGACATTAGCCAATTAGAAAGCAGCTTTCTCGAGCTTTAAGCCACTCGTTTCAACCTGGCGACTTCCATTTCAAACTACGCTTGAAAAATATGTTGACACAGTCCTCGATTAAAATTTTCAAAACTAAAAAAACGAACATTCCGAAATGTCCAATATATGATTGAGATTGTATGGCAGTGCTTCCCACGTACTGTGCAACGCCTCCTCCGTTCAAATGTATATCGCACGGTAGCGAGAGATAGACGATATTTTTTACGGAATCAGTCGTAGGGGCCGTAACTGTCGTTCAGAGTACTCCGTGTTAACGTTTTCGAGGTTGCATGATTAGAAAACACATTCCGACTATCACTTTCATGATCTGTTAAGTGACGCTTTGATTAGTTGGATGAAAGGTCATACTGACGTGACCTGTTACGGGATATCCTCAGATGTTTGTTTAGCGATAGCGAGAACTAGGATCTGATTTTAATGAGATTGGCATTTCAAAATCATGGGAGTCATACTGGCTGTTTGAAAATGTCATGAAAAGTATCATGCAAATTTGCCCAAGTTTAAACATTGACTTATTGATTGATGTATTTCCATTTATGCACATGGCAACATATATTTCTTTCTCTCAGTATCCAACAGTGATTTCCAGTACCTGGTACAGTCCAGGCTGCAGTTGTATCAGTCTGGTCCTCCATATTGCCTGTCCTGCTTCCTGCAGCTGTCACAGGTTATAAAACATTAGTATTACCTCAACATAGTAAAAACTCAGTAAAGTATGCTCTGTCAGACTAATCTATCCCTGTATCTGGAATAACATGGTCAGGTCACAGTGTAGTGCCTATTTATTGAGTCTGTCAGACAGTTTATCACCACCAAACAAGGACTTGTAAAAGTTTTATTTTTCGAGATAGAAATAGTTTTATCCATGCTGTTAAACAGTGGCACCCAGTACACTCTCTTAGGGTGCTAATTTGACAGTTTGTGATTTGACATAAATGTACTGGCCCTATATTTGTCTGAGCTATAAATTATTTTTAGATTTGAGTGCAAACAAATGGAGTGAGTGAGTGCGTGAGTGAACAGTATTCCAGTTACATGACAGTGTGTCACCTTGACATGGGAGGAAAGCCTGAAGTGATGCAGGTCTTAGACATTTACCGCTTTGGTGAAAACCACGAGCATGGGTATGGTGATGACAAACCTAGACACATTACCTGGGTGAATCGGGATTCTATCAAACACATGATCATAATTTTTTTTATAGGCATTTAGAAGTTGGAGTACTAAGTAGGGTAAGAATTTATGGATGAACAACTTCTTAATTACAATTAAGAGTGATGTTTCGGTGTAGGTTCTAACACTTGCTTGATAACAGTGTTAGAACCTACACCGAAACGTCGCTCTAAATTGTAATAAAGAAGTTGTTCATCCATAAATTCTTACCCTACTCACATGACCATAGGTTTCTTGATCTGTTGAAGCTTTAAAACATGAAATGAAGATTGTTCATCCTGGGTGTACGTTTAAGCAAACAGTTACCGGTACTTTCTTTTATGAAATTTGTGATCATATAAAACAGTGGGATTTTATAATTATTGAACAGTAAAATGAAATGTACATAAATGGTATAAATTCAGGACCCTCTCAACAATTAAAGTTCCTAGACTGAAAGTGATGAAGCTTTTGTAACTATTGGAGAAGGAACAAATTCGAAAAAATTCGATACCAACAGAAATACAAACATTTAAATAAAATGGTAGGGATTTACCAGACGTGTAGTCTTGATACCACTTACAACTTAATTTCCGTACAAAATCATTTAAGAAATTCAGTCCACAGTCAAAAGCATCACGATATTCTAGTGCTAGCATTTGTAGTTTCAGTTAAGGAATTCCATAGTCATTTTTAACCAGTTGCACCCCGCTATTTTACATCACTTGTGGTAGAGTGCTGTCTCATATTGTTTGGGGTGAAGTTCGGGGCTCAAAGGAGGGCAGAACAACAAGTTTTATGACTGTTTTTTGGCAGAGCAAGTTCGTGTGTTCAAGTGCAAACAAACATGAGTAAAAATGGTGATATGATTTTACATATTAAATGAGATAAAAACCAGTAAGGAATTAAGCTATTTTATCTGAATTAGCATTGTTTGTATTCAATATTTGACCTTTCTCTGTGACCTCCATATTTTAACCTGCGACCCCTACAATTAATTGTGCATCCCCTGGGACCCCAAAATGTTTGGACAGATAAATCCCTCACAAGGAATTGAAGCGACCAAGCCTAAGGTAAACAAAAAGAAAAATCCAAGACTTCAGCAAGCTACACATTATTGTTATCCAACCAAAACACGAAACTCACCAGTTGTCATCCTTCCTTGCATTGTATGTTCATCAAGATAGGCCATTTCCTGAACCATCTACTTCCTGTGTTATATATATGAGTTACCAAAGTACAGTGTAACAGATTCCTTATGTACATGTAATCCTACTAGAGTGGGATGTTTTACTCCAATACAATACCGCTCTGCATCTGGGACACCTCCATTTCTATCATTATAGATATTTGGTGGTTTCTGAGCCCCATGGCATCTACCACCAAAAGACTGCTATCAAGGGTAAATTTGTGTTCCTTGTGGATTTCTTTTACTAAGATCAAAATTTCTGAATCAAGGTTCAGGGTTTGAAATGAACTTAAGTCTGCTTGTCAAAAACTTAAAAAATTCAGGGAGGACTAGTGACATTTGCTTGGGAACTACCACTTATATCTTTAGATAGGGCCACTCTGTAGCAGGACTAGTGACATTTGCTTGGGAACTACCACTTTTATCTTTAGATCGGGGCCATTCTGTAGCAGGACTAGTGACATTTTCTTTGGAACTACATGTACCACTTTTATCTTTAGATAGGGGCAATTCTGTAGCAGGACTAGTGACATTTTCTTTGGAACTACATGTACCACTTTTATCTTTAGATAGGGCCACTCTGTAGCAGGACTAGTGACATTTGCTTGGGAACTACCACTTTTATCTTTAGATAGGGGCAATTCTGTAGCAGGACTAGTGACATTTGCTTTGGGACTACCACTTTTATCTTTAGATAGGGGCCACTGTGTAGCAGGACTAGTGACATTAGCTTTGGGACTACCACTTTTATCTTTAGATAGGTGCCACTCTGTAGCAGGACTAGTGACATTTGCTTGGGAACTACCACTTTTATCTTTAGATAGGGGCAATTCTGTAGCAGGACTAGTGACATTTGCTTGGGAACTACCACTTATATCTTTAGATAGGGCCACTCTGTAGCAGGACTAGTGACATTTGCTTGGGAACTACCACTTTTATCTTTAGATAGGGGCAATTCTGTAGCAGGACTAGTGACATTTGCTTTGGGACTACCACTTTTATCTTTAGATAGGGGCCACTGTGTAGCAGGACTAGTGACATTAGCTTTGGGACTACCACTTTTATCTTTAGATAGGTGCCACTCTGTAGCAGGACTAGTGACATTTGCTTGGGGACTACCACTTTTATCTTTAGATAGGTGCCACTCTGTAGCAGGACTAGTGACATTTGCTTGGGGACTACCACTTTTATATTTAGATAGGGGCCACTCTGTAGCAGGACTAGTGACATTAGCTTGGGGACTACCACTTTTATCTTTAGATCGGGGCCCCTCTGTAGCAGGATTAGTGACATTTGCTTGGGAACTACCACTTTTATCTTTAGATAGGGGCCACTGTGTAGCAGGACTAGTGACATTAGCTTGGGAACTACCACTTTTATCTTTAGATAGGGGCCACTGTGTAGCAGGACTAGTGACATTAGCTTGGGGACTAGCACTTTTATCTTTAGATAGGGGCCACTCTGTAGCAGGACTAGTGACACTTGTTTGGGAACTACCACTTTTATCTTTAGATAGGGGCAATTCTGTAGCAGGACTAGTGACATTTGCTTGGGAACTACCACTTTTATCTTTAGATAGGGGCAATTCTGTAGCAGGACTAGTGACATTAGCTTTGGGACTACCACTTTTATCTTTAGATCGGGGCAACTCTGTAGCAGGACTAGTGACACTTGTTTGGGAACTACCACTTTTATCTTTAGATCGGGGCAACTCTGTAGCAGGACTAGTGACATTTGCTTGGGAACTACCACTTTTGGTGAGGGTCCTCAGATCTCCATGCTGACAGTATCTATCAGAGTGAGAGATGTGATGTGAGCGGGATTTGATTAAACAGACAGTACGACCTTGGTTGAATTCAAATTTTTGTCCAACTCTGAGACCACTGTGTTTTTACAGCTGGGTTGTAGCAATAAGTTCTGTTATAATTTGAACATGTTATTCCAACAATGACAGATATATATTGAATTGTTTTGCCCATTACTAAACTATTTGGTCTTCATTCAATGTGTAAACTGATCTTTTGCATTCTTTAAAATCATTTCTATGCAAGATGAATTCATGCACTGACCAGCGTTAGAAACTGCCCAGTAGTTAAGGTATCCTAAGGACCAGTAGAAATTTGCCCTTTTTTTAGGGGTTTTGCTATATGTTATCATAATAAGTACTAGTGGACTAAAAGTGTTACCGGGTAGTTTCTATCACTGCTGAGAATAACAGGACAGCAAGCCCAATGTGCAGTGTTAGTTTAGCTTGTCATGTTGTTTAACTTGTTTAACTCTGCGGTTTTGAAGTTGAATATTTTGTGTGCACCATCTCTTCGTGGGGAACAAGTAAAATTTGCAATCAGCGGAATAATGGAAATTCTGATTTTTTGTTTTCCACTTTTCATTTTTGAATCTGTAAATCAGTTTTGAAACAAGTCTTGTCTGTTTAGATTAACCTGTAGTAAGAACAAATTGGCATTTACTATTAGCTGTCATTCACCATATTAATTGTAGTGTTGCTTTCTTTCCACATTATGATGAAATGTCATGATATAACTCATCACGCAAAAGACCTGGGTTCAGTTCCCTACATACCGGGTAGGTACAATGTGTGGAGCCCATTTCTCGTGTCCCCCACCATGATATTGCTAGAATATTCACAAAAACGGTGTAAAATCATACTCACTCACTCATGATATTACTGAAGTATTGTTCAAAGAGACATTAATTACAGCTCACAAGTAACTGAACATTGGTGATATTCAGTTTCTGGCAAAGACTAATCATTGATAGTGATCGATTACTATGATATTGTACACCTTTCAGAAATACCTGTACTGATCCATCTTCCCGAGGCAAGGGAGTTAACTGACTGAAGTCCAGTTTCCACTCTTGACGAATAAGGCTGCAATTATGGAGTTATATTTTGGATGGACTAACGAGTCTGTGCATAGTCCAATCAAAATCCTGTAACATAATCGACATCCGGTTTATAAATAACATGGCAACTGCCTTGCTGAATTCTTTCGATTGCTGGATTTGCAGAGCATGTGTACAAGTGCTCACCGACAGATATTTTCTCAATCATTTCATGTTTTTAATCAAGGTGCTCAAGTGATTTCATGAACTTCACAAGGTAAAACACATTTTATTACAATAAAGATCTTTATTATCGATGAGATCGTCTTGACTGGGCGCGACCGCCTCCGTGGTCTTGTGGTAGAGCTTCCGCCCGGAGAGCGGAAGGTCCAGGGTTCGATCCCGGGCCGCGTCATACAAAAAGACGTTAAAAGATTGTACTTGTTGTTACCCTGTCTGGCGCTCGGCATTAAGGGTCTAAAACAAGGACTGGTCGGCTCGGAGTCAGTATACTGTGTCTGAGTGGGGTATTCATGTTAAACTGCGGCATGGTATCTCAGTGAGCTAGCACTATAAATCGGCATCAGTCCGGACTAGTACAAGCAGCCACACACACACATACACGTGCATGCACGTCGCTATATAAGTGCAATAATCTTGGACGCGACGTTAAACCCAATTTCACCTCACCTCACCTTGACTGGGCGCCACCATGTTGTTTGAAGCATTACAAGTGGTATGAGAGGTGAGATCTGATTGGTCATTAGAGATGACACAGAAGGGACATAACTCATAGTAGCCACTGGTTGCACTACGATCAAGCCCAGAAATGCCAGCCTAGTTCGGCAAGGGTGGAAACTGCATGGACTTTTGAAGTCTGTTAACGCCCTTGCCTCAGGAAGATGATATTGATCAGTGATCAATGTGGATATTATTTCAGGAATTTCATTATGACGGAGTGACAGACTATCATTGCGACATGTTGTGTTCCAGTTTCAAGGGTTGGGAAGTTGGGACAGAGACTCTGGTTCTACCCCCAAGTCAGCACCACACAATCTATCCACATGGCAGAGGCAAGCGTGAGTGGCAACTTTCACCCTTTTTTATATTTTGTAGGCAGATTTCCTTTCCAAAACCTTTGGGCTGGTGAGCTAATAAAAAGAACTTTCATTCATGTGGGTGAAATAAGAAGAAAACAAGAATGAGTTTGGGGAAAGAGAATTACTACAGACCTTTTTTGAAATTGTTCATAACTGAAAGTATTTCACAGATTTGGTGGGGAAAAAAACAACTTTTTTCTCAAAATGTTTTTCCATTCTATTTTTGTAAAATGTTGGTTCTGCTGGTTCATAAATTACCAAGTGATTAGAAAAACAGCAGCTCAGGAATCTAATGATAATTTGAAAGATTACACAGAGCTAATTACTGGATATTTTAGTCCGTTCTATTGAATATAATATGAATGTCAGATTAAGGGCTTGGTCACATCAAAAGAATGTGTACAGAGACCAACTCCTCCTAGCTCTGAGAATAGGTCTTCAGCAATCCATGCTTGCCATAATAGGTGACTATGCTTGTCGTAAGAGGCGACTTACAAGATCGCCTGGTCAAGCTTTCTGACTTGGTTGATGCATGTCATCGTATCCAAATTGCATGGATAGATGCTCATGTTATGACCGCCGTCATGTAGCGTAAATATTGCTAAATGCGGCGACAACACACAAACAAACAAACATTGTTAAAGTGTATGGTCTTGTTTCCCAGGGCTTATTTTCAAAACTATGTAGTGAGGGAGTATTTATTTTACAGAAACATACTTATTTAGGATGTTACAAATCTAAAAAAGGTAAACTTAATTCCTCTGTACCATGTGACCTCTTTTGGCCATGCCCTTTGACTGAAAGTGGTAAGAGACAGATCTGCAGCCATGTGCCAACAATGACAGGTTCCCTGTGAATCTGACATCTGAATCTTGGAATGGCATGGTGTGTGCAAAAAGTCAGAATCTGATACAAAAACAAAACTTGAGTTGAAAAGTATCTTCAGCGCTTATGAAAGTATTACATATTAGGGGAAGGGCAGTTTGGGGGCCTATGGTATCAAATTCAGAATTGATAAGCCCAATTATCTTTATGGACAATATGAGGAGAATGGATATACTGGTTATTCAATCATGAGTCTGCAACTTTGGATGTACCGGATTATTTCCATCATCTGCCAGCACTGAAGGAGTGGATTGAGGATATTTTTTTAAAGAGGAGATCCAAGTTTTGTGAACCAATACTTTCACCAGTGTGTACATGCAGAAGATGCACATCACAAATGCACTGTTTGTTTGTTCGAACCACAAGGGAGCATGGGTGGCCCAGTCGTCTAAGGCACCACGATTCGCTGTGCATAGTTGCGTCCCTTGGGAACCGCAGAAACCTATGATTGTGGGTTCGAATCCCGGTTCGCCCCGATCATGTTTCTAGGTTTGTCAGCACCATTCCCGTGCTCGTGGGTTTCACTGAAGTGGTAAAACGTCTGAGACCTGCATGACTTTGGGCTTTCCTCCCACATAAAGCTGACATGCCGTGATATAACTGGAATACTGTTAAAAGCGGCGTCAAACCCAACTCACTCACTCACTCGAACCACAGCCACATCCATGCTTATGGGTTTCGCATGGTGATGGACACTTTAATGAAACAGACAGATGTTAGTTAATTCAGTATTGTTCAAGGTGATGTTCATCCCTAGACTTGATGTCAGCTTTTCTGTGTCTGCACCAAGTGACTGATATCTCATTCAGACCATTTTCCCTCCTTCTAGGGTTTCCAGTTTGTGGAGATGAAAGGTGACTTATTCAAGTGCCCGGAGACCGATGCCATTGTCCACTGCGTCAGCCAGGATATGCACATGGGAAAGGGGATAGCCGTCCTCTTCAAGAAAACATTCGGTGGTGTTGAAGAGCTGAGGAAACAAGGTGTACATACATCAGTGTTTAGATTGTGTGGCCTTTAGGTGGGACTGTGGAGTTTTGTTATGGTAGTGTTTGTTTATGAGAATGAAGTGAAATCACAACCTGATCTATTGTGACCTTTGACAATATTGTAGGTTTGTTTGTTTGTTTGTTGTTTAACGCCGCACTCAGCAATATTCAAGCTATATGACGGCGGCTATAAATAATCGAGTCTGGACCAGACAATCCAGTGAGTGATATCACGAGCATCGATCCACGCCTTAGGGATCGATGACATGCATCAACCAAGTCAGGGAGCCTGACCAGAATATTGTAGGGCATGGTTGCAACTTTGGTTGAAGGCACCACAATTATCTTCTGGGCATAGTTGCGTCTCATAGTTGTGCCAGGATCACCTGGTTGTGGCCAAGATTTGCTTCTTAAATAGTGTTAGAGCCATGAAATTCTCTCTTTCTGTGACCTTGTTTCAGATTTTAAACTAAAATATTCAACAATAAAGTTGGGTTTTTTTCTTTCTATTTTCTTGCTTCAAATAGCCTTCATTTAGGTTACTGAAACTCAAATTCCATTCATCAGACTACACATAATGTGAACCTTTTCAGTTTTTTTGTAGTGCCTTGAAAAAAATATCAGACTTTTGTAACATTTACCTGTTAGGGTTTATGTAATATATGAGTTGCCCCCTTGGCAGCCAACCCGAGAGACCGCTTACCGGATGTAATTTTTCAATAATGGCAATAAATGAAGACAGAACACTGCATGTCATTCTCTACTGTTTGTCCAAGCAAGCAGTTCAATGCTACAAGTGTGTTTAGTTTGTAAGAATATTACAGTATTTACGTACTATTCAGGAAGTCAGTACAGTTTTTTCATCAGTCATTGATAACTCACTTTTACACTAACATTCTGTCATTACTGGACAACCAGGTCCAACATGTTCCTTCTGAAATCAGTTTCTCTGTTGCTAGGGAAGAAGCCAGGTGAGACGGCAGTCTTGAAGAGGGGACCTCGGTACGTGTACTATCTCGTCACCAAGCCCAAGTATTTCAACAAGCCCACATACGGTTCCTTGACTGCCAGCCTGGAGGACATGAAGAAGCATGTTGTGGAGAATAATGTGGTCAGCATCTCCATGCCCCGCATCGGATGTGGCCTGGATGGTCTCCAGTGGCCCAAGGTCACAAACATTATTACGGATGTGTTCTCAGACACTGAGGTCAAGGTCACAGCTTATACACTCTGAGGGGGAGGATCAAGAGGTTTCCAATCTGTATTTTGATAGTGGCTGCAAGACTGCAAGATTGTTTCGTTATTTGTTACACTGGTCAAAGACCAGTGGAGGTATTGGAATGGCAGATGTCTGAATGTGACTGGTATGATTTTCACAACTATTTTCAGTGAAATCTTTGGATGGCTGGTCCAGCCCATTTTGTCTTTTAAGTTTGCTTAAATTATTGTGATCTGAATTCAAAATTGCCACCATGTCTGCCATATTGATAGTCAAATTGGAGCCAGTCTCAGCTATTTGTGTATTTGTCTTTGTGCATTGTAGTATGTAGCTGGTTTCATCATGTTGCCAGGGGCGGTCGGGTAGCCTAGTGGTTAAAGCGTTCGCTCATCATGCTCACTCACTCTCTCATCATGTTGCCCTCTCTCTCTGCATTTTCATTTCAGACTCTTTTCAAACTTTGATTAAAAATCCCATGTATTGTTGGAAGTGAGTATGCGGTGAATCTGAACAAATTGTTATTCATATCTTATTGCCTATTTGGACAATTGAACACATGCGGGCACACACCCACACAGATATCCAAGCTGTTCACTGGAGAAATAGTCCTAGATGAAAAGTTTCAAAAGCTGTATTATCTGCCGAGGTCTTTTTCAATGTTGACAACTGAATAACAAAGTTACTTAAAGAACACAATTGTCTGTGCATTGCTATAGCATAGACAGAAAATGTTGAATGTGATCATGTGAATTGTAACTTTTCTGTAGGTTAGTGATCCGGAATATCAGTTGATCACAATTTCAATTATGGGTCTTCTTTTCTTTTTGCTGTTGATAGGGTTGACGTTATATGGCCTTGAAGGTAGGCATGGAATTTGAAGTCATAGGCACAGTGTTTTGAAATCATTTTAAAACCCAACAAGACAGTTGGGCAGGTGACCGATAAGTATTGCCTGCTCATCTCGCAAGTTACCTGTGACATTAAGACATTATTATTGAAAAATCGCAAAAACAATATAAGAGACAAATCATGTCTTGATTCAGTTGAAATAATGCAACAAAATTGCTTGAGAATCTACAAGAAGTTATAATAAAACAGAATATGTCTGTAGTCTTATACGTATCTGCCAGACAGTCGAGCAGGTGGAGAAACATTTCATGGAGCCCGACAGAAAAAGTTACCTGCCACAGGCAGTTTTTTCGGACACTGCATTGGCAGCAGTGAGCTGAAATCTAAAAAAGATCTTACTGTGTGAGTCATGATTTTGTTTGTCTTATTCACAAGGAATGAATGTGTTGGTAACTAGTGTCTTCCTACAGTATTTCATTCACTTACATACTTTTTACTATAGTAATCTATCTGTTGGGTATTGTGACACAGCCTTCCAATTGTGGGTGTTCTTTAATTTGTTTGATGTAGTATAGTACCAATCTACTTCCAGATTAGTACTTTCATCTTGGAGTAGTGTATTTTTGTACATCATTATTTGAATCTCATCTGTAATTTCAGCCAGTGAAATCCTGTTTTGTGAAAGAGCTATAGGGATGTGACCACATCCTCATCTTGGAGGTTTGCTCGGACACTATGCGTATGATTACATGTCCAAGGCATGGAGAGAACGTTTCTTCTTATTTGTTGTCACGGATGACAATGTTGTATGGGATACATATTTTTCTACCTTTCTGGATAATTATTTAAATCTGCTTTTGTAGATATGTGCTATGTAAATAAATGTTTTCTCTTATTATGTGATGTTTAGAATTTTGTGAGTAGGATTAACTATGTTGAATATCAGTGAAGAGTTTATCACGCTAGTGAGGAATGGCAGACAGACATCACAATATCACAGAAACAGTCCATAACTTCAGCCACTAGTATGAATACTATTTGGTCTAGTATACAGAGTCCATACTTAAGATCTGAAGACCTACCATTTAAGGATTGACTATTTTTTTCGGTTCATTGAGGTATGAATCGAAAAACCGATGAATCTTCACAATAAACGTGAGCAGAAAGGGAATTCCCTTGACTGTAATAATGGGATTCCCCGACATTCTGCAGTAATAAAAGTAGTGCGCCTCAGTGGGCGTGGCTTAATTTTTTACATTCATTGGGAAATGAATGCAATAACACGTGACCAATTCAGCTAATCAGAATGCAGGAATTTCAATGTACACAACGAAAATTTAATTATTACAGGTTGCGTCAGAACGACCTTTCATCTGACCAATCAGAGCGTTGCTTACCAGATCAGGAAAGTGACAGCCGGAATGCATTTTCTAATCATACATCCTCAAAAATGTTAACATGGGGTATTCTGAACGACAGTTACAACTTATTCCGTCAAATCATCGTCTATGTCTCTCTTCAATGGCATAAGCCTTTGAAAGTACTGCCATACAATCTCGACCATATATTAGACATTCCAGCATGTTCTTTTGTCAAAGTTTTAATCGAGAACTTTGTCAACATATTTTTCAAGCGGTCTGAAATGGAAGTCGCCAATTTGAAAGCTTCTGTCCGATTGGCTGATAGAGACTTCTTGTTAGTAATTTCATTGGTCAAAGGTCGTTCTGACGTGACCTGTAATGTCCTCAGATAATTGTTAAGCGGTAGCGAAAACTACGATCTGATTTTAATGAGATGAGTGTTGCCTTATTGTTAGTTGTGCAGTGAAATCTGGCAAAACAGGACTAAATCAGATGTGGGTCAATACCTGATCAATGTTTATGGTCAGGAATTTACAATGTTAATTTATCATTAACTAAAATCTGTCTAAATTGCACTTCCTTCTCTCAGGATACTGGACATATTGAGAGCCAAAGGACCATTTTTTTCATTTAGCATGCATTTGATTCTCACCCTTGTCCATATTAAACTTTCTGCCCCACTGAAGTCTGGTTTAGACAGATTCCAGCGACCCTGGTGCCCCCCCATCTTAGGGTTCACACCCACAGGTAGCAAGAACTGACATAACCCACTTTGCCTAACCCGAGTACATATCCTTGCTGTCATTTATAATCACTGTGTTAGACAACCAACATTTTACAAGTCACAAGTGAATAGATGTAATGTATTGAAAATTCAATACAACATGGGTGGCTTACAAAATGAGTTTTAATACTGCTTTTTAAACAGTATTCCAGATGTATGCTTCATCCATATGGGAACAGAGACCATCTACTACTGTGGTAAAACCACAGGAATCTCAAGTTCTAATTAAAATAACTCAATTTTGTCTTACACCCTCTGGGTGGCAAATAGTAAAATAAGACAAAAAATGTGTTGATCAGAACTTTATACTTATTTGTTTGATAGCCATGATAGCATGGATAGCACAAACAAGGACATAAAGTTTGTTTTTTTAATAGAAGTCAGTGTTTGAAAGTAAAATGAGACAAAATTCTATTTCAAACAGAATTTGGGGCTCCTGTGGTGTTTTTGAATTTTAAAAAAAAAGCATAAAATTTTGTTATTTTCAAAAGAACAGAAAATTCATTCAGTAAAACCCACCAAACAAGGTATATTTGTAATTGTAATTCTTGACAATTTTTTATGTATCATTATAAGCTTCCCATACAAAGCACAGACTTTACGCAACAGTCCATATTTTCTTGAACAGCGTACAAGGGGCATATAATTGCCTTGGCTACTAACGATTATTAAAAAAAATTAGTTTCAGAACATAAACATTACAGCTCAATCTCTGAAAACAGATTTAACATGTGTATGGCTTTAACAAAAGCTCCGTTGTCAATTTTGTAAGCAGGCAGACAGTATTATGGTGAATATGGTACTTGAAGTTCCTTTGATCATGTTCATAAAAATAACAAAAAACAAACTGCTTTAGCTTGTATCTAAAATGTGTTTATGTGATGTGGCATGTTACAGTTTATCAGACATGAGAGAGACTCCCTGCATGGGGTCACAGTGTCGACAATGAAAACAATATCTCAAAATCTTGAGACGAAATGGATGTCCGGACACTGCATGAAACTGAAACAGAACCGTGACATTGCATCATATCAGTATTGTCAACGGCTTCAGTGGAAAATTCAAAATGTTACATCCCATAATTGTTATGTACTGACATCACATCATATGATAAAATTAGCTTGAAGTTCAATAAAAGAGCAACAACTGTTTCTAAAAGTCGGCAGTTATGGATGGCCTCAAGATGGATCTGCAAATATAAGGACTGAAAATCAGTTTCCTCTCACCCGGTCTAGTAGTGTAGCATCCAGTTTCACCTAGAGCAGCGACAGAAACTAACATTTTCAGTCCTTATTATAATTACATATTACAAAACCCTTAAAAATGGCAAATGTCTACTAGTCCTTATACCTTAACAATGGGGCACTTCTGTAAGGCATATAGGACTAGTGTGAATTTCTATCGTTGTAGAGGGGTTCAAACTACAACAGAAGTACCTTACCACACTGCACTTAAGACAGTTGCACTACAATCACTTTGTATTTATGAGCACCATACTGTAACATAAGGTTCTAGACCTTGAGATTTGCTCCAGCAGTATTTCAATCTAGGGACCCCCACCTGAATTATTAACTCTTAACATTAGGGTAAGATACTGGGACTCCTTGACGTTCATGCTAAATTTCGAACACTGGCAGCGATTTAAATAGTTACTCCTGTGTAACAACATCAATCAGGCCATGATTAAAAAGATGTGATTTTCTTGGTTAAGATTTCCTCAAAATCAATATACCGTACTTTAGTCAACTGAACAAGTGAAAACAAAAGTCATTGGTAAAGGCTATGTTAGTTTTCAACCTCTAGAAAATATGACCTCCCAAGTATGAATGTGATTTTCATAACATGTGAGATGCACATGAATCATGAAAATATGAAGCTGAGATGCCCAAGAAGACACCTCCTCACAGTACCGGTAATCACTTCCATCTTCACAAGTCCACTGTTGTGCAATGACATATTTACAATGACAACACACTTCTTATTACATCTCAATGATGTGATGATGTATCTCAGACAACAGAGTCAATTAAATGGAATACTCTTGAACTTGAACTTCATCATGCTTCTTGCTGCACTTGTTGAATCAGTGTGATGTTGTCTCCCTTTAACATGATTCTCCCTGAAAGCAAAAGACATACACATTACTTGATGCACTGTTTCACATGACGCAGAAATGTGCATCCAAATGAAATAGAATGGATGTAGAAAAAGTACATATTCATTCTACCAAATTCTTCACAAAAAATTAATTACTGTAATTAAAGTACTTATTAATCTTACAGTACACTACAGTATATTTTTTTTATTTTACAGGACCCTCCATATTTCCTGTAAGGACCCTTGAAATTAGTATTTGGGGGTCCTCTGGACTCCTATAGTTTTGTTGGTCAAGGTAAAACCCTGTTGATGTGAACACAGCAGGAGTGCATGGGAAAAGGAAAAGATCAAAAGTTTAATGTAGAATAAAAATAGTCGGACCCTTTATCATGTTTATCTTGAATGTACCAATATTGTAAACATTTTCTCAAGTCAAGACCACCTCACCATATAAATACATATAAATTTGACAGCTTACATTGAATTTGAGATGAAAATACATAGTGCTGTATCAGTGAGTGAGTGAGTGAGTGAGTGAGTGAGTTGGATTTAACACTGCTTTTAACAGTATTCCAGTTATATCACGGCGTGTCAGCTTAATGTGGGAGGGAAGCCCGAAGTGATGCAGGTCTCAGACGTCTACCACTTCGGTGAAACCCACGAGCATGGGTATGGTGCTGACAAACCTAGAATCATAATCGGGGCGAACCGTGATTCAAACCCACAAACATAGGTTTCCCAAGGGATGCAACTCTGCACAGCGAATAACGGCGCCTTAGACGACTGGGCCCCCCCGTGCTATATCAAAACATGGACTCTGTCCCAGCTTTGACTTTTCTTCAGAATTTTGTACTTTTAACTTGAAGTTTGCATTTGCTACGCTACATTAATAGTTTTCATAAGCACAAATAAGCATTCACATAGTGGTGAGCAATTCTCCAAGATAGATCTAGTACCTTTCATCACACAATCATCATGCCAACAAACATTGGTCGCACATTTTGTTCGTAAACAATGGTAAAAAAATAACTTTTCATTTTTTTTGGTGAATACCAAAAGCATGTGTCACTTACTCAAATGTTGTTCATGAACGCTACTGATTGCTGCATTGCAATGCAATACATGTACACACTGTTTTGTAAATCCTACATATCATACATGTACACTGTACGTAAATTGATCTTTGCCCGTGAAATGCATGTCAATCTGTCAACACCATACACATAATGTGTTAATAATTTCTAATGTATGCAATCATATTGGTATAGATCTATACATCCCCAATATCTCCAGGGCTCACATTTCGGAAAACCTACACGGACCCCTGGATCCATTCCTGTGGTACTCTCAAACACAAAAGCCCTTGAGTTTGAAATGAGTGTTAATTCTTAGCGCTGCCAAGTTGGAAATCCATGTAATCGTTAACACCTCCCTTATTCCTCAGTAACATCCTGCTTACCCAAATTCTTTCTGTTTGCTGTTTTCATGTGAACTTCTTCTGCATCATCCAAGACCAAATTCATGTACTCGTCAAAACCCTGTAATAGCAATATGTCAATTCAATGGCATCAAGACTTACTGGTTGGTTGGTTGTTTAACGCCGCACTCAGCAATATTCCAGCTATATGATGGCGGTCTGTAAAAAATCGAGTCTGGACCAGACAATCCAGTGATTGATATCATGAGCAACGATCCACGCAATTGAGATCAATGACATGCATCAAACCAAGTCAGCGAGCCTGACCACCCAATCCTGTTAGTCGCCTTTTACGGCAAGCATGGGTTGCAAGACTTACTGGATCAAGTTTACACATATAACATTGTCAAGCTGGAATGACACCAGTTTACTGAGTAAAAGGTGGAAATGTTGCTGTAACAATGAAACCTTTCTCCAAAAGTCCTGTCAGTATTTGACGGGATGATAAAAGGAAAAGGAAAAGACAAAGTCCATGGCTAACTATCATGAAACCCCAGTGTCATCATGGCTGATGATTTGAAGATTGACCATTGTTGACACTGGTTCTATGCCATTATAGTAGCTGTACATCTGCGAACAATAATAGGTCTGCAATCAACCATGTCGCCAAGCCTAACCATGCCAGCCACCTGATTCATAAAGTTGCTTCTTGTGTTGCTTGGTTTTGTTTGTATGTTGTTGCAGGACCAGACAATCCAATGATTGACATCATGAGCACTGATCTACCCATTTGATCTAAGATGATCTGCACCAACAAAGTCAGCGAACCTGACAACCCAATTTCCCTAGTCGCCTCTTACGACAAGCATAGTGGCCTCTTACTGCTAGCATGGGTTGCTGAAGACCTTAATCCACTGTCAAAAGCATTTATGAAAATACTCACCACAATACATCCCTCTATTCTAAGATTGACTTGCTCATATAGCCAGACTGATATTCTTGATCTCTACAAAAAATAAAGAAAGATCAACAGTGTTAAAAGTTATAAAAAAAACACTGAAACAAAATTACTGTAAACATGGTATACTTGAATCTTAAATATTATCTATTTTATGCAAGTAAATCATGTTAATCTCAAAAAATGATTCTATTGGAAGTGACCAGTAATATTACTGACAAGAATATTACGAGGTGAGGTGACATGACATGGGCTTTAACATCACATGTTCAAGATAAATGCCCTTTCATAGTGACATGCATGCGTGCAATTGTCTGCTTGTAGTTCAGACTGATGCTGATTTTATATCATGCCACAGTTTAACATGAATACCACACACAGACACAGAATACTGACTCTGAGTCTACCAGTCCTTGTGTTATCCCCTTAATGCCAAGTGCAAGGTGAAGTAACACTAAGTACCATCTGTTAAGACGGTTAACATTTTTTTAAATGACATGGCCAGGAATGAGAAGAATACCATCATATGTTATTCATAGACATGGAGAACAGTACTGTTACGTGTACATGGCCATGATAAACAATGTGTGGGTTGACAAACTCCAAAGTCACAAAGTTTGATTATATTTACATGTGCACTTCATCAATATGTGACAAAGACATTTGAACTTACCATTCATGTTAGTACTAACCACAATCTTTTGGTAGATTTCATGCTAACTAGATCAAATGTATAATGTATGGATAGCATTGTGGATATTGCATATTTTTAATGATTTTAATGACTGATGTAACATGCATACTTACATTTTGAAGATATCTGAAAATAAGGTTCTGGTGGTAGTTAAGGAAAGAAACCAATCTGTAATCATACTTAATGAAGCAACTGACATGTTCAAATACATGTGACCCCTTTGGCAATATATTGAATGAGGTGGGTTTAACTCTGCTTTGAACAGTATTCCAGGTATATCCCGGTGTGACAGCTTAAGGGTGGAAAGCCCAAAGTGATGCAGGTCTCAGATGCTTACCACCTGGGTGAAACCCACTAGCACGGGTATAGTGCTGCCAGGCCTATAAAACATAATTTAACGCCGCACTCAGCAATATTCCAGCGGTCTATAAATAATAGAGTCTGGACCAGACAATCCAGTGACTGACATCATGCGCATTAATCCATGCAATTGGGATAAAGTAATCCTGTTACTCGCCTGTTACGGTAAGAATGGGTGGCTGAAGACCAATTCTACCCCGGATCTTCACATATCCTGTACACATACAGATCTTGTTATTGATCTGTAAAGTGATAGTACTGATACCTTTTGAGTTGATAAATAGATACTGACTGTTCTAATCAAAGATACCCCTTAACGGAATGTAAATACTCAAGTCTACATGGACTCAAAGAGGCTCTTGTGTCTGTTGCCTTTGACCTGGATCCAAGGCTTTCTAAGCCTGGTGAACTTGTTCTACACTAGGCCTAACTTGTATGCTGCAGTCTAACTCGTTATTTACAAACATTAATATCAAGTCGAATCTAAGTTAGAATATACGGGCGAATATACTACCCTATAGGCCTAAGTAAAATATAATATTTTCGCTTAGCATCAATCCCCGAGAGCACAATGTATTCAACCCAGCTATTCAACGGAGCAAGCTTATTTTCACGTGTTTGCATTCATAAACACTGAAATATGTGCCCCTGATACTTTGACATGTTTTAGATGTAATACAACTATTCAGCAAAGGATACAATAGGTTGTACCATAACCTTCTGGACCTTTTGACCGCCCTTGTAAGCCATATTCGGTTCTTCTGTAGTAACTTTACCTTACGTACAAATAATCAGAAATCACGTTGTTCTTACGCGCCGGAAAATGGCGTCCACTCAATAAATGTAAATTGCGAATCGAAATAAAGTACGGAACGTGTATGAATTTCTTCAACCAGGGAAGACTATACATATTTGGTATTGTTTCCAAATCGTATATACCAAATATTACAGTGGCACCATGGTACTTTAGCGATATATGTAAATAAATTTGAAATGAAAAATTGTTGAACCTACTTCACCTTGATGTGTTTCATTTCATTTGCAAGTTAATCTTTTTGTAGCAACAATACTTTTTTCGATATAAATATTTAGTTATTTTTCGGATTAGACATAACACAGAAATGTGTTTCTATCTGCATAATAATTTTAACACCTGAGATATAAAAAAGGAATAATAAATACGTGTAATTATTAGTTCCGGTTTGAATAGAATCACTTCCGGTTCACCGAAAATATTTATGTGAAATTTGATTACTTGACAACTGACGAATATAAGACTTCTTCTCATGAGTGCAAATTAACTCAGCGACACCGATGATGCAGATATGACTGAATATACTGGTGGATGTAAGTTTGAATAATTTAATCATGACTTAGATTGGTAAGCATTACATATCACATTATACTTGACAATAAAAATACTAGGCCCTATTTGTCAAAATCAAAGTAAATGATTTTTATCATTATAATATTGCATCGTTTAAATTTTCTTACATTATGAACCTAAGAAATGTCAATTTACGTTATCTCAGCAAGGTCCACAGCATAGTCAAAATTCTCTTTTTATTGTGGCCCTGCCTTGTAGGCCTATTCATACTGAAATATTTGAAGAAACATTCTGTTCATAGTTAATAGTATGCCTAATATTGCCTATCTCACCTCTTCCTATCCTCTAAGCATTTACCCATGAAGATCCAGGGTAGAATAAGTCTTCAGCAAACCATGTTTGCCGTAAAAAGCAACTACCGTATTCGACGTAATAAGCGCCCACGGCGATATTTGCTGATATATTGGCCGTTGAACAATCCCAATCAGCACCCCTTCCGATCATGCCGATTGATCAATGTACACAAGACTTATTTATTCGCGTATAATATGCACTCATGTGTTATATGCACCCTTAATTATGGGCAATTAAATTCTGGGAAAAAATATCTGTCGTACATAAATATTTTAGGCTGTCAGCATAAACCACGAAATTTATCTTTCAACTCAGTTTTTTTCACTAAAATAATAATCCAATAAGAGCCCCCGATTTCTAATTTTGAGAGCGCCCTGGGCGCTTATTACGTCGAATACGGTATGCATGTGGTAAGAGGCAACTAACGGGATAGGGTGGTCAGGCTTGCTGACTTGGTTGATACATGTCATTGATCCCAATTGCTTGGATCGATGTTCATGATGTCAATCACTGGATTGTCTTATCCAGACTCGATTATTACCGACCGCCGCCATATAGCTGGAATATTGCTGAGTGCTGTGGTTAACAACAAACAAACAAACAAACAAAAACAAAATCTAAGCATTTACAAGTAATGATGGAGATACATGTATTAGATTATAAAATTTACTGACATTGCTGTTCACAGGTGCAGCTTACTGGGCTCATTGGCTCATGCTGCGGTTCTTGCTTAACTGATCTCGATCACTGCCTCTTTGGTCCTTAGTTTTAGTTGTGTTAGCTTTGGATAATTGTATCCCTAGCGCTTGGATCCCCTTTATGATTATTGATGTTTTACATATCCCAATGAATAACCCAATATATGCACCTGGATGAACAGACATATTTAAAAATTGATGAGGAAACAGAATAGAGTTTACAAGAGGGCAAAATGTACAAATTTTCGCAGCTCACTGGAAGCGGTTTAGAAATTTGCATAATTTAGTCATCTCTGAAATTTGAAAATACAAAGTTGAATTTAATTCCAAACTTGACAATTATAAATACTACACAAGGTAACAACACTTTCTGGTGACTAGTAAAATATTTTCTTCAAACATCAAGAAAACTTAGTCGCCAGTTTCCTCCCATAGAATTTGACTGAGTGCTACATGTGGGCAATATTAATAAAGCTAATGTTCTTAATTTTTTATCCCCTGCAGCTAATATATTTATTTGAGAAAGAATAAGAGAATGTATTATTGTCACTTGACGTATCAAAATCTACTGGCCCCAATATGATACGTTATCATATTAAAGACCTCAATTGAAACGACTTGCAAAGTTATTTAATTTATCTCTGTCCCAACATATCTTTCCTGTGTCATGGAAACAGTTGTCAGTAATTCCAATTTATAAGAAAAATTGCGTCCATGCTTGTTGTAATTATGGACCAATCGCACTCACAAGTTGAATATCAAAAGTCATTGAAAAGTGTATCAACATGATCAAACCCCTTTCACTGTACCAAGTGGAAATAAATATTGTTTTAAAAAATAATACTGATAAAAAACACCTTGCTAATCAAACACCTTCTTTACAATCTTTAGGCACCTCTTTATGATGCTTAGGGTTAGTTTTGAGTTAAGTTATTGGTCAACCATCTAATTTATCGAATTAATCAATGTAATTTGAGGAATATCTATATTTGTTTATCAAGTTTTGAGTTGCATGAAAAAATTGGCTCCTGTGCATGTGCATTAAGGTTAACAATTGGACACTGATCACTTGGCGCATGATCCTCTTTTTTTGATAGTGCACATGGTTCTCTGGTAAAGTGTTGGCCAAAAATTCCACCACTGAGAGGTTACAGGAGTTAAAACAGGTTCCCAGTGTCTGACGTGCTGCGCAATTTAAACGATCTCGACGATAGGGCAGATGCTGAATCTGCCTGCTTCTACCTCGGATTGTTTAATACATTATGCCTATTTTCTGTCTGCTCATCCATTCTATTACCATGCCCACAACTTATGTCACCTTGGTAACAACACTGATGATGACTTCATTTGTTTACTCAGAGAATTAATCCCTGACAGGCATTTATTGTGTGGAATAGGGCCGAAGACAGCTGGTGCTTTATTACCCAAGCAGGATGTTAGTAATAAAAGGCTAGTTACCAATCATAATTGTTATTTTAATTATTCACAATGTCAAGATCAAAGGTCGTTTAACACATTCAACAATGTATGCATTGTTGATATTTTTGTAGGATCAACAGAAACAGCAGAAACAGTATATGTATGACATCTAAGAATCACCAGATAGATAAACGTGTCAAACATATCAGCCAATAAAACAGTTTTCACAGCGGCGTTGGTAGCTTTAGGCCACACCCCAAATATGTTTGTTTTGGATTATATGATTACGGATTATATGATTTCAACACTTTCGCTTGGACATTTAAATGCATTCGACAAATATTATGAGTGTTCTAACTCACCGCCTATCATATGTCATGATTGTCAAGGGCACTTTGAAGGTAATAAACACATAAATGACTTGTAAATAGTTTAATTCAGGAAATATTGTGAGTATAGTCCGGAAACCATAGCAGGAAGTAATGTCCTCACTTGTGATTGGATGACCTTGGAGGTCAAGGTCACTTAGTGGGAAGTTGATATCCACAAAAACTTGTGTCAATCTCATTAAAATCAGATATTAGCCCTCGCAACCGACAGACAGGAAGTTGACATTACCCAATCAGAAGGCAGCTTTCTCATGCTTTATGGCACTAATTTCAAATTGGCGACTACGTTTCCAAACAAATTTGGTCAAATTCTCAATTAAAAATTTAAAAGCTGAAAAAAAGAACATTCTGGATTGGCTAGAAGATGTTCTAGATTGTATGGATTCAGCCGTTAAGCCCGTAACTATCGTTCGGAATACCTGTGTTAAAGTTTTCAAGGTTGCAGATTAGAAATCACATTCTGACTGTCACTTTCATGATCTGGTAAGCGACGCTCTGATTGCTCGGAAAGGTCGTTCTGACGTGACCCTAATGGGATGTCATCAGATCTTTGTTTAGCGGTAGCGAAAACTAAGATCTCATTTTAATGAGTTTGAAACTTGTGCATACACAGTATCTTGAGCATCTATGATTGGAATTTGATGAAACTTTGCAAACATGGTCTTTAGGAAGTTCATTTCACAAATGAAAGTGGTGTTATTAAACTGGAAGTGCTTCTTAAAAGTGCTGTGTTATTAAGGTAGCTGGAGGCATAGGTCATTCTGTTTCAAAGTTGTACTGCATTGGGCATGTATGAGATCATCTGTCACTGATGAGGAAAAGTCAAAATGATTCATGTTTCAGATGGGGCATTTTGGAAATGATTGGGATGGGGCCACTTCTGTTATTTCATGTCATGCAAACACCTTTCCAGTTATTTATGGGCTCTTTTTCAGAAAGCTTGCTACTGAGAGAAATGAAGCTTGGAATCCATGGCAACCCGACCCCCAGGGCCCAGCAGCGTCAGCTACCTGGGGGAGCATCTCGACCAATGAGTGGCCGTTCAAATAGAAATCCAATAACGGTCAGTTACACCAACAGGAACATAGTTCCAAAGTAGCGGCACCTGGTTCACCCAACGTCATGGTCAGCTTATGATGGGTGGATTACGTTTAGTCAAAGCAACCTTTAAACTTTGGTTACAGTTTGTTATTGAATTGAAATTATCCAATGAATCTATTTTGTCAAGATGATAAATGACTCTTACATGTGTAACATTTACTACAAGTTTGGCATGTACTAATAATCACTCTACTTGCCACTGTTGGCTGAGCTAAAGGTTTCATGAGACAGTCGCTTATTGCATTTTAAACTGTGACCATTAATCATTATAAGGTGCTTTGCTAAAAGACCAAAGGTGCTCACTGTACTTTATCCTGCGATAAGGGGGCACGGGTGGCCCAGTCGTCTAAGGTGCCGCAAGTTGCTGTGCAGAGTTGCGTCCCTTGGGCATGCCAGAAACCTATGATTGTGGATTCGAATCCCGGTTTGCCCCAATTATGTTTCTAGGTTTGTCAGCACCATACCTGTACGCGTGGGTTTCACCGAAGTGGTATGTCTGAGATCTGCATCACTTCGGGCTTTCCTCCCACATTAAGCTTACACACCGCGATATGACTAGAATACTGTTAAGAGCGGGGTTAAACCCAACTCACTCACCCAATTATCCTGTGAGAAAGTACACTTTTTGAGTTACATTATATAAGACTGATGTCATGAGGGTGTTGAAATTACCCCCCCCCCTTCCCCCTTGTTATCTAACATCCATGGTAACATTATTCTATCATTACTGTCCATTAAGATGGCAAGATGCTATCAACCATCTCTCATGCTGAGGAGTTTCCCCAAACATATTCCAACCTGTGTCCTTACATAGCAGCCAGAAAGTTGTCCGAGAAGGTCTTTGAAGCCCGAAAATTTTGATAATCCCATGCTCACCTGTTTCTCAGCATTTGAACGCAATCTTCCTGCTTTAACTATAATAGTTCATCGCAAAACTATACTTTATTAAACTACACATGGGGGTAGAGTAATCTATATTACTGTAGTATTGTGTATTTACGTTGTCCTATAAAGTGTAACTTGCGTGATGTAAGGATGACTGATGGTACATATCTGTGGTGACAGCTGTACCTGTCATGTATCAGGAGAGCTGTGATATATATACGTTCAGGCAACTTATCACTGATATGAAGCAATGCAGACGGGAATAATAAAATAGAATTGAAGTTGTCAAAGAGATCATTTGTGTTACGAGTTGATTTCCAACCTGAAACGCGAAGGTTGACCCAGAAATCAATATGTACAGTAATAAATTGTGAAATCAGTAAATATCTACTCAAGATCAATGTATAATCAGCAATTTATTTTGAAACACACAGAATTTGTTTTAGAATTTGTCAATGCAATGTGGCAGCAATAATAATTACCAGGACCTACTACGTTACATAGGTACAGGACCCGTGAAGATCCGGGGTAGAATCGGTCTTCAGCAACACATGCTTGCCATAAAAGGCGACTATGCTTGTCGTAAGAGTCGACTAACGGGATCGGGTGGTCAGGCTCGCTGATTTGGTTGACACATGTCATCGATCCCATTTGTGCGGAACTTAAATTACATCAAACCATCTAAATCTGCATAATCTTTAGTATCAGTAATGTGTTTATTTTCTTATCCCAAAAATATGTGACTTTCTATTGAAGGGTGAGGACGAGCCTGACCGTCCAGTTTCCCGAACAGCCGACACCAGCCACAGTCGACCACAGAGCCGACCTGATGGGTGAGCTCGTATAATCTGGCAGTTATTTAGCATGGCCTGTCTCTTGGCTTGGTTTGCTCATTGTGTGAAAGTAACGAAACATTAAATGATAAAGATTCCATATTATATTTTTATTCTAAAAGCCTGAATGAAAGTATTTTTTTGCTACTTTTGTATTTTTTTTCACATCTCATATTTTTTTAACGTCAGCAGAACGTGTTATTAAAAGTCTGGATTAAATAAACTGGAAACCTCATTTTGAACTTAATCAGTTTCTGCTATGAAGTAGTTAACGACAACAAGACTGAGCTCTTAATCATCTGCTCCAAATTGAGACTGTGCAGCCTGTTTGTTACCACCGTTTAAAATTGGCGACACTGTCTTAGAGACAAGCACAAAGGCCGCAATCTTGGAGTTATACAGGACTCTATGTTACGCCTTGGTAATCGCATCAGTAACGTCTTCAAACAGGCATACTACAATATCAGAAATATTGGCGTTACCAGGAAACACATCAATCAGCCTGCATCTCTCATTCAGGCTTTCATTATACCCCGACTGGATTATTGCAATGCTCTTCTGTATGGGTTGCCAAAGTACCAGATCGCAGAGATTCAGCGTGTTCAAAACGTAGCTGCCAGAGTGGTAACCGTGCTACAAAGTGCAAACATATTACATTTGTAACAAAGGAACTACACTGACTCCCGATCGCAAAGCACATCGAATTCAAACTACTTTTGTTAGTATACAAAGCACGCTATGACATCGGTCCACCTCACAACAGTGAATTGATACAGCTATATCAACCAGTAAGATCACCCAGGTCTGGTAACGGTCAGCTCCTGTTTGTGCCCCAAACCAGAACTATGTCACTTGGTGACCGATGCTTTAGAGGCCGGCTTAACGTTTTTGGAACAACATTCCCGTCAACAAAATGTGCCAAAGATATCAGCCTTTTTAAGGGGCTGTTAAAAACCTTTTTGTTCCCATCCGCCTACAATGCTCACTGAACTCTCTGTTTGACCACCAGACTCATGCAAAAGCGCCTTTGAGCAGATCCAATCAGGATATTGGCGCTATATAACTTTATATCTATTATTATTATTAGTTATATCAAGCACAGGGATTCAAGCCCAGAATTATTCTCTCATGTCAAGCTTGTGAGTGCTGACTTATTATAGGGAATCAAAAACCCTTTGCGATCCAGGTTAGAATTGATCTTCAGTAACCCATGCTTGTCGTAAGAAGCGACTTACGGGATCAGGTGATCAGGCTCACAGACTTGGATGATGGATGTCATCGCATCCCAATTGCGTAGATCGATGCTCATGATGTCAATCACTGGCCTTCATATAGATGGAATTTTGCTGAATGCGGTGTTAAACAACAAAAAACCCAAATTATAGGGAATGAGGCAACTATCCAGTCTTGGCAGCTTTGTCGATAGTCTGCAGGACCATGGACATTTCATGGAAATTCAGGTGTGGAGGGTTGCCTGTGATTTACCATAGGTTTTACAAATAAACAACACCAGACATGACACCTATCCTGAACAAATGTGTTTGCAAACGTGTAATTGATCGGCTTCGCTCTCGGGGCAAAAAAATAATATGTCTTGAAGCAGTAACTGAAAAGATATCCTGTCCCTGACAAAAATATGACTTGGCTTATTTGTAGGTTGAGGCTGGACTGGTTCGATAATTGTGTCAAATGCATCAATTAATCCTGCATATCTGTTCACCCCTCACCTTGGATATATAGTGTTGGGTTTAAAAGGGCAGTAGTTGGTTTAGAGTAATGCCCCTTTGTTTTCAAAAACCTCAAGGATCCCACTGTCTCCTTTTGGGAGCAATTTTAAATATATTTGCACAGTTGTATTGTGACTGATAGTAAAATCTGATACTTGTGTCGACTTTTCAGGGTCCCTGGTCTGAATCTCCGCTACCTTGCTGATGAGGATTCGAAACCGTCAAAACCTATTGACGTTTACGAGTACTCACTGCAAACTCCAAACAGTGCCTCCACTGTCAGGTACTGAGTTGAGAGGTGTCACATTCATAGTTAAGATGTTTTCCTGAAGTGCTTTGTAGGTTTTTGGATGAAATGGATTACTGTGTGGTTTATTGTTGTTTACTTCTGTCATTTGAATGGATAGTCAAGAGACAAGAACTCTAGTGCTGTGAATAATGCACAGATGTTCAACATCTTGCTTTTCATGTTCAACATCTTGCTTTTTATGGCCCTTGAAAATCCTGGATAGATTAGGTCTTCAGCAACCCATGCTTGCCGTAAAAGGCGACTATGCTTGTCATAAGAGGCGACTAACAGGATCGGGTGGTCAGGCTCGCTGACTTGGTTGATGCATGTCATTGATCCCAATTGCATGGATCGATGTTCATGTTGTCAATCACTGGATTGTCTGGTCCAGACTTGATTATTTACAGACCACCATCATAAGGCTGGAATATTGCTGAGTGCGGCGTTAAACAACAAACAAACAAACAAAACAGATCTTGCTTTTTGTAATTTAGACACATGTCATTGTCATGATGCTATGCAACATGTGACTTACCTGGGCAGGAAGGTGAAACCTGAACAGCACATAAGTAGAATAATTTGTAAAACCATCTACTCATTGATTTATAGAACCCAATAGCCTGGGCCGAAGAGAGTTAAAAAATATTCCATCATCTACTGGAAGCGTCACTTTTTGACGTTTTTGCTCAGAAGTCAAAGGGAGTTAATTTCGGCAAAGTCGGTGTGTGCATCTAGGACAAGGACATAACTAGTTGATTGAACAATTTGGCAGAATATTATTGTCAAATTGAGCATGTTGAGTTTTATAGATGGGTAACACTGTGTAATCTCAAAATAATTGTGCGTGTGTGATGTGTCAGTGGATGAAATATATGTGTAAATTTGGATTGTTATTTTATTTCCAATTATTAAAGAGAAGAGTGTCGGGGATCCGTGATCCAAGAAATAAAAACATGATGGCCTCAACTTAGTTTATGCTAACAGACCATTGTTCTCAGCAAAGAGGAAGTTTCTGTTTCAAATTTCATGTGTGATGACTTCCCACCAGCATTCCAGCTTACATCAGACATTTCCTTGTGTTTTCTTACAGCTGGGGCACTGGCAGATCTCAGTATTCACAGAGGCAGATGACAAAACCACCTGTAAGTCATCATATAGATGAGAGGAACAATTGATCTCCTTTGTTATAAGGTCTTGTATCAGACCAAGGTGTCTAACAATGGATGTTTTATTTCTTGTGTGGGTATGATAAAATAGATGTAACATGATTTAAGTGACGTTTTGAAGGTACATTTCAAGAATAGTTTCATACCTGGTAACCCATGTTAGCTAACATATTGTTGAATACTGTTCAAGATGTTATGTTGGTCTGTTCAGTAGACTGTTTGATTGTGCAGATGCAGAAATCCGCCTCCCGTCCTATTGGTGTCCCGGGACTGAGCCTCGAGGAACAGAAGGAAGTCAAGAAGCCGCCATCGGCCAGGAAGGTGCAGAAGGAGGTCAGAATTAATCCTATAGTCCTGTAGTTCTTATGAGAAATATTAAAATCATTTTTTATCATACCCCTATTGGGGTTAGAATTTGTCCCCAGCAGCTATGCTTGTCAAAGAAGCAAAAAATATATCTGGTGGTCTTTGCTCAGTGAGTGTCATTTTACCCTTATGACGTGGAACATTCCTCATAATATCAATCACTGGATTGTCTGGTCCAGGTTTGATTACTTACAGGTTGCCATGAAGTATCTGCAATATTTCCATGATTACTGACTGCAGTGTTATACAACAAACAATTATTCATGGCTAGAACTTCTGGTAGTCTTGACAGGTAGATACAATTCATGTTACAAACTAGGTCATCTTGATGCTCTGAAGGTGGCTATGATGTTATGTTTTGCTGAAGTTGCGTACAGTGCAGTCAGGTACCCAAACAGTGTCAAGGTATACCTGTACACGGTGAAGAAAAATGGAAATTGGAAAAGTGTCAGTGTGTTTCATTCCATTAATCACTGGTTAGTCTGGTCGCTGGAATTTCCGAGTCCACATCAATAGGTTACACATCACAGCCCTTCCCTTTATAGTAGGGCTGGGACGATACACCAACTGTGCGATACGATACGTATCACGATATATGGTTCAAAAGATATCTCTTTGATAGACGGGATGGCCAAATGCCTGACACACTGACAATTTACAGTTGGCAGTATCAAGTATGGCACAATGAATGAACATATTTACATTTTCACTACTAATTTTCCATTACTAATTAGTGTTTGTGTGACAGTTATCAAAGCAAACATTTAAGTTTGTATGAAGAATCGATATTTTTTGCTTAGTGTGCGACTGTGCTCAATACTTACATCGGGAAGTAATAAATCTCACTACTAGTTTATAGTACGAATTAAGAGTCTCCTTATATCATGAGTAGTATAAGGGATATCTGACACACATGCACAATGAAGAGGCAATCACATTTTCTGATTCCCAGTCCAGACTTTCAGGCTATAAGTGTTATGACAAATATAGATACTTGCTAGCGCACACACACATGCTCCCACTCACTCACTCACTAACACACTCACTCACTCACTCACTCACTCACTCACTCACTCACTCACTCACTCACTCACCCACTCACCCACTCACCCACCCACCCACCCACCCACCAAATCACTCACTCACTCACTCACGCTTTATATTATTTTTGATCAGATGCTGCAACAGATGAAGTATTATAGTATAGTGTTCTTTAGATCTAAAGATGTGCTTCATGTATTGCTACAGCCTAGTGCGTGGGATGGCCCTGCTGTATCGGAGAACGTCCGTCCCCCCTCAGCCCACCACCAGGAGATGTACAAGCAGTACCAGGACGACATGAAGCAGTCCTACAGGAAACACGTACAGGCTCCGTACCATGTCGGCCAGGTTCGTAGTACACAGATATAACGAACACGGATAGAGAGAACAAACGGATACAGCGAACTGTTAAAAAATCCCCGAATTATTTCCTACATAATATCATATAAAATGTACGTATATAACGAATTCTCTCCAGCGAACTAAGGGATACAGTGAACTGATATTTGATCACAGACTAGCCACTCTACCACTAATTAGTGATAGTGTATAGCGAACTAAGAAATCTCCCTCAGTGTCAAGTGTCAATCGGCTGTACGCAATCAGCGGTGAATCAACACAATCAACGGTTACGGATGAACCTTGTTAAACTTAGATGAATGTTATGAAATGTTATCAATTTGATGTTTTGAAGTGATCACTGTGATTACAAGTCAATGCTTCAGTTATGTGTTTTGTGATTTGTTTTATCCAAGATGGCGGACGTATCCGAGCGAAAACGTGTATAACGAAGAACGGATATAACAAACTGAATTCTCTGGTCCCTTGTAGTTCGTTATATCCATGTTCTACTGTACTAGAAGTTGCTAGTGTCAGTAGGGGGGTCTACAGGAGTTTACAAGCAATCTCAGTGGATTATCTAAAAGCAGAAACCAAGTGGTTAACATAGGACCCAAGTCCTCTATTGCTTGTCATGAGAGACCAGGGCGGTCGGGTAGCCTAGTGGTTAAAGCGTTCGCTCGTCACGCCGAAGACCCGGGTTCGATTCCCGACATGGGCACAATGTGTGAAGCCCATTTCTGGTGTCCCCCACCGTGATATTGCTGGAATATTGCTAAAAGCGGCGTAAAACCATACTCACTCACTCACTCATGAGAGACCACTAAATTGGATCACGTGGTCAGGATTGAGTGTCATCGTATCCTGGTGGCGTTGGGCGTTGTTCATACTGTCGACCACTGGCTGCTCTGGCCCAGACAGGATTACTTACAGGCCACAGTGAAATAGCTGGAATATTGCTGACAGCAGCGGAGGTTTCTGGGGACCGATTGTAACCCCACTGGGGTGTTATGGATGATATTTGCCCTGTTTGTGTTGGCTGTTTGTCATCTGTTGATGATGATGTTCAGGATGAGGTGGAGCGGGCTGTCCAGGCAGTGAAGAAGGCCCACCCCACGTCACCCAAGGTCAATGGTCAGTATATCCAGGTCGATGACGCTGATGACCAAGATGACAACTTGGACGACAGCTGGACAAAACAGAGATACTCTGGCAAACAGCTCATGAAGAAGATGGATGTAGTAAGATATTGTTTCACAATCACTTACATATAATTGTTCAGGAAAAAACAGCATTTCTTCTAAACTCAGGAAACTGTTTGCTTCATGCAGGGCAAATTTTTTTGGCAGACTTTTTGCTAGTTTTAGGATTTTTATGGTTGTTAATTTTAAGGAGAATGCTCTCAAACTAAGCTAACCAATTTATGAATATATGATACTCCTAAATCCTTAGTGCACAAACACAGCCTTTGGTATGTTTATTGTTTTAATAGTGACTGATTTCTCTCCCTACAGGAAGATCTGTTGGAGTACAACAAGAAACAGAAACTGATAGAGACTGTGCTAGCTGACCAGCTGTCCAGGTGAGTGGGTACAGTGCTGACTGACAAGTTGTCTGGGTTAGTGGTTACAGTGCTGGCTGACAAGCTGTCCAGGTGAGTGGGGTCAGTCCGTGCTGACCAGCTCTCCAGGTGAGTGGGTACAGTGCTGGCTGACCAGCTGTCTGGGTTAGTGGTTACAGTGCTGGCTGACAAACTGTCCAGGTGAGTGGGGTCAGTCCGTGCTGACCAGCTCTCCAGGTGAGTGGGGTCAGTCCGTGCTGACCAGCTCTCCAGGCGAGTGGGTACAGTGCTGGCTGACCATCTGTCTGGGTTAGTGGTTACAGTGCTGGCTGACAAGCTGTCTGGGTGAGTGGGTTCAGTGCTGGCTGACCAGCTCTACAGGTGAGTGGTTACAGTGCTAGCTGACCAGCTCTCCAGGTGAGTGGGTACAGTGCTGGCTGACCAGTTGTCTGGGTGAGTGGGTTCAGTGCTGGCTGACCTGTTGTCTGAGTGAGTGGGTTCAGTGCTAGCTGACCAGCTGTCCAGGTGAGTGGGTACAGTGCTGGCTGACCAGTTGTCTGGGTGAGTGGGTTCAGTGCTGGCTGACCAGTTGTCTGAGTGAGTGGGTTCAGTGCTAGCTGACCAGCTGTCTGGGTTAGTGGGGTCACTGCTGGCTGACCAGCTGTCTGGGTATGTGTGTACAGTGCTGGCTAACCAGCTGTCTGGGTATGTGTGTACAGTGCTGGCTGACCAGCTGTCTGGGTTAGTGGGTTCAGTGCTGGCTAACCAGCTGTCTGGGTGAGTGGGGTCACTGCTGGCTAACCAGCTGTCTGGGTATGTGTGTACAGTGCTGGCTATCCAGCTGTCTGGGTATGTGGGTACAGTGCTGGCTGACCAGCTGTCTGGGTTAGTGGGTACAGTGCTGGCTGACCAGCTGTCTGGGTTAGTGGGTTCAGTGCTGGCTAACCATCTGTCTGGGTATGTGGGTACAGTGCTGGCTAACCAGCTGTCTGGGTTAGTGGGGTCACTGCTGGCTGACCAGCTGTCTGGGTATGTGTGTACAGTGCTGGCTGACCAGCTGTCTGGGTTAGTGGGTTCAGTGCTGGCTAACCAGCTGTCTGGGTGAGTGGGGTCACTGCTGGCTAACCAGCTGTCTGGGTATGTGTGTACAGTGCTGGCTAACCAGCTGTCTGGGTATGTGGGTACAGTGCTGGCTGACCAGCTGTCTGGGTATGTGTGTACAGTGCTGGCTAACCAGCTGTCTGGGTTAGTGGGTTCAGTGCTGGCTAACCAGCTGTCTGGGTATGTGGGTACAGTGCTGGCTAACCAGCTGTCTGGGTTAGTGGGGTCACTGCTGGCTAACCAGCTGTCTGGGTTAGTGGGTTCAGTGCTGGCTGACCAGCTGTCTGGGTATGTGTGTACAGTGCTGGCTAACCAGCTGTCTGGGTGAGTGGGTTCAGTGCTGGCTGACCTGTTGTCTGAGTGAGTGGGTTCAGTGCTAGCTGACCAGCTGTCCAGGTGAGTGGGTTCAGTGCTGGCTGACCTGTTGTCTGAGTGAGTGGGTTCAGTGCTAGCTGACCAGCTGTCTGGGTTAGTGGGGTCACTGCTGGCTGACCAGCTGTCTGGGTATGTGTGTACAGTGCTGGCTAACCAGCTGTCTGGGTATGTGTGTACAGTGCTGGCTGACCAGCTGTCTGGGTTAGTGGGTTCAGTGCTGGCTAACCAGCTGTCTGGGTGAGTGGGGTCACTGCTGGCTAACCAGCTGTCTGGGTATGTGTGTACAGTGCTGGCTAACCAGCTGTCTGGGTATGTGGGTACAGTGCTGGCTGACCAGCTGTCTGGGTTAGTGGGTACAGTGCTGGCTGACCAGCTGTCTGGGTTAGTGGGTTCAGTGCTGGCTAACCATCTGTCTGGGTATGTGGGTACAGTGCTGGCTAACCAGCTGTCTGGGTTAGTGGGGTCACTGCTGGCTGACCAGCTGTCTGGGTATGTGTGTACAGTGCTGGCTGACCAGCTGTCTGGGTTAGTGGGTACAGTGCTGGCTAACCAGCTGTCTGGGTTAGTGGGGTCACTGCTGGCTGACCAGCTGTCTGGGTATGTGTGTACAGTGCTGGCTGACCAGCTGTCTGGGTTAGTGGGTTCAGTGCTGGCTAACCAGCTGTCTGGGTGAGTGGGGTCACTGCTGGCTAACCAGCTGTCTGGGTATGTGTGTACAGTGCTGGCTGACCAGCTGTCTGGGTATGTGTGTACAGTGATGGCTAACCAGCTGTCTGGGTTAGTGGGTTCAGTGCTGGCTGACCAGCTGTCTGGGTTAGTGGGTTCACTGCTGGCTGACCAGCTGTCTGGGTATGTGGGTACAGTGCTGGCTAACCAGCTGTCTGGGTATGTGTGTACAGTGCTGGCTAACCAGCTGTCTGGGTTAGTGGGGTCACTGCTGGCTAACCAGCCATCCAGGTCAGTTTAATACAGCAATATTGAACACAATTGGATGACAGTCATGAGATGTATCAGTAATGATCATTCAATCCAGTTTGATGGTGAATGGTATGTTGGTTCCATATCATGATGATATGTTTATGTGTTTGTATTATGTGAAAACTACAAACAGTTTAGGGAAAAAACACCTCTTGATGTGATACATTGTGTTCCATGTTTGTGTGCAGGGCAGTGATCAGTGATCCGGAACAGAATGACCGGAACAAGGCGTATGAGCCGAGGCGTGGCCGAGGACAGAACCGCTTTCTTCACGACTCCAAGTAAGCACACAGACAGATCCCATTGTTAATAATTGTCTGAAAGTGGACTTCAACTGGATGGTGTAGGAAGCTTTGAGCAAAATCAAGCTGGTACCTCCTACCACATTGCCGTAACTGCAGAGCTCGAGGTTGATGGGAATATATATATATGGGTCAAGCAACAACTATTGGGTTAGTGGGCTCATATAACACTGAAATGGAGGTACGAGAGTTTCTCATTGGCCATTGTCATTGGTCAGCTGTTTCGCTACATCTCAACATCAATCCGTGTGAGACCCATGAAGATCCGGGAATAGAATAGATCTTCAGCAACCCATGCTTGCCGTAAAAGGCAACTATGCTTGTCATAAGAGTTGACTAAGGGGATCGGGTGGTCAGTCTCACTGACTTGGTTGATGGATGTCATCGATCCAAATCGATGCTCATGATATTAATCACTGGATTGTGTGGTCCAGACTTTATTATTTACAGACCGCTGGAATAGCTGGATTATTGCTAAGTGCGGCGTTAAACAACAAACTAGAACAATCAATCGTGTGTACTCATATATGTCTGTCTGCAGAGTGAGCACAAGGGCCACGCCCACGGAGAACCTGCTGTCTAAGAGGGTCCGCTTTCAGGCACGGATCATCACCAGGTATTGACACCAATGTATCTTCTTTGCTTTCATGTTGTCATACTCTGCCATGTTATCTTTCGTCTCCTCTATTCTACTATTGCTCATGATTAGCTGAAACATTTTTTAGTGCCGTCTTTGAACATAGTGCAAATATGTTATGTAGAGAGTAGAGAGTGCCAGACCATGTCCAGGTTATGACACTCACTATCACAGGAGAAAGAATGTGGTTTTATCCACAACAAGCACGTTTTATTTCTGCATCTAATTTAAATGTTCCTGTAGGTTATGTTTTATCATGCACAAGTTACATTATTGAGTCAAGAAAGTTATCTACGCCACTCATACTTATAGATCCCACAATCGTGAGTTGGCCTCAAGAATAGCAATTCTTTATTGTGTAGAGTTTATTAGTTTTCACAAAGCCCTAAAGCTAAGCACCAAGAAACTTGAACCGTGAAGATCCAGGGTAGAATAGGTCTTCAGCAACCCATGCTTGCCGTAAAAGGCAACTATGCTTGTCGTAAGAGGTGACTAACGGGATCAGGTGGTTGGGCTCGCTGACTTGGTTGAAGCATGCCATCAGTCCCAATTGCGTGGATCAATGCTCATGATGTCCATCGCTGGATTGTCGGTCCAGTCTCGATTATTTACAGATCACCGTCATAGAGCTGAAATATCGCTGAATGTGGCTTAAAACAACAAACAAAACAAAACCAAAAACCAATGAACTTGATATCTTTTCATTACATATCTGTTTTGTAGACTATAAAAATGGAAAATTTCCTCAAAAACAAAGTAGCAATACATTCACAGATTCAATACAAAAATTGGATGCACAAAATTAAATATGGTATGTACTGACTGAACACAGAACTTATGTTTGTGATAAATAAAGAAATGACTTCACAGTTTCTTAGCGTCTTTGACCGTTGCATGACTTGACTGTTTGTTTCCTAGGAACGGCCATGACGCGCTGAGGGAGCTGACCGGCTTCTTCTTCCATGTGGACAACACAATGACCATCTATGAATTCAAACAGTTCGGGAAAAGGTAAATTGTGATTTTTGTTCACCTGGATTAAAAATATTATGACCCCAGACCAGCAAGGTCACAACTTAGAGTCTTGCTGCATTAAGTCTGTGTGACTACCTAATTTCCATGTGTCTGTAATACCGATGTAAGTTTTTACAAGCTTTTACAGCAACTTGGGGCTCTGGGGCACCTATTTGTCTAGTGAGGCTTAATGAGTGTATTGTTCAGGTGCTTAGTTGTTTTTCATTTTTGCCTCTCGCCTTGTTTGAATGAAATATTGTGAAGTTATGTAATTTTCTTTTGTGTGGCAGTGCAAAGGCAATACCGTTCATCAACAGAGGTCACTTTCTCCACTTGAGGGGAGCTCGGAAGGACCAGCCGTACACTCTACTGGATATTTACTCTGTAAGAAGGGTCTCAGTTTTCCTGGTGTAAAGTATTTTTTAGAATTTAAAATACAGTGATACTAAAATTATTTTGAACTTCATGAAATTATTTTGTGCCTTTGTGTTACATTTTGCTTGAATTATATGATAGACTTTTGAGTTCATCAGTTGTGTGTGTGTTATCAAGGGAGGCAACTTACTGATCTCTACATCCGGACAAATGACCATCCCTGCATCAATGAAGGGCAATGAGTTTATCAAGTTCCGTGTCATCAGTGTTGATGAAGATGAAAAGTCGGTCCTACTGTGAGTTCAGATTTCACCCCCTTGTCTCTTTCACTGTCAAGTCATGTCAGTAGCACATGAAACACTATTCATCAGGGATGGCATTGTATTTTGCCATATTGATGCAGCGATAAATTTTTAATGTCAATGCTGTTTCGATACAAATATATGAATATTGATATTAATTAATAATACACTACCACAGAAACATAAAATTGATAACTTATCTCGCACTATGCATTTCTCCTTCTTCTTTCAATCCTATGTAGAAATGTATGTGAACAAAGGTTTTCAGCTTCTAATAACAATTCACCTGAACACATCCCAGCATCACCATGGTCACCAACCAAACAAATGGGTCACACTCTGTCATCCCCTCCATAGCGACCTACACGATACAATCACATGACTACCCCTGCCACATCATTCTCCTTCTCATCGTTACCTGTGGAGAAGTGTATTGAGTCTAAGAGAATCCATTTTTATTATTTTAGTAAAAATATTGATACTCAATTAATAATTACTACCACAGAAACATGCACTATGCATTTCTCCTTCTTTCCATTCTATGTGGAAACGTGCTTGAACAAAAGTTTCCAGCTTCTAAAAACAATTCACCTGAACACATCCTAGCATCACCATGGTCACCACCAAAACAAATGGGTCCAGCACTGTAATCCTGTGTACAGAGACCTAGATTGCATCATTAAAATGGCTGTCCCCTCCACTGTAACAGCCGTGAAACAACCTGCATCTACCATACCTTTCATGTTAGTCATGGATGATGGCATCTTCCGTGACTGTTTTCTCAACAACGACATTCCTTCCAAAACAAACCAGCCATCTGTTGCCATTGCGTCCACTACCACATCTACCTACCGTATCGGACGTTCACACAGTCAAAGGACAGCTCGTCTAAGTCCGCCTCGACAGTCCCTACAGTCCCTACAGTCGATTCACGGACGTCAGCAGAAAGTTGCAAATCATCCCAGCTCCTCTACCATCATGCTCTCTCCCAGGCCCATCCTGTCTGATGTCATGACTTTGTTGGACAAGGCTTTTCCTTGGTTCTGCTTAGAGGATACTGGCACTCATGGTTTGTCAACTACAACCGTAGCACCTAAATTTGATGGCGATATTTCGACACTCTGCCCCTAGCATTCTGTTACTACATCTACTGTAGATCGCCTCCACTTGGATACCTGTATCCGGTGCATGCTTATTTCACCCATATTGTCGGTCACCCATATTGTCGCCGTGGCGTTCTCCAGTGCTGTCAATTGGGTGTCCACTTCAAGGCAAGGCTATAGCAACTACCATGGCCCAACCGCTTTCCGTTGGCCAACAGGATGCAGAAAGTCACCCAGGATGTTACTCAGACATCATCTCCAGGTGTCTGTAGATCTACTTAGACTTCAGAAACAAACTTGGAGGACCTACAGAAGACTGCAGTTCATCGTTTTGGATTGGATTTGATGATTAGAGCTGGGTCTAGTACTTTTCGTGGCAGAGGACATGGTCGTCAAGGACATCAGGGTTCCAAGTCCACCAAAATACGGTCCATTTCTTCACAGCTACTAAGAACGTCAGAGAGTCAACCAAGCTTGGCGACTCATCCCTTGATTGACTCATTTTGGCTATGGGATGACTTGGACCTTCACCCCAGTTGTACCCATTGTAAAAACTCCTGTAGCCAGAAGACTCAGTTTGTTTGCAGAGAACTGGTCCATCCTGTCTGACCCCTTTGTCAGATGGCATCTGGTATCTCATTTGAGATGGGTACAGGCTGCTGCTGGTCGGGGGCTCCTCCAGCAACATCCAGGCCACTGCAGTGAGAGTATCCACAAGCCAGCTTATGTTCAAGTCAGAGACAATTCATACCATGAGTCGTCTCACATGCATCACTTTAGGGCTTTCTCCCAAAATCAAGCTAACACACTGTTATATATAACTGGAATACTGCTCAAAGTGGCGATAAACCCAACTCACTCACTCACTCACTCACTCACTCACTCACTCACTCACTCACTCATGCTCACTCACACACACCAGTCTCACATGCACACACACTCACACCACACAGTCTCAAACAAACACTTACACTCACACACACACACACACACACACACACACACACTCACACATGCAAACACACACAGACGCAAACACACACTCTCAAACAAACACTTACACTCACACACACACACACACACACACACACACACACACACACACACACACACAGACGCAAACACACACTCACACATGAAAACACACACAAACACACTTCTTGAAACAATGCTACTTATTGACAAGTAAAGGTTTTCTACTTACTGAGGCAGGGAACTACTTTATGTTCTTGTCTTTGTATCATTTAGATTGATGGCAGAAATTCTATCTCAGGATATATTTTCACTGTATGACTTTAATTGTAATGCTTACAAAAAGATTTGTGTACAATTTATCAACTTTGACATGTCTTATATAAATATATTGATAACAATATTGGTTCCATCCATTGTTTAGTTCTCATGAAAAGTAGCAGTTTGTATTCTGACCGCTAAGTGCTGTGGACACAGCTGATTGTCTGACTTTGTTCTACAACAGTGACAGCACTCGTGGCCAGGAGACTTTCGCCCGTCTGCAGTATCCCACTAAACAGGAGTATGAGAACCAGAAGATCCTGGAGTCGCTGCAAGGTGAGGATCTGACAGTAGTGAGCATGTAGGGGAATGCGTCTTAAACATGTTCCTCAAGTCATACACATTAAACACTCCCAGGATCAACCCCACCGGTGATATTGCAGGAATATGGCTTTAAGCAATGTAAATAACTCTCTCATTCCATAATAGCCTTAAAACATCCACTTTAAGTTTACATAGGTCCCAGCACTCTATTGCTTGTAGTAAGAGGTGACCAGATTAAATCAAATGGTCAGACTCGGTGACTGGCTTAATTGTGTGTCGTCATACTCAGATGGCATGGTATGTTGCGTATATCATCCATTGGTTTGTGTGGTCCATGAAAATTCAGACTGCAAATAAAAACAGACTTCAGTGACATAAATGTGTTGCTAGGCAGCTTTATTATTTTGATATAAAAAAAAACGTGTGTCAAAATTTGCAGAATGTTGAATGTTCCTGTGGCTACTAGACACCAAAATAGTTATTGTTAGTGAATGAAGTAGGCTGCAGTCAGCAGCATCACAACATCCAGGGTATCAAGTGGGCTCAGTAGTGTTGGGGTATGATGGTACACAAACTCAGCCAGCCCCATACTCAGCAAGCATGACCTTTGACACTGATTTAGTGGTCTCTGTCAACAAGCATCAGTGTTCTGAGCTTGATGTTTTTCAGACGTCGTCGGAGAGAAGCTGAAGAAGCGTGGCATCAAGACGGTGACGGGGCTGGGTCGGTGGTACCGGAAGCTGGACACAGACAGCAGCGGACTCCTCACTCACCACGAGCTGGAGCAGGGGCTTGTCAAGTACCGCCTGGAGCTCCCACAACAGGTGCCGCCATAAAATAGTCTAAATATATGTCACCTGATATGAGTATGTGCTGTTGGATGAGCCAGATAAACTGAAAACTATTGACCTGTTTCAGGCTGTGGCGGGGCGGTCGGGTAGCTTAGTGGTTAAAGCGTTCGCACGTCATGCCAAAGACCCGGGTTCGATTCCCGACATGGGTACAATGTGTGAAGCCCATTTCTGGTGTCCCCCGCCGTGATATTGCTGGAAAATTGCTAAAAGCGGCGTAAAACCATACTCACTCACTCACTCACTCACTCACTCACTCACTCACTCACTCACTCACTCACTCACTCACTCAGGCTGTGGCAGAAACTTGAAATAGTGAAGTGAATTTTGTCAACGAACTTGACTGGATCATTTCAACTAACTACTAATCAAGCATTTGAAATTATATAAACAGCTTTGTTTGGTAGAAAGCAAGAGAATCAGCATGAGCACTGAAAAGAATCTGTTTTCGAAACAAAACATGACTGTGAAAAACAGCTAGCCAGTCTCAATCGGGCTACTCCCATGCAGATTTGATAAAGCTAGCTTCATTCTAAATGTTGGACAAGATAACCAGACAACTGCTATATTTGTTTCTGCTGTTTTCAGATACTGGATGCTGTGATTGAAATCCTGGACCCTGATAATGAAGGCAGAGTCGACTACAGTGACTACATGCATGCCATAATTGGGGAGATGAACGAGTATCGCAAATCTCTTGTCATAAAGGTCAGTCTGCTGCCAATGGTTCATAGTGTACAACACCACCACATGTTGTCTCTCTGCATTGTTTTCCCAGTAAAACCATGGCCACATCATATATATCCTGTCTTTCTACCTTCCAGGCATTTCGTAAGATTGACAGCAGTAAGCGTGGATTGATCGTGTTGAGTGACATCCGGAAGTTCTTCAATGCCACAGCCAGTGCCCGGGGCCCTCCAGGTCTGTTTCTAGTGTCTCTCTAGTGTCTCTCTAGTGTCTCTCTCTCTAGTGTCTCTCTCTCTAGTGTCTCTCTCTCTAGTGTCTCTCTAGTGGCTCTCTCTCTAGTGTCTCTCTAGTGTCTCTCTCTCTAGTGTCTCTCTAGTGTCTCTCTCTCTAGTGTCTCTCTCTCTAGTGTCTCTCTAGTGTCTCTCTCTCTAGTGTCACTCTCTCTAGTGTCTCTCTCTCTAGTGTCTCTCTAGTGTCTCTCTCTCTAGTGTCTCTCTCTCTAGTGTCTCTCTAGTGTCTCTCTCTCTAGTGTCTCTCTCTCATGTCTCTGCCTGTCTAGTGAAATAGTATAGATATTTTCAATCTAATGTGTACAAGCCAGAAAAACAGAGTATGATGTTTCATAAGTCCTAAGATGATAAACCTCCTCCTGTAGGTTTCACAACAGAGGTAAACATCATAAGTGACTTTCCCCACATTAGTCTGACAAGGCTGGATATAACTGAAACACTGTTCAAAGTAGCACTTGCCCCTGAAGATCCGGGGTAGAATTGGTCTTCAGCAACCCATGCTTGCCGTAAGAGACGACTATGCTTGTCGTAAGAGGTGACTAACGGTATCAGGTGGTCTGGCTCACTGACGCATGTCATCGTATCCCAATTGCATAGATCGATGCTCATAATATCAATCACTGGATTGTCTGGTCCAGACTTGACTATTTACAGACCACCGTCATATAGCTGGAATATTGCTGAGCGCGGCGTTAAACAACAAACAAACAAAAAATCAAAGCAGCACTGAGCCTAGGTCTCTCCTCATACATTCTCTCCTCATACAAGAATGTTTTGTTACTGTTTATGTATCATCATCAACGCGTCACGGCTTTGTATACTCTATGTTACTCCATCTCCCGTGGGTTGTTTATATACCAATGAATTGAGGCCGTTTTTAACTCATGGAAGTTAATTGGGCGCTATTACATGCACACATTTTATGAGAACATACGCAGAGTAGATAGCCACAAGGATGTGGCCCATGTTGCATATGATGTCAACTAGAAACATGGCTTTGCAATGTCAGCTGTTTTGTCATTGGTTTGAGCACTCACAGCATCCCACTCAGTGAAGCCAGGTCTTTGTTTGAATTGTTGGTTAAAAAGAACGACTACACCTCCTAGCAGCCATATGTATTCCTAGGTGATGGAGGAACGTAGTGTATACACAGTCATGAAGTACAGATAATGGTAATGTTGAGTGAAGACGTTGTTTCCTTCCACTGTGCAGATGCGACCGGGACCTCGGTGATCCAGGCCTTCCTGGAGTCGGTGATGGCTTCACCCAAACAGGAGGAGGTGTCGTATGTGGAGTTTGAGGAGTACTATGAGGGACTTAGCATCGGCTTTGATAGCGAGGAAGACTTCGCCAACATTCTACGCAACACCTGGACCATATAGACATTCATACTACTGAAAACATTGTGTTGTATTTAGATGATTTTAGTCATAGATGTTAATACATGGTCTTGATATTTATTGTGTAAATCTGATGTTATGAAGATAAAATTGATTGGTCTGTACCAGGGTCTTATTCCACAAACACTATGACTATCATAAACTTCTGTTAAAGTAGGAGAGTTACGATCATATTGGCGGTAAGATGGCTTTGTGGTATGGAGAGCCCAGATCTTTGTTTTTATTGTACAATTTGATCATTTTGATCAAGGTTTAGGGCGGTCGGGTAGCCTAGTGGTTAAAGCATTCGCTCGTCACGCCGAAGACCCGATATGGGTACAATGTGTGAAGCCCAGTTCTGGTGTCCCCCGCCGTGATATTGCTGGAATATTGCTAAAAGCAGCATAAAACCATACTCACTGACCACTTGATCAAGGTTTGAAAGGCGTTCATTCAGTGAAGCCACATCAAATGGATTGCTTAATCAGATGCTGTTGTACAATGAAAAGTATATCATATCTAGAGCAAGTGGCTGTTGTACCTCTCTAATCAAAAAGGCATCCCTACTAAGGTTCAAATAACAAGATGAGGCTTAACTTTATTTTACTATTAATGTCTAACAATGGACTACAATTAAGTCTTTGAAAGGCATTTAGAAGTGAAACACTTAAGGAAGAGAATTTATCGATATCAACTTCTTTATTAAGAGGAACACAACGTTTCGGAGTACAAACTTACTCCTTCATCAGGTGAATGAATGCCATGAAGCAGAGAACATATATGTGTACATGTATTCACAATTATCACTGATTGGTCATAGGTAATAAGCAATGGGCAAACAGGAGGCATGGGGTAATTAGCACTGATAGGTAATAAGCAATGAAAATGGCACTGGACAAATGAACTACACTTGTGACTAGACTGTTAGGATAAGACGTATTCATTTGCCCAGAGATATTACCGGTACATCATTACGGAAAGAAATTGTCCTAGTTCCCTACTTTTGACAAGACTTTACCCAGTAAGTCATTCATTTATTGTTGCCAGGTGTGATGAGTTTGCCTGATTGTATGACGAGGTTATACAGTGACTGTTGTGTATCTTTGTACTGTGTAGATATAGTGTGATTGGAGGCTGTCATTCCCTCTGGTGCTGCTCGAGTCACAATGAACTACAGTATGTACAATGTATATAAGTAAGCAATGTTGTATCATAGAAACTGTATGACAAACATGCTGATGCTTTTTTACCTTTGGATGTTCAAGTATTGAGTGTGTTAATGATGTGTACATACAAAACTTGCATTAGCTTGATGTCATGGAAGGGGAAGATGACTCCTATTAACTGGACAGTTGTACAATTGGTTGGTTGGTTTGTTATTTAACGCCGCACACAGCAATTTTCCAGCTATATGATGGCGGTCTGTAAATAATCGAGTCTGGACCAGACAATCCTGTGATTATTATCATGAGCATCCATCCACGCAATTGGGATCGATGACATGCATCAACCAAGTCAGCAAGCCTGACCACCCAATCCAGTTAGTCGCCTTTTACGACAAGCATAGTCACCTTTTACGGCAAGCATGGGCTGCTGAAGACCTAATCTACCCCGGAATCTTCACGGGTCGACAGTTGTACAAGAACATATCAGAGGGAACAATTATGTCACAGACATTCGCTTGGGTTGATCTCTCTGTGTCCTGGGAACTGTCAAGGATACTTCCGTGGGTCCGAGTCTGGACAACTGGGAAACCTGACCTACATGAGCTTGATATCTACAGTCTAGGGACATGTGCTTTGATAGCATCATAACATTCACATTCTCTGAAGCCCTACACTAATTACGAAAGACAATTTCCTTGTTGAAACGACCTCAATAATTGAGTGAAGAAAATCAGAAATGGACAGTCTGAACTTTGATTATATTTCTGAACATTTATATTTAAGAGAAGGGCAATGTGAATTAAATATAACATGCATGTAACAACTTATTTCGTTTTAATGATTCAAAGAGTCTGTAATTTTGAGTCCAGTGGCATGCACAGTGCATATTATTTTGATCAATTCACAGTTGTTATGAATATAGGATGCAGACATTGTGGATGCAATATTTTGCATCTGGTAAAACCATAATTTTAATATTCACTCACTAATTATTAATAACAAAATAGTGATAAGAATATGAACAAGACCTGTGTATCCTGCATCCCTGAGTAGCTGCGCGTGCTCTTTTCGCCATAGCAAAGAAGACTGACACTCAAAAAAACAATTTCTCATTTTTCTGAGTTTTAATTGCCAGAGAGAATTCAGTATTTCTTTGTGGTTGCCATTGACTTAATTTCTCAAGAATTATGAATCATGAATAGTAGAAGCAGGGAATAGAAATGAAACTAGATGAACATAGTAGAATTACTGTGCATTTTCATGCAGGGAACAGTCAAGTACAGTGTGGCGTTCATACCTCTAGCACACTTTGTTTGATGGAAAAACAAGTAACATAATCTTAAGAGAGAAAAATTAAGTTACTGGATTTCTTATTGCTGTCTCCACAAGATGTGGTGACAGAGGTGCTGGAGTGCAGAAGACGTGATAATGCTACCATAGTGTCCATGTGTATGATGTGCGAAACAAAGCCAGATATATAGTAACGGGACTAAAATTCGTACTTTAGTATGGATTTGTTGACATGCTATTTTCAGAGTTACATACTGCCATTCATGTCTTTGCTTATCCGAGGGGAAAGCAGAATCCATTATCTGTGTGTATAATGTGTATCTCTATCTTCCCATCCCCATACCGCACCCACCCACGACTCCCTCCTCCCCTCTACCCTCCACCCCTCTAAGCACAGATGTTTTTATTTGAAAATAATGGTACACCTTACAACAAGAACCATAAGAGCTTAAACAGGTAATTGATTTCTACCTCACCTCTGACAAGCCCAGAATACATATCTCAGAACCAACTTAAGGTTGTGACTATTTGCAATATGCCTTTCAGGTTGTGATGTCCTCGTTCATGTTATGGCGTCTCATGATGCTAGTTAAACAAAGGTTTTTAGACGTTCAGTATAAACAGATAATTCATATATTCTTGTAACATTCCAATTACATGATTGCAATAAAGGGAAAGTAGAGTATTTATTTCTACAATTGTGACAAATATTTTAAAGCTCAATGTCAAGATGTGTCTGTAATACATTGCTGGTTGTGTTGATGATGGTTGTGATGGCGGCTGCGGATTGCATTCCTTCCAGAAATGAACATAATAATCTATCACTTTCTGCTTGTTTTGAGGTGACCAATACTATCACAGTTGCAGATATTCCAGATTGTGTGATACTTACGTGTCCAAATGTTCTTTGTGTTTGTTTTAATGAGATATTTCTCTTTTCAATCAAAATATGTAAATTGTGATATGATGTGAGTTTAAGAAAAAATTATTTTTTCTCAATGAAATTAATTGTTTTGCATTTCTGTACAGTTTGTGAACATTTTGTGTCAGAAGTTTCTTGAACAACAAGTTTTGTATGTGGCTGATTGTTTGCAGGTAGATCTTCATACTGAACATGATGAATTTGAAATGTGTGAACTTTGTCACTTTGAATGTCTTTTTCATTTGCATATATGTATCTGTTTATAAATGTACAAATATGTTTTAGTTTTTCTAGTTGTGGATGTTTGTGTACTGAGCATGTGGGAGATGTACGCCATGTTTGAGCTTGCTGTATATCAAAGCTTCTGGCTTCATGGAGTGAAATCAGTGTGGACTTCTCAGCTCATAGTAACAGAGAAAACTGTCTCCTTTATGAAACATTTTGAACATCAAACTGACCTCCATGAATATTGTCCACTCTCGGACACAAGTCTGTGGAGATGTGTAGCACATATACTCATAACCAAAAGTTAAGCATAGTCCGATTTTTATTTATCCCAAATATATTAACATTTTTACAAGATTCAAAAACATGTGTCATTGTTCTTAAACTTACCAATACTTAGCAAAACGCTGTCCAGTCATCCCAGATCACCATGCAGGAGAACGGAAAAGTTGGAAAGAGCATTATTGGGTCACATTTTCACATCAAAAAAAGTACAATCTCATTAAAATCAGATCTAAGTTCTCGCTGCCACTAAACAAAGATCTGAGGACATCCCATTACCGGTCATGTCAGGACGACCTTTCGCGAACTTTGACCGACCACTAAAATGACTAACAAGAAGTTGACATTAGCCAATTAGAAAGCAGCTTTCTTGAGCTTTACACCACTCGTTTCAACCTGGCGACTTCCATTTCAGACTACGCTTGAAAAAAATATTGACACAGTTCTTGATTAGTATTTTGAAAACTTAACAAACGAACATTCCGGAATGTCTAATGTATGGTTGAGAGTGTATGGCAGTGCTTCCTACGTACTGTAACTGTCGTTCGGAATACCCCGTGTTAACGTTTCCGAGGTTGCATGATTAGAAAATACATTCTGACTGTCACTTTCAAGATCTGGTATGCGACGCTTTGATTGGTCAGATGAAAGGTTGTTCTGACGTGACGCGTAATGGGATGTCCTCAGATCTTTGTTTAGCGATAGCGAGAACTAAGATCTGATTTTAATGAGAGTTAAAAAAGTATGGTTGTGGTATCGAATCTGTTGCATGTTGTGGCAGATGTGTTCACAGAGACCTTGTACACCCCATGAAAGCAATTTCGACTGGAACTGGACTCTGCAGCGTAATGTCACCCTGTCTCTGCTCTCCGTCGTGTGTCCTCCGTTAGCAATCACAACCTCCTGATAGGCCTGGACATGCTCCTGGTGAAACTGTGCCAGTAGTGATCCCCACAACAACAAACACATGATCATCTCTCCTCAAAAATGTCACAAATATAGTGTACGGGTTGAGCTGCCAAATGTTCGTTTTGACACCATCACGCAAGAACAGTTGGCTGTTTAACTTCTGGTTATCAGTATGTCTTGTTTAATTCTTCATCAGAGGATGTATTCGAAGGCCAGTATAAGGCCAGACAAGTGTTATTTGTTGGGTTGGGTTCTCGACCTGTCTGCCAAGGTACAGGAGGAAAACAAGAGCTACAGAGGAAGGTGAGGGTTAACATGAGTGGAGGTCATCACAGTGAGTGTCTGTAGGAACTGTATGATTGCCGTAGTTGTGACACTATGAGAACACTTAGGTCATGTAGATGCACGTTGTACAATGTCTAGCTACACTGTAGCTTGTAAAAAAACAAGATCCGTCCAGTAGCTTGCCAGGATTCCATGTTTGAAAACTATAATTATATATGAGACATCGGATAATAGTTGGAGCAGAGTTAAAAAGAAAATACCAACCACAACAGATGGCGTGATTTGTTATGTAAGAACGCTCAAGCTACATGTATTTTTCATGCTCACATAACTGTAGGCAATGCTTGGCATATTTTATTTCTCAAAAGGTAGTTGAGTTGGTCATGTATAGGATTTGAGATCTTCAAGACAAAAATAAAAAAGGCAAAAGTGAATTAATTATTAGGTTTTCATGCAAATTCTTTTACAATGTGATGCATTTGTTTATTTTTAAACACATTTTTTCCCCCAACATGAACAGGTGATGAAAGTGATGAAGCATGGATGTTAGGTAGGACTATATATCTGTTGTATGTCATCCAGTAAGGGGCGGTCGGGTAGCCTAGTGGTTAAAGCATTCGCTTGTCACGCCCAAGACCCGGGTTCGATCCCCGACATGGGTACAATGTGTGAAGCCCATTTCTGGTGTCCCCCACCGTGATATTGCTGGAATATTGCTAAAAGCGGCATAAAACCAAACTCACTCACTCACTCATCCAGTAAAGAAAGAACGCAGCATATTTGCACTTTTTCATCTTCAGGAACCTAGGGACAGCAACATGATGCGAGGTGGGATGATTGGTTATGATTGAATGAAAATTTCATTATTAATTATTATAGCCAAATGAATTATTGACGATATTTTAGATTTTGAACTTTCTACAGCGAAGGGTACAATTACAGTATTTCAAACATAGAATCCTGGTTTTGCTGTTTCCACACGTATTTTACAAGTGTATTACACAGTATTTTTTATCAATGCGTGTACTTCGTCATGAGTCTTGAGAGAATATCTCAGACAAACATTCCATTCCAAGGTTGTGAACTGTAACATACAATTTTAACTATTTATTCCTGTTTTTTATTTATGTAATTTATGACAGTATGATGTGATCACTGTACATATCAACACTGCCAAGATGGTGTACCAGAATATTCTATATGCTCATTGAAAATAGATTATGTCCATGTATACTTATTGCTATAACTGAAAAAACATAGCTGTGCTTGTAGATCTGTTTGTGTCTATCCTCTCATTGACAATAGAGTTTATCAATGTATATGAATAGATGTTGATGTATTTTCTTAGCTGACTAAACTTGTAGATCTACATGTTATAGTGGTGTCAAATATTATTTGCTTATTAAACATATTTTATTTCTGATTTGTTTAAAACTTTGTTATATTTAAGATAGGGGACATCATAAATGTGTCCTTACACAAGGAGGTCTTGCCAAAGCCATAACAATTTAGTTTTCTCGTAAGCAGATTATTTTCATCAGTATTTCAAGATGCAGGAGTACAAGAAACATCCTAATATTATCTTGAAATAAAAGTTATATAACATTTGTATTAAAAAAAAGACAAATAAAGCATTATATTTTTTTATCCCCTACAATGCATTTTGCCGGAGATGTCGTTTCCAGAGCCGTGAAAACTGTACAATTTTATTTCACCATTCTTGTCACAAAGATAGGGTTAGTGGTGAACTGGTGCATTCTGATAGTTTGGGATTTAAAAAAAAAAAATGTTTGAGTTTCCCTGGCAACAATATATATATAACTAGTTCATGACAAGTATTTACCATTACGGGGGATATAAATGACTTTGTCCTCTTGTTGAAATTCAGAGCAGGTCATTTTGTAAACCAAGGACAAAGTTAAATCTTTGTCTAAGATGCCATATTATGGTATGGTAGTTTAAATCCATCCTCATCAAGGCTGCAACTGGTTTCTTTCTCTTACATAAAATATATTTAATAGTAAGATAATCATTGCAGAGAACAAACTTAGGATACTGCCAAACATGCTTTATCCGTAGGGAATCTGGGTTTGAAAATTACACAGCCGTCAATGATTGTCTTAGGGCAACTAAATAGATCAGGTAGTCGGGCTTGGTGACTTGGTTGATTGTATGTCATTCATCATACCCCAGTTGGGATGTTGCTCTTAATATCAATCACTGGTTTGTCGAGGCGACTAACGGGATCGGGTGTGTGTGTTGCTGCTTGTACTATTCCTGGCTAATGCTGGTTTGAAAGTGCTAGCCGACTGATATACCATGCCGCAGTTTAACATGGATACCCCACTCAGATAGAGCATACTGTCTCCGAGCTGACCAGTCCTTGTTTGTCGTATGAGGCGACTAATGGGATCGGGTGGTCAAGCTCGCTGACTTGGTTGGTGCATTATCGTATCCCAATTGCGTGGATCGATGCTCATGACATCAATCACTGGAGTGTCTGGTCCAGACTTGATTATTTACAGGCCGCCATCATATAGCTGGAAGATTGTTTGATGTTTAACGCTGCACTCAGCAAACAAAGAGTACTTGTTTTATCCCTTTAATGTCGAGCCCCAGGCAGGGTAACAAGAAGTACCCTCTTTTAACGTCTTTTGGGATGACACGTCTGGGGATCGAACACCAATTTTCATTCTCCTGAGACAGTCCCTATGATTTTCAGACTGCCGATACTGTTATGAGTTAAACATGATGTTTAACCTGGTAATTTAGGTGAAGAAGAGTCTGCCCAACCCCAAAATAATGAACACATTTATGACAAGAAAATTTTATTTAAAGAAATAAAAATGATGGTGATAGGCAGAATAAGGAAATAATATATGTGATACAGATACAGATAACAAAACAAGTTGTCTGGAACTCCACCAGTGGGTCTGACAATGGACTTCATGTAACAACAATGGTAGACCTTCATTAACAGATACAACAATAACACATCATATCACAGATTAGCTTTGCCTGTCCAGTGTGACGAAGAAACCCCATCTAGGACATCACTTTGGACAATTGTTGACAAACTTGTAGACATTCCTAGCACAGTATATATGACCCTGTGACCACGTATGTATGAATACTTGTACAGTTTAGAGCTGTGATGCCTGAAGTTGTTCAGGTATGACAAAATAATGTCACAAATACCATTTGTGCATAATTTTCTTATTACAGAATGATTTTTGTTCTTAATACTCAGATATGAGGACAAAGGGCCATTATGTCCCGATATCTCGTGCTTGTCGTAAGAGCCAAATAAAAATGACAATCAAATGGTTACATAATGTGACCATGTTCATGGGGTGTCATCATATTAAAACTCATGCTCATGCCGTCAACCACTAGTTTTGCTCAATTGTCTACAGGTCACATTCATTTTGCTGACTGGCTCTCTTTCACTCCCTCACTCATTGGGCTGACTCTAACAAATACTAACTTGGCTTAAAATATTCCCACTATAACTTTTTTTCAAATTAGGAGATAAACATATACTGTGTTTTCAAAGAAGAGCTAGATTACTTGCAGATATAACCACACTAAATCAAATTTGGAACCAGACGTACAGCATCAAATCAGCAGTTCCAAACTGAGGTTGTTATTGTGATTTGACCAAACAAGTATTTTCCAAAGCCATTGAAAAATAATTATTCTACAAAGTATTTTGGAAAAGATGTGAAAGAGGAGATTTACTTTAATTTTTCCTTTTCAGTCATATATTGAACCAGCTAGCCTGATTAAAGTGATGTTTCAGACAATATTACCCTTCACTCAGCACTAACAATCAGTTGCACTGTAGCTGCGATACATCCGCAGATTACCACTTTTCAACATTTGGAAATAGATGTGAAGACCCATCACTCAATGTAGACATGCAGGTTGTATTACAAGCATAGCAATTACAGTAAAACAAATCTGAGATCGAACACATCCACGCTTTACCACAGAAGTAAGAATATTGCCGAAAGATATTGTACACAATAATATCAACTGTATTTCAAAATATATGAGACTGTTCTCTATACATCTTTTATATTTTTTTATGAATCTGGCTTGCTTGATCCATACTTGCTGTCTTTCAAATTTAATGAGGACTGTCCAAGTCCATGACCTTATTCTCCAATAGGCAATTCTCGACTCAGCAATAAATTCAAAGGAAAATGTCTAGCCCCAGTGGGAAGCCAGGGTTCAATAGGTCGGTCTCCAGTGCTCCACCGCTTGTCATAAGAGGTGATACATAACATACTTAATATAATATAACATGGACCCAAGGCTGAGGCCCACTTACTGACCTTGTCATCCTTTGTGTTCAATCAAGAGCTGCATATTCCAGCAGTTCTTGCACCCCTAGGCATGACATGATCTCACAGATTGATGAGAAAGACACCCGTGAAGATCCGGGTTCGAATTGATCTTCAGCAACCCATGCTTGTCGTAAGAGGCGACTAACAGGTGGGTGGTCAGGCTCGCTGACTTGGTTGATGCATGTCATTGTATCCCAATTGCGTAGATCGATGCTCATGATGTCAATCACAGAATTGTCTGTTCCAGACTCGATTATTGACAGACCGCCATCATATAGCTGGAATATTGCTGAGTGCGGCGTTAAACAACAAACAAACAAGCAAACAACCAAGGGTAAGACAGTCTCAAGGAGGCCATTTTTTTATATAGTAAGATCTCAGGAGACCTAAAAGAGAAATCTGGGCCACAGACAAATATAATCCACCCAAATAGTTATCAACGTTTGCAGCATCTCATGGAGATAAAGAAAACATGGAGAGAAGAATCATAAGAGACGTTCAGGCCTACAATGGTTATAGCCCAGAAATAGTGATGACAAGACTCTTGAATGTTTTCAGCAACAGAGAATATCAGATCGTGTTTTGGTAAGACCACTATTGCAGCTGGAGTTCTACAGGACCTGACCTCAGCTTGGTGGTGGATCAACTATCTCCTCCAGTTCAAGAGGTATTTCTTCTGGGGCTTGCACTTCCGCTGGCTTCTCAGCTGGGGGCTTCTCTTCTGCGGGTTTGGGTTTGTGAGAGAATGCTTGCATCTTGGAATATTGATGGTCCTCACCCATTAATCTGAAAAAAATCACTTCAGATACAATCACAGATACAATCACAGATACAACTGTAGGCAAGGAGGGGTGCCTCTTGTCATCACAACTTCACATACAAGTGTAGCTGAATGCAAATTAACTGGGTAGCAATCTTTGTTTTGCAGGTGTGTTAATTTTCCTAAAACTATTCCCAAATGAATTAGCTACTTGTACAGTCAGATTCCCTTTCCGAATCTGAAATGTATAAGTGTTAGGGATGCTTCAGAAAGAGTGCATTATCCTGGATCAAGGGAGTAAAATTCCTGTCTCCACCCTTGCCAAACGAGGCTGGCATTTCTGGGCTTGATCATAGTGCCCCCTGCGGCTATCACGAGTTTTGTCCCTTCTGTGTCCCTCCTACTGACCAATCAGATTCCACTTCTCATATCACTTGCATTTGCTTCAAACAAAATGACGGCAACCAAGCAAGACAATCTGATTGATAATCAAGATCAATATCGTAATAAAATGGGTCTTATTTCGCAAAGTACACCAAATCACGTGAGCACCTTGTTTGAAAACGTCAAGTTAGCTTTGCAAATCCTGCAATGTATGGAAATCTGCTCAGCAGTTTATGAACCAGATGTTGATTTCATTACGCTACTTTGATTGGACTATGCATAGGCTCTTTAGGCCAGCCAAAATATAACTCCATAGTTCCAGCCTAGTTTGGCAAGGGTGGAGGCTAGAATTATATAGGCAGTTAACTCCCTTGCCTCATGAAGATGAAAAAGGGGTTGCTCTCCCCTGCATCTCCAGTCTTGCTCTCCCCTGCATCCCCAGTCTTGCTCTCCCCTGCATCCCCAGTCTTGCTCTCCCCTGCATCTCCAGTCTTGCTCTCCCCTGCATCCCCAGTCTTGCTCTCCCCTGCATCCCCAGTCTTGCTCTCCCCTGCATCTCCAGTCTTGCTCTCCCCTGCATCCCCAGTCTTGCTCTCCCCTGCATCCCCAGTCTTGCTCTCCCCTGCATCCCCAGTCTTGCTCTCCCCTGCAACCCCATTCTTGCTCTCCCCTGCATCCCAAGTCTTGCTCTCCCCTGCATCCCCAGTCTTGCTCTCCCCTGCATCTCCAGTCTTGCTCTCCCCTGCATCCCCAGTCTTGCTCTCCCCTGCATCCCCAGTCTTGCTCTCCCCTGCATCCCCAGTCTTGCTCTCCCCTGCATCTCCAGTCTTGCTCTCCCCTGCATCCCCAGTCTTGCTCTCCCCTGCATCCCCAGTCTTGCTCTCCCATGCATCCCCAGTCTTGCTCTCCCCTGCATCTCCAGTCTTGCTCTCCCCTGCATCTCCAGTCTTGCTCTCCCCTGCATCCCCAGTCTTGCTCTCCCCTGCATCCCCAGTCTTGCTCTCCCCTGCATCCCCAGTCTTGCTCTCCCCTGCATCTCCAGTCTTGCTCTCCCCTGCATCCCCAGTCTTGCTCTCCCCTGCATCCCAAGTCTTGATATCCATATAACTCTTCGGGCTTTCCTCGCACGTTTAGAAAACATACACTGTGATCTTATTGAAACACCAGTCTGTGAGTCTACTACCATGAATTTGTATTTTGAAATTATTTTCAGTAGATGTAGGTCTTAGTATGGACTTGTACAAGCTGATCTCACTAGACAATAAGAAGCTTCGGACTATAATAGATCCTCATGTTAATCTCTCTCACAGTGCCTGAAACATATTATTTTCCCTTCCGCCCAGCCCTAATCTAATGCAAATTCTTAAATGAAGCAAGTCTAGATTTTCCTCAGGTTCTGATTCTCCCATTTTACTGGGGCTCCCTTTCTATATACATGGAGTTATTTGTTTCTGTCAAAATTATATTATTTCCGCGTCTAATTCTCATGTTTAACACAGCAAAAACAAACAATCATACGACATGCTTGATGAGTGGATAACGTCACAGACTGAAATATTGTTGAAAGAGGTCCAATTCACTCACAAGAATATCAGTATGTATACAGTAAATATGGTTAAAGATGACTGCTTTGAGTAGTCAGACAAGATGCTGACAGCCTGGATCTGCCCATCACTGGGTGGAGCAACTCACTTGTTGTAGGACTCCCTGGGCCACTCCATGAAGTAGGAGAACACCCACGCCCGTGTAATGCCCTGACCGTGCCGGACATTGTCCAGATTCCCACGCCGCTCCAGGTTCACTTCCCGACGTTTCTGAGCCCACTCTCGTCGACGTTCCAGCTCGTGTCTCATCGTCTCCCTAGCCTCAGCCTCCATCCGCTGAAGCTGAACACAACAGTTGAGGCTTAGTGACACTGCAGTCTACACGTTTGAAGGGTCAAGGAATCAAAGGAAGTTTTACTTTGGCAATAATTTCGCTCGTCAGATACCAGAACTATTCACTCGTTTCATAACATTGTTAGTACATGGGAGCTTGTTTAGTATTCTATATAACTCCCATATGTTAACACAGACAGCAGCTTTACATGGTCTCCCACCTCAAATAATATTTTGGTGCAACTTACTTCCTCAAACCTCTTCTTCTCTTCCTCCCTATTCATCTCTTCCTCCAGCTCCCGCGCCTTCTTCTCCTCTTCCAGTCTATATTCTTCCAACAGCATTGCCTCTCTGTAACACACAGAAGACATTTCAACTCTGTTGAAGGAAACCTGAAGTAAGGGACCGACACAAGTTGATGTTGCAAGAATGTTGCTCTTGCATCTCACATTACATCCAGACCAGCAGTAGTGTGAAGATCATTTTTCATCATGGATATCCAGCTTTATAAGGCCTATATTGGAACCTTGACCACAGTTGCTAATAGGTGAATATTATTAAACTTTTTGCCAGTGTAATTACTCTGCAGTAACTTGTATTCCTCTGTAAACCTAGTCAATTACATACTACAATTGTTTATTGTATACCATTTCTTTGTTGTTTATTGGTTTCACAGTAAATTCCTTTACGGAAAGATTTCTGGGTTATAATTATTTCAATTTGGAAATTGACATGTAACACTGTGTGTATTCCTTATAAGTATGAGCCATGGCAAACCTCTTTTTCCGCTCCTCTTCCTCAATCTGCCGTGCCAGTTGCTTTAGCTTCCACCTGCGTCTCACCGCATTCTCCCTCTCCTCAACCAACCGCTGCATCGCCTCTTCCTCCGCCTGTATACACAAGATACACCAACATTTCATCATGCTCACTCACCATTACCTTGATCCCCGGCCACATCATACAAAAAGATGTTAAAAAATGGTACTTGTTGTTTCCCTGCCTGTGCTCGGCATTATGAAGATAAAACAAGGACTGTGTCTGAGTGGGACATTCATGTTAAACTGTTGCTTGGTATCTCAGTGGACTAGGACTGTAAAGCCAGTATAATTCCGGACTAGCATTGCTAGTCTTGATCGCGATGTCAAAACTTTTCACTTCACCTCTATCCCATACAGATTATCAATGAGAGTGAGAGTTTCTACTAACTCTTCTCTAGTGTTGGATTTTACCCTCTTACAGTATTCCTGTCTCATAAGTATATTTGTGTTTCGTATATTTTTCTTATGACAGCATATCAGTGCCACAGGAAAGAATCAATCTCACATGATAATCTTCACTATCATCAAAAACTGGCTCTCACAGGATATATCACTTGGGTGAGATCAAGCGATCTCACATTGTAGATATTGCTGCAATGAAATTGCATCACAATGCTTTGCAGACCATTCTGGTTACCATGACGTCACAACCAAATGACATCACTAATGGCTCTACTACTGAATCTGTTAGCAGTACTTTTTACACTTAAGACACTGCTTATTACTGTCTACAAACTGAAAAAGTTGGAAGAATGACACGAGTTTGATATTTGATATCAAAAGACACTCGGGTGAGATTCCCTATGTGTATCCAAATTAATACAAAACTCAAGAGCGTCAGTCTCGATTGTCCACCCAAACGGCTTCCATTGTTCTTGAAAGGTAAATAGCAATGAAATTATGGGAATGGAACACTGATTTACACTATACTGGCAAAATCCCCTCTTCTGATTTGTGAAACAAGAAAGGTGATACTTCTCCTCATCTCCTTCTCCAGCTCTGTCATTGAGGCCCTGATTCCTAATCAAAGTCCTATCACAGTTGTGCTTTACTGACAAAATCTCCTTTTAACCATGAGGATATAAAACAAGAAAGGTGATACTTCTCCTCACCTCCTTCTCCAGCTCCCTCATCCTCAGTTCCTCCTCCTCCGCCTCCCTCTGGGCCTGTCTCATCTCCTCCTGCACAATGCAGACACAGGAAAAGCTTGTAGACAGTGGATGAATGGTGGATTAAGTCACATCAAGGACAGTTACAGAGGCCATCAACAGGATTCACAGCTAGTGATGATGCGATTAATTGAAATAATCGAAGACTGATTGGAGGTCCAAATGACCATGCAATCTAACTGCAATTTTTCAAAATCAAACATGATTTTCTCCCCTCTCTCAAGTTCTCAACTCAGGCTTTTGTTAAGGTTTATTCACTACCTTAATAATACTTAGTACTTGGAGAATATAGTGGTAGAGAAGCCAACTCCCTTAATAATACTTAGTACTTGGAGAATATAGTGGTAGAGAAGCCAACTACCTTAATAATACTTAATACTTGGAGAATATAGTGGTAGAGAGTCCAGTATTCTATTTAAAAATGAAATGTTGAAGTAAGTATTTGTGTTTGGTTTTGTTACGTGTCATGTAGTTTTACTGAACTTAACATTGAAAAACACCAGAATGACACTAACCGATTCATTTTGATGATCAGTCAGTTGTGATGATCCCATCAACATTCATGATTTTACAACCAATTCCCAATACTATCCCAAACAGGATGAACACATCATCCCAGGCAACCTAAATCTGCACTATACACAGTACAGCGACCTGAGTGTGAGAACTTCCATCACTCTCTTCTCATTCCTCACCTCATACTTCTCCTGCGCTGCTCTCTCCTCTTCCTCTCTCTTAAACTTCTCTTCTTCTTCCAGTCTCCTCTTCATCTCGTTGTCAGCAATTCTCTGCAGCATCTCGGCCTCCTTCAGCCTGGCTGCTTCTATCATATCCTTCTCCTTCTCTCTTCTCCGTATGGCTTCTTGCTTCTTCCTCTCCAGATCCTCCTTCCTCCTTCGATCTCGAGCCTCACGTTCTATTTTCCTGGCCATGGCTACTTGGAGTCGAGCGTCATCCTCAGCTTGCTGGATCTCCTCCTCCTCTTTCCTTAGGTCCTCCATCTCCTCGGCCAAGTCCTACATAGACAGTGCAGACGTGTTTGCTACATTATACAACAAAACAGAGACCAAAAGTGTATGCCACTAAAGCGCGACTCACACGGGTCGACATGTCGTACTGACATGCCGATTTCCATATATTGTACAACATGTTCGGTGATTGTAACAAATATCGACTAATCGATTTGCTACCACTCACACGATTTGATCTGCTGATTGAGTGTCGATCTCATGATATCTCAAAGTAGTTTTTTTCCATGGTATCAAAATGTCTGAAGCACACATGGCAGCAGTCACCTACTGCGCGATATTGTATTAAGAAGACGTCAATGCCAAAGCTAAGAAAAAGAGAAGCTGTTGGACGAAGGACTGGATTTTCCGTCGTGACATGCATGGAGCGAACAACAATCTAATTAAAGAATTAGAAATTCATGGTTAACCCATGGTTAAGGAAAGTTTTGGCGATATCTTATTGAAAGTTGAGCCAAAGATCCAAAAGCAGGACACCAATATGCGGGAAGGCCCTCCAGTTGGATTGAAGTTGGCAGTTACACTTCGTTTTCTGTCGAGTCGTTAGTATATTTTGCTATACAAATATCTGAAATGACTTAATTATTTTTGTCGATTAAAGCAAAACACATATTTATCAATCACTCAGACGATACGACTCAGTCGAATTTGGCATATAGATTCGACAGGCCAACCCGTGTGAGTCCGCCTTAAGCCAACAGGTACAATACTAAACACAAACATTCTGATACTGTCAGGTCATGGCCTAGAGATTAATTATTTCATCATCTGCCATGACATCATCAGCAGAGTCTACATCTTCATCATGAATTGCATAGCAGTGCCAATGGACCACCTGTGCCTTGTAAAGCTCTTAGGCATTCGAGTCCTCTTAAGTACCTGACCAAGGGAAATTATTCACACGTTCACTTCTTTAACTCGAGAAACGGTACAGTGTCAGAGTGAATTTGACATACATAATGCAAGATAAAAAGATACAATGTTGATTGTGTGGCATAGTGCAGGGTACTCTTGAAATCGGTACTCATGTCTGGGTCGCGTTTTTTTACACAGTTTCTTGCATCAATTCTTTCCACTGTCTAGTGCCCACATTTCGGAACCAACTGAGAACACAATGCTCTCAGACAGCATCATGCTCGTCTACAAAGTGAGCATCAAAGTAGCTGTATATAACCTACAATGGTGATTTGTTTTGTGTGTACCTAGATGAAAAACAGAAAATGTCCGACACAAGAAACTAACTAACATTTCAGTTGTTCATTCTGTTGGTTTGAAGCATTTTCAATGAACATAGCAGTAAAGATTATTCTGTAATGTTTTAATGTGTTACCATTCCATTTGTCTACAAGGAAAAGCCTTCTATCTGACAACAATATTACCTCTGCCTTCTTCCTGGCTTCTTCCTCTTTTGTCTTCCTCTCCGCTTCTCTGGCTCTGATCTTCTCCTGTAGTGCCATTGCTTCCTGCAGGCGTTGCTGTGGGCAGAGACATGAGAGTCTACAAGGACAGAACTAGCATTCACACCAGTACTTATAACTCGATCCTCTCTATGTTCTTCTCTGGTTGATACCCTACTCCTTTTTTCTTCATCAAGCTACCTGTTTTCCCTAAATATACCCCTGTTTCTCCCACCCTTCCCCCACCCTACCTGTTTTGCCCAAATATATCCCTGTTTCTCCCACTTCCTCCCCCCCTCCCCCAACTGTTTTCCCCAAATATACCCCTGTTTCTCCCACTTCCTCCCCCCAACCCTACCTGTTTTCCCCAAATATACCCCTGTTTCTCCCACTTCCTCTCTCACACCCTACCTGTTTTCCCCAAATATACCCCTGTTTCTCCCACTTCCTCCCCCCACCCTACCTGTTTTCCCCAAATATACCCCTGTTTCTTCCACTTCCTCCACCCACCCTACCTGTTTTCCCCACATGTACCCCTGTTTCTCACACTTCCTCCCCCCACCCTACCTGTTTTCCCTAAATATATCCCTGTTTCTCCCACTTCCTCCCCCCCACCCTACCTGTTTTCCCCAAATATACCCCTGTTTCTCCCACTTCCTGCCCCCACCCTACCTGTTTTCCCCAAATATACCCCTGTTTCTCCCACTTCCTGCCCCCACCCTACCTGTTTTTCCCCAAATTTTCCCCTGTTTCTCCCACTTCCTCCCTTCCTACCTGTTTTTCCATTGCCCTGCGTTCCTTGATGGCTGCCCTCTCCTTCTGTAGATCCCTCTTCTCCTCAACAGTATCCGTCTTGTTCTTCTTCTTGGACTTGGGTTCAGTTGCTTTGACGGCAACTTTGGGTTTGTCCGGGGTCTTATTGGTTACATTGTCAATCTTAGCCTCTGCCTCCTGTACTCTCGCCTTCAAATGAAACAGTTGCACGTTAATATCTTCCTGTTGTCAAAATTACTATGTTCACTTTGTTGATGACAATGATTTGTTTACCATTACAATTGTTTTGATCAACCAATACCAAACAGCCGTCCATCTTCAGATTCACACAACTAACATTATTATTCAAGCTATTCTAAACTTACAATCACTACAAAACCTGTGCTAGTTTAAGATATTCAGCAGCAAATGTTTCTGAATGATGGGGAACCAGGGAAGTGTTTCAGCATGGCTCTGTCTCTCCATGTCACAAGTTGTTTCAGTGGACACTGAGCCAGAAACCAAACCAGAAGCAACAGGTTGGACCAATGCTCACATCAGTTAAAGGGCAAGTTCACACGGAAATGAACCAATTTTTCTTGTACTTTTTCCACATTAAAAGTGTTAACATAGAAGTGTCATATTTAATTAACATATTTTTTGCATTAAAACGATTTATAATTTTCACATTTACCAAGTGTTCTATTTCCATAACAAAAACACCATGGCTTATGCCCCTTGCAATATGACGTCATTGGTGCCAATTGATAAACATTATGACGTCATCATGCTTTGTTAGAGCGGCTTCACGTGGTGTAGGTACAGTTTTGTGATTCTAGCGTCTCAGATGCCAGCCAGAATTGTGTTATGCTGAGTCACCACTGCGCCGGAGTGTGTCGTAGACCATGTTGTTTTACCGCAAACTGGTCCTTGATATCTTTTGCGTTGAGAATAGACAGGGACCCAGTTGAATTGGCACCAATTACGTCATAATCTAAGGGGGATAACTCAGGCCTATTTCGCTCGTAAAACGAAGGCCTCATAACGACATATCATTTTAACACTATTGTGAGCTTCCTACTTTCACTGTGAAAAAAAATGAGTGTATATTTTCAAACACAGATACTAACTAATTCTAAAATTGCGTTTTGTTTAGAAAAAGAAAGAAAGTGATTTTTGCGTGTACACTTCCCCTTTATGAAGATAAATTATATCACATTCTGGGACAAAAAGTCCCATAGCAGTAGTATTGAACTGACAGCTTATAAACTATAGTTCTTTTGATATAGTTGTCATGCTACAATTAGGATGCTCTTTGGGCATGCGGCCTAAATGGATATTAAGGTTGTTCAGACAGCAAAGTTTAATCATATGAGTTATAGTTATTCTGTCATTGTGTTCACATCATATCAAGATAATGGGGTGTCTGGGGACTCAAGGCTCCATGGTCTGTGTACTTTCTTCAATTCTTTTCTCACTCCTTACAGGGTGTTACTGATAAACAATGTTACCAGCAGCGCCTCGTTCTTACAAGAAGCATCAATTACTCGGGACCTATTCTGGACAGACTCCCTACAGGGTGTTTACTGATAAACAATGTTACCAGCAGCGCCTCGTTCTTACAAGAAGCATCAGTTACTCGGGACCTATTCTGGACAGACTCCTTACAGGGTGTTTACTGATAAACAATGTTACCAGGAGGGCCTCGTTCTTACAAGAAGCATCAGTTACTGGGGACCTATTCTGGACTGACTCCCTACAGGATGTTTACTGATAAACAATGTTACCAGCAGCGCCTGCTTCTTACAAGAAGCATCAGTTACTGGGGACGTATTCTGGACAGACTCCTTACAGGGTGTTTACTGATAAACAATGTTACCAGGAGCGCCTCGTTCTTACAAGAAGCATCAGTTACTCGGGACCTATTCTGGACAGACTCCCTACAGGGTGTTTACTGATAAACAATGTTACCAGCAGCGCCTCGTTCTTACAAGAAGCATCAGTTACTGGGGACCTATTCTGGACTGACTCCCTACAGGATGTTTACTGATAAACAATTTTACCAGCAGCGCCTCGTTCTTACAAGAAGCATCAGTTACTGGGGACATATTCTGACAGACTCCTTACAGGGTGTTACTGATAAACAATGTTACCAGGAGCGCCTCGTTCTTACAAGAAGCATCAGTTACTCGGGACCTATTCTGGACAGACTCCCTACAGGGTGTTTACTGACAAACAATGTTACCAGCAGGGCCTCCTTCTTACAAGAAGCATCAGTTACTGGGGACCTGTTCTGGACAGACTCCCTACAGGGTGTTTACTGATAAACAATATTACCAGCAGCGCCTCCTTCTTACAAGAAGCATCAGTTACTGGGGACGTATTCTGGACAGACTCCCTACAAGGTGTTTACTGATAAACAATGTTACCAGCAGCGCCTGCTTCTAACAAGAAGCATCAGTTACTGGGGACGTATTCTGGACAGACTCGCTACAGGGTGTTTACTGATAAACAAGATTACCAGCAGGGCCTCCTTCTTACAAGAAGCATCAGTTACTGGGGACGTATTCTGGACAGACTCCCTTCAAGGTGTTTACTGATAAACAATGTTACCAGCAGCGCCTGCTTCTTACAAGAAGCATCAGTTACTGGGGACGTATTCTGGACAGACTCGCTACAGGGTGTTTACTGATAAACAAGATTACCAGCAGGGCCTCCTTCTTACAAGAAGCATCAGTTACTGGGGACGTATTCTGGACAGACTCCCTACAAGGTGTTTACTGATAAACAATGTTACCAGCAGCGCCTGCTTCTTACAAGAAGCATCAGTTACTGGGGACGTATTCTGGACAGACTCCCTACAAGGTGTTTACTGATAAACAATGTTACCAGCAGCGCCTCCTTCTTACAAGAAGCATCAGTTACTGGGGACGTATTCTGGACAGACTCGCTACAGGGTGTTTACTGATAAACAAGATTACCAGCAGGGCCTCCTGTGCCAGCGTCAACTCCTCTGCTGTCAGCCCCTCCCCTGCCTCCACAGCCAGAGTAGGTCCCGCCAGCGTGTCCTCGATAGCAACACTCACTGACAAACAGGGTTATTAGAACAATTTTAAAAACTACCGGGTAATATGAGCAAGCAATTTATCAACATTTGAAGTTTTTCTTCTTTTACATATGGATCTGCCCTAACTTATGCAAAATTAAAAGTAAATAGTGAACCAATGATTGAAGACAAGCTCCATTTCTAACACCCACTTGTCAATAGAGAACAAGAAGTAGCTCTTGGAATTGCTACTAAAAAAAACACTGGTTTTTTTTTTACATTTCCTGTCCAAAAATTGGGTCAAGAAAGCACAAAATACATGTTTTTATAACAAAAATACAAAAAGGAACAATAATGTAAAAAGATCCCCAGTGAAATACAAGACCACTGGGAGAATCCCATGGTGACTTATCAAAGTATTCCATGTGTAAAAAACAACCTGTAATACACCAAAGTGCTTAGTTTATGGTTATTATGACTTTAGTGAGTGAGTGAGTATGGTTTTACGCCGCTTTTAGCAATATTCCTGCGATATCACGGCAGGGGACAACAGAAATTTGTTTCACGTATTATTACTTTAAATATATATAGCAAAAGTGAGTGAGTGAGTTTGGTTTTATGCCGCTGTTAGCAATATTCCAGCAATATCACGGCGGGGTACACCAGAAATTGGCTTCACACATTGTACCCATGTGGGGAATCGAACCCGGGTCTTCGGCTTGAAGAGTGAACGCTTTAACCACTAGGCTACCCGACCACCCCTATATAGCAAAAGATGCAACTAAAAGACAAGATATAAAAAATATGTTATTCCTAGTTAAATATACTGTATTTTGCCTCTGTATCTTGGCAAATTGACCAAGACAATCTGTAAAACAAAACACAATTAATCTGTCTACGTCCCACCAATATTAACATCAGAAGTCGGCTACAATTACTGATGGCAACATTTCTCCAGATCTAATTGATGGTATTTATTTGAAGCAGCTTACTTTGAGCAATTTCATCCTCCAGTTCCTCTTGAGATTTCAATGTGCTCCGCCGTCCCAGAAACTCCTCCATATGAGCTGGCAACACTGACGACTTGGTTTTGTCCGACTTGGTCTCCACATGGCGAGCAGGTGGCTTCTTCACTCTGACCTTCTTTGCTGGGGCTGCTGGGACTTCCTTCTCCACCTGCGTTGTTTGAGAGGATGAATACAGCAATATAGACGTAGGTGGATGCCAATCTCATTCAAATCAGGTTTTCTTCTCTGATACAGTACCTCTCTCAGTGAAGATTTGACAAACCCTTCATTGGAGGTTACTACAGGTGAACTTTCTCATCAAACAATCAGCATCAAGGTTTCTAAGTTCTCAATATGAATGAGCAGAGCACTGAGAGCAGCATATCTCAATCTTGAAAACGAATATGAATGGGCAGTTCCGAATGCCAAATAATAAAGACTATGCTATTATATTGTTGTGGATATTTTATAAATCTAAACCCAAAGGAGTTTACTATCAAGGGTATACTTGTGTTCTGTGAGGGTTTTCTTTTAAGATCATAATTTCTGAATTGAGGTGGTTAAGAAATGACGGTGAATCATTGAAGAAAGCTCAGATAGGAACCTTTGCAGTCCTCATTTAGATTAGAGGTTTGTCAGATCATCACTCAGACAGGTATCACAATGGCATTGAAGATCTGGTTTTAAAGACATTGGTAGAATGCAGTGTCATTCACAGTGTGGGCAAGGTGCTTTACACTTCATTGACTGTCCCATACAAATTGCTGTAATCTTTGAGACTCGTTCCACAAAGCAATTGCAGTGCTATGACTATATTGTAAGTTTGTTTTGCTATAAGATTTTGGACAGTTTTACCATGACATACTTCTGTTTTAGCAACAAAAACGTTCACCCTCACACAAAGACATATGAAACGTCCATTTGTTTTATTTAAAATATTTTTTCTCCGAAAATCGTAATTGACTTTAATTTCAAAGTCATAAGTAATGTAGGCATACACAGGTTTCTGGTAATTGCAAGAATGCATCAAAGCATGATAAGAAGTCAATATTTGAGGTGCAAATTGCTGAAGACATTCTTAGGCAAAGAAAAACAAACTTATAAATAATTCAAGTGGAGATAACTCACTTCCTGCTTGTCATTCTCAGGTTGAACTGAAGTGATATCCATTACTTTAACAAACTTCTTGGTGTCCATCTTCACATCTTTCTTATCACCTCCCTTTGCTGGAGTCCTTGTCTTTGAAGTTGGTTTTGTGGAAGGTTTAGTCTTAGGAGGTTGAGGTTGTCTCTTTGTCTCGGGTGGGGTTTCAGGGACAATTTGAGTTGTTACCTTCTGTTGATATGAAACAAATTAAAGTATTTCAGCAAACATGGTATATACTGTTGGTGTGTAATTACGTTTTAATCCCATCCCATGTTCACGTCAATAACCACAAAAAAATCTGCACATTCTTTGTCTTCCCTACATTACGACATGACGCTTTTATTGATAACAACTTTGCTATTGTTTGTAACAAAGACTTGATCCCTACATCAGTATATTATCAAAATAAATGCACCAATACTAAAACCCATTGGGTATATCCTCATCAGCGATCCACCCAAATCCGATATTGACTTGAAAAAACACAATCCCAACTCCCATATGCAGCCAACATCGGAGGACTTTACCTCGTTAAATGTGACCTTGCTCTTCTCCCTGACTGGGGATGCAGGTGCTTGTCTCCCCTCTCCCTCCAACATCTGTCCTGGAGGAGAATCCTTCCTCTCAGGTCCTGCTCCAGCACCTCCTGCTGATGCTTCCTCATCCTTCCCCAACAGTGACCCTCCTCCCTCCTCCACCTCACTCTGTGCAGCATCAGTGGGGCCTTCAACATCCTCATCCGAGGCCTGGGTAGTAACAGGGCTGCCAGGTATAACATCTCTATCACCATCTTCATCACTTCCACCCCCTCTGTCACCACCATCAGCCCCACCATCAGCACCACCACCCTCTCTGTCACCACCACTACCAGCTCCATCAGCAATGAGGTCTGGAACAGTAGCGAGGTCACCATTCTCAACAAGTTCCTGATCTGTCTTGAGATCTCTGTTAGCACTATCGTCTGGTTGACTAAGGCTTTGGTCACCGATATCTTTGTTTGCCTCTGACACAGCATCTATAATAGATGGTGTTTGAGACTCACTTGTCCCCTCACTGTCTCTCATGTCTGTGAATGGCACACCTTCAGCTGAAATCAGATCACAACATGACAAATTATAAACACATTCTCTGTATGTGTTAACATTGGGTTTCTATGTATATCATCACTCATTTTCCAGATACAAATATTTGTTTGTTTGTTGTTTAACGCCACACTCAGCAATATTCTACCTATATGACGGCGGTCTGTAAATAATCGAGTCTGGACCAGACAATCCATCATGAACATCAATCCACGCAATTGGGATACGATGACATGTCTCAACCAAGTCAGCGAGCCTGACCACCTGATCCCGTTAGTCGCCTCTTTCAACAAGCACAGTCGCCTTTTACGGCAAGCATGATTTGCTGAAGACCATTCTACCCTAGATATCCACAGGTCACAATTATATGTATCACAGTTTAACATTGGTGCTGAATAAAATGTCACCTTCTAGCTCCTCAACTTCCATTGTTTCCTCCACTTCCATTTTTGGCTCCTCTGCTGGGACATCTTGAGTTGTCTCCCCTTGTGTACGGACATCATGCTGAGGAATGACACCTAAAAAACATCAACAATACCATTAGCAATCTTCAAATGTGAAGTGGAAATTTCAAAAATTCTAAAGCCCCTTTTCGAGCTGAGTTTAAATTGTCAAATAATAATGATATGATCCAAATAATCAATATCAACACACCATAATAGAAGCGTAGTTTCATCTTTAAGGTTCAAAGCGTTTTCCCCCACTTTGCCTGCTTCAACTTAGTTTGGAGTCTTAGATATATCCCTGCTCAATTAGCTGTGACAGCTCTATGATATTGACACTGCTAGGGGTTTGACATATATAAATAGTGCCAATTAGTATTAGTATAAATTATGAAGACATCATTGCACAGTATCTTTATTGGTCACATCCTAGAAATTTCTCTGAATTATTTTTAACTTGCATGACCACTGATTACTGATAATAAAGCTGAAATATCAATATCAAGGATGAGCTGAAAGACGAAGGAAAATCTAACAATCATTTATTTACAACCACAATAGGTTGTTTGGAACCTATTTTAACCTGGAACCCCACTGGTGTTAACAATCAAAACCCATATCACAATAAATTTTAGTATTTACTGAAGTACATTGAATCAGTATGCGAAATCTTCAAATCTTTGCACAAAAAGAATAAAATATGTGGAAACAAGTTTTGTTATAAAAATCAAGACAATATGTTTCTGAAAAGTAATAAAAACTATTAATATTATTAATCCTAGAGAAGAACAGTGAATCAACATGTGAAATCTCAAAATATTTAACAGATCAAATAACCAATGTGTGGTATACCTTTCACTCAGTTAATATTGAGATCAGCTGAAACAATCACTGTTGATTAACTGTGGCCTCAGAGTGCAAACAAAGTTATTAATGAAAGAGAGTATATAAACACATTCCAATACTCACCGCTGAAATGATGAAATACAAGATGGTTATTGATCACATAGATACACATTACACCCAAACAATCTATCAAAACATCACCACACTGTATTTACAACTCCTAACTCATTAATCATATAGGTATATATATCCTTTAAAAATTCCTTATTTCGGCACGTTTAAATTTGTTTTTGAACATTTTATATTATATCCTATTTGATAATAGATTTACTTTCAAGAGGATATGCTTGAGCAATAATTTTTCATCATTGTTACTTGCAAAGCTGGCCGGCCCATATGTCCTGTTCGCACTTGTCGCCATGCTGTAAGTCTGATGGCAGTCACAAGATAGAATAAATTTTCACACACACAAATACTTCACTGAAAATATCACTTGTTAACTACTTTTAATGATGTATTGCATGTGTCACCTCTAGGGAGTACACGATTTTACAATCTGCATGTTCATGTACAACCTTGACCTTTGGTCTCATGGTGTCAAATCACATACACTCTGTTTAAAACACATGTTACGCATATTTCATAATATGCAGATATGTAGGTATGATAAATTATTTGGGTGCATTGTTATACACAGTTGAGTTATACACAGTTGGGTTATATCACAGTTGAGTTATATCACAGCAACCATACAGGACACACCTGGTTACATATGGGATGGGTTAGGTGTGCTTGGGTACAGTGGGAGGGTACAAGCTGTGTTGGTGCACCCCATCCTCCATGCAGACATGCAGTACAAGGAGGCACTGCACATCAAACTTACTCTCTGTCTTCAACACATCATCTTTATCCTGAAACTCAACTTCTTCAGTAGGTTCTACATTCTCTCCTGAGATGGATTCTGACCTTGACCCAGGTTGTGACCTTGACCCAGGTTGTGACCCTGACTCTGACCCTGACCTCAACTTGGTGTCTTGCTCTGACCCATCATGTGATCCTGATTTTGAACCTTGGTCATGTTGGTGTGAATCTTGCAATATTTGCGACATTGTCTCTTGAAGACTGGTAGCATTATCATCTTCAGATGGACTTAAGTCCTTCAGCTCTTCTGAATCCCTTCTTTGTTCCACATCTGAACCATCTTTAGATCCTGGCTGTGAGTCAACCTTTAACCCTGGGTCAGAAGCAGCAGACTGTGGCCTTGACACTCGGCTTGACTCAGATGATACTTTAACAAGAGTTCCATCTTCAGGAAAGATTCCATCTTTTGTACATTCATCAGTACCAGGTTCTGCTTTAGCTGACAGTTTCTCCTCATCGGATGTGTAATCATCTGGCAACTTAGAGATCTCTGCATCAAGATCAGCAGTCAGGGAGTCATCATTGTCAACACCAAGGTCATCCTGAGCTTCTCCATCAGCAGCTTGTGGTGAGGGAGGGAGAAGGTCTGTGGGTGGTGGTGTCGTGGGTGGTGGTGTTGTGGGTGGTGGTGTTGTGGCTGGGTGTTGGGCAGGGGAGGTATGTGAGCATGATGAAGCTGGTGTGGTGATGTGTGATTCCTCCGTGACATCTGTGGTCAGTGCAACATCATCTGCAGCTGGCAAGACTAAAACAGTGGCAATCTACCTCTAAAAGTACTGGCTGTCTCTGCTAAAACTATCCTAAAGAACAAATGATGAAGCGTTGGCTAAAAGCATATAAATAATTGATTTTCATGCAAAAACGTATTGGGTCTAAAGAAGAAGAAATTGCTTCACAGCTTATAGATTGTTTACTGATAGTTACTAGTTTAACTTGATAAAATGCTTATTCTGAATTATTATAAGTAATATGTTAAAAATTGCAATACTATCCTGTCTGCATGCTGGAGTTCAGGGTCTATCTTAAAGACATCGCTGTGTCTAGTATGGCATACACGAAACCCCCTCCTAAAGCCTCCCTCCCGCCATTAGTTTTAGAACCACATCTTGTTTATCAGGCTTAATACAATAGGATGTTGATTAAGTAATTGAAAATTAATATGTACAAGTATCTTTACGATATTGCAAATCAGACATGGTGATAACATGTCATACAACACATGCAGCTGAAGCGAGTGATAACTAAAGCACCTAGAACTACTTCTGTCAGGGTATTAGCCCAACTTTATTTGCTATAGCTCCATGTACACTATACCCATATCTCAATCTATTTGCTAAACACAATCACTCCAATCTCATTTAAATCAGATCTAAGTTCTCGCCTCCGCTAAACAAAGATCTGGGGACATCCCATTACGGGTCACGTCAGAACGACCTGTCGCGAACTTTGACCAGCCACTGAAATGACTAACAAGAAGTCGACATCAGCCAATTAGAAAGCAGTTTTCTCAAGCTTTACGGCACTCATTTCAACCTGGCGACTTCCATTTCAGACTACGCTTGAAATATATGTTGACACAGATGTCGATTAAAATTTTGAAAACTGAAGAAACGAACATTCCGGAAGGTCTAATATATGGTTGAGATTGACATAGTGTGCAACGCCTCCATTCAAATGTAGAGAGAAAGACAATAATTTTTACGGAATCAGTCGTACGGGCCGTAACTGTCATTGGGAAAACCCTGTGTTAACGTTTTCGAGTTTGCATGTTTAGAAAACACATTCCGACTGTCACTTTCATGATCTGGTCGGATGAAAGGTCGTTCTGATGTGGCCCGTAATGGGATGTCCTTAGATCTTTGTTTCGCGATAGCGAGAACTAAGATCTGATTTTAATGAGATTGACAATTACTCTTTAGGCTCTTCAAAAGCCTGAAATTCTTGTATACCAAAATCATGTAAAATATTAAGACTGTTGCAGAACAAAGTAAGCATTCCTATCTACTGAGACCTGAAGATGATGAACTAAGAGCCTCTAAGCTACAGTATCCCCAGCTTGACCTTACCCTGAGCAGCATCAGCGAGGGGGCCTCCAGGGACATCTTCTACCTCCTCCTCTTCCTCCAACTCTGCTGTGTCAATCACCATGTCATCAGCATCTCCCTCGAGTTTCGTCACTGGAACAACACCATGTCTTGATTGGTTGATAAACAGGGTGGAATTTAGTTGAACTTTGCATACAGTAATGTATTCAAGCAACCTAAATATGTGTTAATCATTATAACTTGTAAGAGTTGCATCCCTTGTCCGTACAAGGATTTGCTGTTTGTATCCCAGATTTAACCCAATTATGATGTTTGGTGTGTCATTCTTCCTGCATGACTTAGGATTTCCTCATTACTCAAGCTGACACAGCATTACTGTTTAAAGCAGGGTAAAACCCATCTCACTCACTCACTCACTCACTCACTCACTCACTCAAGCAACAAACCCAAACCCACCCATCCACCCACCCACTCACTCAGCTAAATTTCATATTCTCTATTGTTAATTTTAAATTGTAGTATATTAGAAAGACACACACTGCTTAGAATACCAATATGCTGTAGTCTCAGCTCCAGCCACAATTATAAGTCCCCATCTTGTTGGTATCCTACTTGTATAGCTTAATATAACATACTTCAATAATTGGGGCACTGGTTTTACTGTCTGTTACAAATGGCCCAAGTGGAATCCCCTCTTTAAAAAAAAATGCTTAGAAGCCATCTTGTGAATGAGTTGAATGAGTGAGTGAGTTTTATGCCACTTTTACAAAAGTTTTAGCAAAATATGACAGGAGACACCAAAAATGGGCTCCAGACATTGTACCCATGTGGGGAATTGAACCCAGGTCATCTGTGTGACGAGCAAACTCTCCAACCAGTAGACTACCCCACCGCCCCGATTGAGTTGAGCAGCACGTACCTTTATACTGCGGCATGAGAGGCTGTGTGACTGCCTGAACCTCCACTGCCGGAGACCCACTGCTGTAAACACAAGCTACTCATGCACTGTCAAGCTTGATGAAATATCACTACTCATAGTGTAAACACTTCTTTCATTTTGTGGTTTATAGATTTCACCAACCAGAACAAGGAGACACAATCAGAAAATATAATATACCGTATTAACGTAATAAGTGCCCAGGGCGCTCTCAAAATTAGAAATAGGGGGCTCTTATTAGAATATTATTTTGGTGAAAAACAACAGAGTTGAAAGATAAATTTTGTGGTTTATGCTGACAGCCTGAAATGATTATATACGACATATATATTTTTCCAGAATTTAATTGCCTATAATTAAGGGTGCATATAACACAAGAGTGCATATTATATGCGAATAAATAAGTCTTGTGTACATTGATCAATCCGAAGGGGTGCTAATTGGGATTGTTCACTAGTCAATATATTAGCAAATATCGCCGTGGGCGCTTATTACGTTGAATACGGTAATTGTAAACTACATAAATCTGTACAATTGTATCCCACATGAACTGGTCCTGAGGTGCACACATTTCAAACAATTAAACCAGATCCTGGGGATACAATATATGAGCAGGGTGCCAGTGAGAGGCTATTCCAAGTCATTGATCCCATAGAATACCATTGTTTAAGCAATGTTCGATTCTAAATTATAGATATTCCAATGAAATGGGAATGTATCCAGATCCAGATATTTGCTCTCCTGACAGTTTTCATCCAGTACCTACTGTCATACCTTTTGGTATAAATTGTGCAAGGTCAGTTTTTACTTCTATATAGAGATACTTTGTCTACACAAAGCTTGAGCCAAGTTCCCCTTTAACTTACAGTAGCAGTGACCTACCCTTTCCGATTGCCCTCCTCCATGACTGGCCACTGGTCAGTCCCTCCTCCAGAACCTCCCTCCTCCGCCCCCACCTCAGCATCTGTCATGGGGAACAATCATGCATGTTCAACTGTTTCAAAAACGATTGAAAGCATTCAATTTCTATTCCAACAGCACCTGTTTAATATCAATTGTTGTCAAAGTGATTGAGTATGTTTTTTAAAGATGCTTTGAGCATTATTCCAACACTATCATGGTGGGTGATTGGGGGGCACCAGAAATGCGATAAGGCATTTTACCCATATATGGAATTGAAACTTGGCCTCCAGCATGCCAAGTGAGCTATTTAACCAGTGGACGTAGCCCCACCAGCCTTGTGGTCAGTGAATAAAAGGGGCCTTTGCTGCCTTAAGCAAGACACCATGTATTCTTTTGTTTTGTTTGTTGTTTAATGCCGCACTCAGCAATATTCCAGCTATATGTTGGTGGTCTGTAAATAATCAAGTCTGGACCAGACAATCCAGGGATAAATATGATGAGCATCGATCCACGCAATTGGAATGCGATGACATGCATCAACCATGTCAGCGAGCCTGACCACCCGATCCCGTTAGTCGCCTCTTACGACAAGCATTGTCGCCTTTTACGGCAAGCATGCGTTGCTGAAGACCTATTCTCCCCCAGATCTCACGGGTCAGAAACCTTGTAAGCCATTGTAACATTCGGCCTCAATCAGCCTAAATACATTAGGCCCCTAGTTTCAACACCATTTACATGACAATCTATATGTTTGTGGGTACATTACACCTTCTTTACAGGAAGAAGCCCGCAGACGGGTGTATTAAGCACTGCCTGGTAACTATCATGGAAAAAGTTCAAGTTTGATTTGAACTAAATTAGTTCACTATCACTCTATCTCTGAAAACAAATTGTACTTGTCGTGTACAGTGCCCCCCAAGCGCCAATTTTATAATTATTTTCTTATTAAAGAGAGAATATGGTTTATGAAGGCACAACTAATTGTTTGCTTGTTCAAACTAGTATGTTACCAAATAAACAGTTGTGGGAACTTCGGAAAGGGCCTCCCTACATAATCAAGCCTACAAACTCCTATTGCTGTCATGACCATAACATGAGATGCGCAGTAAAGCAGTACACATTTAAAGGGAAGTAACTGCTACATTGGACCCTGTTTTTTAGTATGAGGATTTTAAATGGAAATAAAAACGAAATGTGCGCCAGATTTTATGATGATGCAGGCGATGCCTGAGAACCCCCCAAACTATTATTTTTTTTAGCCTTAAACCTACCATGTGTCTGTATTACAAATAGTTTACCTGAGAGTAACAGAATTTCCTGCTCATCTGCTGCTGAAGTGGCGTCACCGATCTCCTCCTCTTCTTCAGCTTGTAATGGCAGCACATGCTCCTTCGTACCTGACGCATTGTCGTTGACTGGGGTCGTCTGTCTGCTAGAACGAGACCTGGCGCTGCGAGACCTGGTACTACGAGACTTGGCACTGCTTGACCGACTGGATTCCCCCTTACCCGAACCCTGGTTACTCTCTTCACCTTGAACCCACAGGCCTGACTTTGTGGATGACCTTGACCTAATGCTGGATTCCGATGTTATTCGGGGCAGATTGACAGCTGGTTCAGATGTCACAGATGATGATGCTGACACTACAAAAGTATACATCTTATCTATAAAAAATCATTAAAAAAACTTTACTCATGCAATGCAAACAATCCAAAAAGGTTTTGGACATTCTGTAACTCAAGTACTGTAGGTATGTTTACTTTCGCTTTGCACAAAGTTAAGTTGCTATAAATTGCAAAATGAGTGAGCTGCGTTTAACGCCGCTTTTAACAGTATTCCAATTATATCGCAGCGTGTCAGCTTAATGTGGGAGGAAAGCCCGAAGTGATGCAGGTCTCAGACGTTCACCACTTCGGTGAAACCCACTAGCACGGGTATGGTGCTGACAAACCTTGAAACATAATCGGGGCAAACCAGGATTCGAACCCACAATCATAGGTTTCTGGCCTGCCCAAGGGACGCAACTCTGCACAGCGAATCGTGGCGCCTTAGATGACTGGGCCACCCATGCCCCCAATTGCAAAATGAGAAGTATCTCTCATACAATATAAATTTTGTAAGACTTTCAGCATAAGAATGTATAGGATGGTACTTCAGGAATACTGAAGCAATAAAGAAAGTGGGCAACAAGACTGGACTTTTTAAATTGAATGAAACTATGCGGTGATTCAAACAGAGACCTTCAGCAAGGGAACAAAACTTCCTTGGCTTGTTTTTTAATGCTGCACTCAGCAATATTCCAGCTATATCATGGAGGCCTCTAAATATACTGGGCCAGACGATCCAGTGACATTGTTACATTGTGAACGATACAATGACATACTATGAAGCAAGTCACTATAAGCCTGACCACCCGATCCATCAGGTCGCCTCTCACTACCAGCATAGGGGGTTGCTGACCTATTCTAACCTGGAATCCCCACATGGAAGCAAAATGCATTAGTCACAGTGTACTTCATATCCCCTATTTACCTTAATATGCACCCCAGATACGCAGAAAATTGACAAAGGGGAACCTTATATAATGATACACAACAAATTAAATTTGTTTTCAGAGATCGAGTGGTCATGAACAAACTTAGTTCAAATAAAACATAAACATTTTCAATAACAATAATTAGGCAATTATATACCCCTTCCATACTGCGACTGCCTCCGTAGTCCTCTACATTTTGTATTAGCTTCATTGTGTTGAGGGGAAACACGTATAAAATAAAACATTAACATAAATAAATTACCAAAATTTGTTACGATAAAATGTAACTAAACAGCCCTCAAATGCAGGAAATAGCGTTTAAGAGCATCTTATTTCTAAAAGATTCTGGGGGAGCATCCCCCAAGATCCCTCTAGCGGGCCCTCATTACGTTGGTTTTGCTTACAGTTAAAATTGGCCATGTTGCACTCCTGCCATTACAGGCTGAGTCATACCAAAAGACATTAAAAGATGGTACTTGTTACTCTGTCTAGTGCTCTCAGCATTAAGGGGCTAGAACAAGGACTGGTTGGCTCGGAGTTAGTATACTGTGTCTGAGTGGGGTATTCATGTTAAACTGTGGCATGGTATCTCAGTGGGATAGCACTATAAATCGGCATCAGTCCGGACTAGTACAAGCAGCCACACACACACACACACACACACACACACACACACACACACACACACATGCATTACCCTGGAAGTTGGTTGGAGACTGTTATTGCAGCATTGTGCTTAATACAATGAATACGGTAGCTGAGATATTGATCAGTCAGATTTCAACAACAAAGAAACAAACAGCAGAGAATCAAATCCTAAGCAATGTGATAAGGAAAGAGTCGTACCAGCAGACGCAGGTCGGCCGAGGTAGGTGGAGGATCTCAGTGATGCTGTCAGCTTCTTGCTGGAGAGAACACGCTGCCTGGGAGTTCCACTGCAGGATAGTAGTAACAGACACAGCAGTGAGAGACTGTGAGGAGTTGAGTTTATTTTGTTTATTTTAGAATTGACTTCAATCATTTTCGTTAATACCAGATTTACCCAAAGCCTGCACCACACTGGTTTCCACATCTATTACACAATATAGGGCTGGGACGGGTAACTTGGCTACTCAGGTCAGTTGGGTCATGAGTAGGACCCAGGTCCCCACAGGACTACCGGACCCGTGGTTAGTCACGTGATATATTGTTTAATTATAATAATAATAAAGTCGCATATATGTTTGTATCTTTTTTTGACTATGCATGCATTGTTTCTGACTTTTATACATTTGAGTAAAGATAAAACTTCAGTCAACTGTGTATGCATGATCAGATTGTTTTATTCGTGTGTCTAAATAGTTTTAGCCAATTTCCAGTTGGAAAATTTGGACCCAACCTTTGATCGCGGGTACCTTTGGACTCGTCCCAGCTAAGCTTACCTCAAAAAGTCAATTCTTTTGGATAAGTAAGTAAACAATAATTACTTCACAGACTGCTTATTAAACCATTAACACAAGTGAGTGAGTATGGTTTTACACTGCTATTAGCAATATTTCAGCAATATCACGGCAGGGAACACCAGAAATGGGCTTCACACATTGTACCCAGGTTGGGAATAGAACCCTGGTCTTCGGCGTGACGAGTGAACGCTTTAACCACTAGTCTATCCCACCGCCCCTCATTAACCAAAACATTATGTAGACAATGGTACAAAAAATTAGTGACATTGTTCTGTGCAGAAGTACTCCATTGGTTGAAGTTTGTTTAGGTTTATTTAAAACAAAATGCAAAACAAAAAAATGCATGAATTGCTAGTCTTATGCCATGGAATCACTTAATGTGGGAGCCAAGTCCAATTTTACAAGGGTAATTATAAGAGGTTAGCTGTGGTTTAATAAGCTAACCAACCAAGGATCATCATTGGGGTGATCAGGATTCCAACCAATGCTCATAACCAATCTTGAATGTCTAAGGGGGGCAACTCTGCAAAGTGAACTCTTGGTTGGTTTGTTGGTTAATGGGTGGTTGGTTGGTTTGTTGTTTAACGCCGCACTATTCCAGCTATATGACTGTAAATAATCGAGTCTGGACCAGACAATCCAGTGATTCATATCATCAGCATCGATCCACGCAATATGGGATCGATGGCATGCATCAACCAAGTCGGCAAACCTGACCACCCGATCCTGTTAGTCGCCTCTTTCTGCAAGCATAGTCGCCTTTAACAGCTAGCATGGGTTGCTGAAGACCTAATCTACATGGATCTAAGAGAACTGTTGAGCAATAGACTAAAGGATCACCCTTGCACCTGTAGCGGCCATAAAATTTCCGAGTCCCGTAATGGGATTCGAACCACAGACATTCTGATCCGAGGTCGGACGCCTTGTCCACATGACCAAAGAGGTTAACCCCGTCAGCAAGCTGACAAGGTAAAGATATCACCTGTGGGACGACTCCACGCCCTGCTACATACTCCCCCGTCAACAGAAGGCACGTCCCGGGCCGCATAGTAGGGTACTGAGGCTTATTTTGCTCAAATTTAAGATGAACGTGCTCAGCCGCACGCTGGGCTCCAATGTAGCAGCCATAAAATTTCCGAGTCCCGCTATGGGATTCGAACCACGGACCTTCTGATCCGAGGTCGGACGCCTTGTCCACATGACCAAAGAGGTTAACTCCGTCAGCAAGCTGACAAGGTAAGGATATCATCTGTGGGACGACTCCACGCCCTGCTACACACCCAACTCAACAGAAGAAATAGTACTTATGTTAATAGTTACAAGTGTCAACTTATCAACGGTAACCCCAGTAACATAATCTTGGAGGAACCATCTGCCGTTATTCTAAAGTATATTATGTCTGTGTCAGGAAAACAGGTAGTGGGTTTACTCATATCTTATCAAAATTTGATATCTCACTAAAATAGATATTAGTAATATTGCTGAAAAAGCTGTTTACCTTTTGGATTCTGTGAAATCAGCAGAAGTCATAGATCTACCACCCATTGACCGTGGAAATGCTCCGTCCAAATCTCGTAAAATCTCACGCAGTTCGGGTGACCTTGACACTGACCCAGAGTCACCTTGAACATGCTGGCGACTACTGTAATGGAAATTATTTAAGATGAGGTATAACGCAAGAAATCTTCAGTGAAACAATATGAAAATTGGTAAAATTGTTAACCAAGGATAAATTAACATGTAATTAGCATTCAAAACTTGTTGATCACAATTGTTATTGCACAAGAATCTGTTGGAATGTAAGAACATATTAAATACAGAGATATAAACTTCAACACCCTTTGGGCTTCATGAGCATGTCAGGCTATAAAACAACATTGAATTGTTACCTTGTTTCATTTTGTTGCTGTGTGTACATATGACTGCACTTCCTAACGTTATGACGGGATAGGCCGTGGCCGTGACGTCTCATAGACTAGGGTTATGCGAAATGCAAGTAAAAACAATTGTTGTTTTGCGTATATGTTGCTTCGCCACTGTATAAGAAACATATTTCAGTTGGAACTATATTGGCCACTGTCACTGTCCGACTGACACATCACTTACCCTGTGACGCAATAAATATTTATGCGTGCATTCCAGGACAACTCGCAATGTTTCGGTAATGTTTGTGAGAGAGGGAAAGTGATTTTCAAGCACAGAATTGAAGAATGACATTATATGATAAAGAGGTTATCACGCTTGTGTGTTTGGGAATGGTAAATATCCTATGTTAGGAATAAACACTGTATTTAGTGAGCCTTGGCTTGGCCTTGTCACATGTTTGTGAGAGAGGGAAAGCGATTATGAATTGTTTGATAGGCATTACTTAGAAGTTGACAGATGACAAAGTAGAGATAATTTATGGATAACAACTTCTTTATTTACTGTAAAGGTGATATTTGGGTACAGATCCTTATACCTTTGTCAACCTTGCTTGGGATAATGCTGAAGCGTCGCGTTTACAGTAAATAACGAAGTTGTTATCCATAGATAATCTCTACTTCAACAATGAATTATATTTTCTTGCACATGAAACATTTCAGGAACTATTCCAGACCAATTTAATTTCTAGTTTTTAGATATTGTTGTAAAAAGTGTGACATATTTGAAGTGCAACAAATAAAGAAAAAAAATCAAATGGTCGGTTCCTAATTGAATTATCTACAATGGCTTCGTTATGTGTTTGATTTCTGATACAGACAATCCTTTTCAGCTTTTTTCAGTCCTTGGCCACTCTAAATGTTTCCGTTGTCAACCATAATATTGACAATATGTCAACAAATCTACAGAGCTAACATTGAGCTGACCCATAATCGTAACCCAGGTCCCAAATTATAATACCTCGTCTAAATACCGAGTTATCATGGCTGTAGCGACACTCCAAAATATCCCAAGCTTAGATATAATCCATACCATACAATAAGCCTGAGTTTGATAGTTGTACATTGCTGTCAATATCCAATGTTCACTACCCTCACAGTGACAACAGTATGCTTAAACTGTTGTACATTACACCCTTTTAGTAGCTTGGATGACGATATGTTCAAAATTGTATTCCTATGGCTGGAAAATGCAATAAGACATTTCATTATTCGGTCAATGAAAACAAATCATATTTGAAGTCTATAAGATTATATTTGTAATTAAATAATTTATTAAATGTTTTATGACTCTGCCAACCTTACTTATTAATTAAGTAGGACTGCGCCGTATTATCGATATAACCGGATACTGCAATACGCTTTTCAAACTATACATCTATTCAAGTATATTGGGTAAACGATACATAACTAGTTTCGTTATTATTTGCATCCTTTAAGCTAAAATTTACACAGAAATTCATTCACAAATGATGTTTCCCTTGAAATTGATTGACAATTCGCTGAAACATGAAAGTGAGTGACCACGTTTTTTAGTACATGTATGTAGAAAATAGGGTCTCCATGTACAATCTGTGTCAACCAGGGACAAACACTTTAGCTCCCAATATATCGCAATATGTTTCGCATCACAGATACCTGTATCGCAATATATTCTACAGCTGTCCTTTCTCAAGTCAGAACAAAATCCCAATGTTTGAATGGCCATACAATGAACATCCTCATTTATCCAGGGTGTTAGGTCTCCATTCTGTTAGGATTAAAAACCCTGGCCCCATTCTCTGTCACAGCTTAATTTTGAGTCAGAATGAAACACTCAGAAATGAAAGGAATAGCCCTCAAATTACGCTTACTGACAGGATAATCTGTGCAAATTGGAAAAACAAAAACTTACTACCGGTCTATAAAAATCTGGAAATCCAGTTTCCAGAACTGGACAGTGAATTTAACAAACTTACAATGCAACTATTGTGCTCCATTTACCCGACCAGTGAACGATCATGCAATCAGTCATGCAGTCACACGTAAAACTGATTTAGAGTGGTATGTGTCACTGTATGGTGTAGAACAGGGGTTCGCTAGTGAGGAAGGCAAATATGAAATCTAAGGCTTAAAAAAATAAAAGACTTAATTGGTTCTCAGGCAATGGTTTCTGAAAATAGAGTGCGGGTGGGCGGGTGGTGTCTTTTTCTTTTTTTTCAATTTAGTATGTAACCAATAAAAAGTTGTGTAACCAAATAAACAGTTGTGTACAATCAACCTGGGAAAGGGCTTCCCTACATAAATGTATTCCTTGATGAGCAAAGTACTGGAATACAGTATTTGACTACCGTTGGACCGTTGGATTTATTAATGATTTTTTTGTTTTCTTTGAAATGGAAATAAATATGAAACATGTGGCAGATTTTATGATGATGCGGGTGATGCCTGAGAACCAAGACTATTATTTTTTTAACCCTAATATTAATTTGTTTATTGTGGCCTTACCGGTATAGCAGGATATGCTTATCCCTTTTGCGTACACCTGGTGTCATCACTGATTTTGAGTGATCCATTCATATAATTTCCCCAGCTATTTTTCCTTTTACACTTAACGTAATCTGTTTCAGCTGATAATCGAGACTAATTATTCTCTGGCATTGATGTTTTATATTTACATAAAACATTTAACAAAAAACACATGCTTCCTTAATAGTCATACCTTGACTGTCCGTGGACATGAAGTATTGCTCTGCAACAAAGTCAATACTGTGACAATATATTGTCATGAAATCAAAATGGGGACAGAAATAAACACAAATATATATACTCCATATATACACTCTACACAGACAACAAAGCAAATTGTATTTACCGTATTCGACATAATAAACACCCAGGGCGCTCTCAAAATTATAAATAGGGGGCTCTTATTAGAATATAATTTTGGTGAAAGGGTTGAAAGATCATAAATTTCATGGTTTATGCTGACAGACAGAAATGATACAAAAGAAATGTCTGTGCGTATTATACACAACATATATGTTTTTCAAAAATTTAATTGCCTGTAATTAAGGGTGCATATAACACACGAGTGCGTACTATACGCGAATAAATAAGTCTTGTGTACATTGATCAATCGGAAGGGTGCTAATTGGGATTGTTCACTAGCCAATATATGAGCAAATATCACTGCGCTTATTGCGTCAAATACGGTATTTGTTTGTTGAGTCAGTATTGCTTCAAATTTCCATGAATTACAACAAGGAAGACCCAATTTCTACTTTTAATCAGACCCCAATATCTTTAGGCCATACACCAACTGGAAGTTAACGGCATTAAATCATGTCACTTGCAAATATTCAATGTGAAGATACAATGGCTCAAAGATCACTTGTTGCCATAGTGATATGTCAACACTTTTCAAGCAAGGACTAACAGGTCCCCCTTACATAAAGCCTCCACACAATACAGCTCCACTGTCAGCCAATATACTCAACAGCTCAAACCTTTTTTCATTTGTACGAATGTGCTGCTGAATATATATAACGGTGAAGGAGACAGTGGACGCCTCTTCAATCACTGGGACAGTGTATACGTCTATTTAAACTGCCAGGTGCTTGTAATTGCTCAACATGGGAATTACATACAGAGTTCGTTCATGATGATATTCTTAATTTGTGAAAATTGTGTCAGACCTTTGGTTGATAATCTGCTTCATGGGTGTTAACAAACCGTTTCAAGTATGATCCTAGTTATTAAGTTTGTATTATTGTATTATTGTATTATTGAACTAAATATACTTCTCAGAAGAACTGATACTTTCATAGTATCATAGAGAGTTAAACTGTCATGGTATGACATATTACTAGAGTTAAACTGTCATGGCATATGACTATAGTTAAACTATCATGGCATGACATATGACTATAGTTAATCTGTCATGGCATGACATATGGCTATAGTTAATATGTCATGGCATGACATATTACTGTTGTTAATCTGTCATGGCGTGCCTTTAACTTCTTCTAAGTAGTATACAATTATTTTTTAAGTGAATATTAGACAAAATGTCATTTATTTTGCAGTTCTGATTTCTTTCACATATTAACACATGAAAGTAAATAATACCCAGGAAGCTGTCTGTTGTATTGTTTAAATCATATGAAACATGTAACATAGGTTTATAGTGAATAGAAATTACTGTAACTGAATACATCTAGCATATCTTTATACATATTTAGACATATGAAAACCCAACAGTTATTAGAGACAGCTGAAAATAAGTAGAGTACAAGAGAAAACAAATGAAATAATATTAAATTATAAGAACTTCCCCACTCTGTCATTTAAAGGTTTCACGAAAGTTGAAAACATGTATGATCTGCATCACTTCGGGCTTTCCTCCAGCATCAAGCTGACACGCCGTGCTATAACTGGAATACTGTTCAAGGTAGCTTTAAACCCAACTCACTCACTCACTCACTCACCGACTCACTCACTCACTCACTCACTCACTCAGTGCCTTACACCTTCAGTAATCTGTGTTTTGGGTTGAGTTCAACATACTTTATGGTCATAATTATAACCTACAACAACTGAGTGTGTAGACAAGATATTTTCTAAAAAAAACAATATTTCTTTTAAAAAAACAGGCCACAAAAAAATTAACTTCTTGCACCTTTCACTATATACACTACTGAAAGATGATCCCATATATCATGAACAACTGACCGCCTCT